ACGTTTAATCAAAGAAAATATGCACTTGTAAATCTCACCAAGTATAGCCACACGTGTAGGTACCTAATAATATGTTGGTTTAAGAAAGGAACTGTCTGAACAATAGCTTGATTACATAGTCTTCTGATCTAAAAGTGTAGCATTATTACTGCTATTTAAATTACGCGTTATGCAACACAGTTTACTTTTAATGCCTTTCTCAAGCGTTTAATTAACATTCTAAATATAAAGTCACAAAAACAAAGGATTACAAAATAAATAGACCGAAAAATTAACGAAATAGAAATACAATTTTTATGAGATATTTTGTGCCCTACTTATGGATTTTGGGTTAGGTACCCTAGTATAGATACCAGTGCTTTAAATCTACCAATACCAATACCAAATCTCAAACAACTGTTACTTTTCGAATAGTTTATTTTTTTGCACTTTGCATTTGCAATTTGAATGTTGAATAAAACATTTTGAATTTGAATCCGGAACTCGCTGTTATGTTATCTTGTATGTTACGCGATTTTGTCGTCAACTATGAATATAATGAATAATGAAAATTTCATTATTCATTCATTTTTTATTAGTTTTTTTCCGTAGTCAACAAGGAACCCTTACTAGTTTCGCCATGTCCGTCCGTCCGTCTGTCCGCAGCTTAGCTCAGAGATTCTTAGTACTAGAAACCTGTAATTTTGCATGGATATACATATTAGTTACGAAGACAAAATGGTAAAATAAAATCTTGGAAAGAAAATTATTTTAGGGTGCCTCCTCTACACGTGGGTGTGTGGGTGGGTGTAATTTTTTCTCGTCTACCCCATGGTATATAGCAATATAGTATTATATGATCTGTGATAGTAGTATATGTAAAGAAGTTAAAAGGAAAACTATCACAGCTAAGTAGGCTTTACAAGTATACGAGTAATAGTTGATCAACTTATAAAATGTACTTGTTACTATGAGCCGCCGATACCGTTAAAAGCCCTCTTCTTAGTCCCTATTATTGTGATGGGCAACTACGGAACCCTACATTGCGCGTGACCCGACACGCACTTGGCCAGTTTTTAATGCATAAATAAATATAAGTTATGAATGGATTTAGTGTTTTAATTTCAAGGAAAAATTCAATCCCGACTACAAAATTTAAAGAATAGATGACAAAGTAAGTATAAAATATACAATAAAATACTCAAGTTTTAATATACGAGTATAACAACGTGTCAGATAAATTGTAAATGTATTGTGATTTTTGTCATAAAAAAATAAAAAATAAGTTTCTTAATTATTATAAAGGATATATAAAGTAGGTACAAACTTCAGTATTAATTAAAAATTATTACTTTGCTTATAAATAAAATGAAAAAAAAACTACTGCATTACAAAATGTTTCAAGGACATAATAAATACTTTTTGCATATTTTTTTATTATCACTGAACTGTTTCTGGTCACATATATTAATTAATAAGATAAAAATACCTACAGTAATGTAACTACACATATGCTTAAATCATATTAAATCTGTTATTAAATCTGAGTGAATGTAACGTCAAGCCAAAGGTTACGCCACCGTTCACCACAGGACAAACTGCCTCGGACCGTTGCAATAGATCTGTAAATTCATTAATATAAGATTTGCAATGTAATTTTATATATTATTTTGATTCGATACGAATTTGTTTTACTTGACTGAAGTAACCATTGCAAATAACTTTCACAAGTTCTAACTGGTGCCTTCCTAATATTAAAAAGTCGTCCTTACGGCCGCAACAAGTTAACTTAATTAAGTTTAACAATAGCCCACCTTTGCCCACATTGGTCTCTGTATTATCTGTGTTACATTGTTAATATGCAATAAAGAATATATATAATTATATGCACGCACTTATTAAATAGTCCTAAATAATGTCAAAAATGAATCAAAATGTTGTTTATATGTGAGGAGTCATAAATATGCTATAAAATATTAACTATTAATTTTCTAAAAATCTGACGCTGACAAAGGGTGCTTACACTTGCGGACCTAAACCCAAATAGGGCTGTTGATAATGAACATATTAATGCTATAGGTAAATACTTTATGCCATGACATTAATATTATCAAAAGAAAAATTAAGGGTGAGAAAAAGTAATGTATTTATTAGGTAAGTACTTCTTCACTACATTGTAACGGCAAAATATATTATTTAAATAAAATTCAGGATAGCTCTACCCTGGATTTACCCACACGTTGTTTTTTATCGACGTATTCCACAAACAAAAACACTATTAAATTTGTTTAACTACCTATAAAATTTTATCATATTAAGTCTTAAATCTTAATGCTTTTCCCCTAGAGCTTTTCGAACGGCACTACCATAGATGTTTAAAGAAGATAATAAAATGAATAAATACTAAGAACTTAAGACATCAAATATTATAGTATCTGACAAAACAAATACCACTCAAACCAACATCCTTGAATATTACAATGGCTTTACGGTCTGTTAGAACAATCTAGTCGGAATAGTATTGTCTTGTTGTATAAGAGTTTTTCACATGAAAGGGATCCATGACTATAATGCACGTACAATAAAAAGGTCAAATTCTTTAAGTGATTTGGTGTACAAAGTACCCATGGAACAGACATAGCGTGTAAGGGTAAATTATTATTTTATATGTTGTAAGGTTTACTGTAACAACAGTCTACAGTAACAACGGCAAAGTTTGTTTGTTGGTTTATTTGAACGCGTTAATCTCAAGAACTCATCGGATTCGAGAAATCCTTTTTGCGTTAAATATCCCGTTTATTGAGGAAGGCTATAAGGCTATAATATAGTCTATCTATTCCATACTAACCGTCGAAACGTACCTAGGAACGAACCCGAGCGAAACGAGGCTGAGTCGATATACTATACTATAAAATACTTTTGAACATTTTGTAATTACCTACATAGCATGAAGTTTAGATTTATGAATATTGCTTTACATAGGTATTATAATTTCTTTATATTAATTACATATACTAAACCTACAATACAGATTTGACAACCTTAGCACTTAATTCCTACAATGACCTATTTCGTAACTACACCTTGTATCCGTGATCAGAACCGCCTAGAGTCGAAATCAATGTCTGACCACCTCCGTCATTAATAGCAATAATTAATTATATTTATAGAACAACAATGTGATCTGTATATATTCTATATTCAAGACAAACGAAATAAAACCTTGTCTTTTAAAGAAAATGGTTCATTTTTGTACGAATTCCATATTGTTGTAATTAGGTCCACTTATTGCTGGGTGGAGTAAATCGAAAGGACTATTGAAGGACCTTGGAATTTGAAAGTAGACAATAACCGGAACACACTTGTAACACACAAACTACAATATACGTCGTGATCTGCGGAATAATCTCGATCAAAAGAAATGATACAGGCTGTAAGTTGAAAAACATTATTTCAAAAGAGGTTTGTTAGGATAATTCAGTAATTTCAGGTTAGTTTGTAGGAATTCGACAATTAAAAGTATCTCTTATGTCGGCTGTTTTAGTAACTGCCTAAATCTAAAAGATATATCTTTGTATATTTTTAATATTAAATGCTAATTAAACGTTAAGGTCTATAATAGATTGTTGAGATAGAAGAACTAAGATTTTGACTCGAAATTCACAAAAAAAGTGGAACATCGACCTTATATTAATTATGAACCATTTAACTCAGGATATAAAATGCGTTAGACAAACACATTCACATAGTTACTATTCCTTGTGGATTATCCAATCTTTGTCTTTCATTTCTATCATCATTCTCCGATCAATTCAAAACATTTAGGTAAATTCAGGAAGCACAAGAATCGAAGCTACAATGTTCAGCGCAACAAATATACTCAATCAAGCTTGTTATGGCATACAATTACGCCTAAATACGCAATATTTCATTTTATAATGCAAAAGTGACTCATAGTTGTTTTTTATTAAGTTTGATTTACTTGGCTGTTTGATTTAACCAGTTTTTACAATATTTTTAATATTATTAAACCTTTTATCAGAAAATAATAATTTTAATCACAAAAAATAAGAACATTGCTTTTCTTTTCTGTTTCCCCAGGCATCTTTAAAAACTAATTTATAGGCATCTTTATAACCATAATGCATATTATATTAAAATAATAATTAAGAAATAAAACCTGAAATAAATTACAACATGTAACATACCTACTTTTGTTTATACATATCTATACATATAATAAAACTGTAGATGTCGAATGTCTGTACGTAGAAAAAAATACTAAAAACCGAGTAAGGGGGACGTAAGAAGAGAAATAGAACAAATCTAGATTTTTTTTCGATTTTTTTGTTTCGCTGTCTATTTGCGAAATTTTGCATAGTCACCACTATACAACATATTAGATACTTTTCATCCCGGAAAATTTGTAATTATTAATTAATCCCGTGGTAAAACTTTGCCATGCTGATACCTTATATTGCCGGTCAAACAATAGGCTACTTTTTATCCCTGAAAAATAAACGATTCACGAGGGATAGATTTGTTTTTTGTTATACAATAAAATAGTTTAATATTTTACGTATCTACGACATCTATTTTTTATTACAGTAACCAAAAATAGCCCGAAGAATAGCTCGATGACCGAAGAACATTTTCGGTCAGCTTTAGATCTTGGTTAATAACCCTGAGTTGATCTAGATGGCGTAGTATACTAAAAAAAACATTTGTATTGTTTAAAGATACATAAAATGTGAAATTTATTTTATATTTTTTTACATCAATAAGGACATAAACATAAATTTAAGAAATTAACTAAAGCATGTTTATTAATTTAAATATATTTCATACCCATAACATAATATTAGTAGTGAAAACAAAACGTTTGACAGCTGTTTCGGTTTGTGTCTTTTGTTTGAACTTTGAAAATTGAAATTTTTATCCAACGACGAATTCACACAATAAAGGCACTTAGATATATTCATTATATTAATTAAATTAAAATCGTGACATATTCTGTAAAAATGGAAACAGCAAAACTGCCAAACTTTAATCGGTACGTAAAACTCCTTTAACTTTTTTTATACGCGTTCTAATATTTTGAACTTGCGCGCTGTAAGTTATTGATTTTCTTTTAAAAATAACTCTGTTGGGTGTAAATAAATCATAAAGCTGCTGGTTAACATTTTCTAAATCTATTTTTGTTGTAATATTACAAATACACAAGTTCATTAGCACTTTATTTCCTCGATACAGCGGTGGTACTACAGAATCATCGGAATTTACTCCAGTAAAACCTAGATTGGGAAGATTTTTAGATATCTATTCGCCAGAACATCTTAATCTGACACCAAAACCTGTATGTATTAAATGTTTCATAAATTATTTAGTCATCTACCTCATTTTTTCATCATTGTAATCTCATATTAAACTTTTCAGCATCCAAGACTCGTTTTTAACCAATTAACAAATGACAACCAAAATAAATTACTTACCCCTGAAACACATCTTGACATCAATAACAAGTGCAGGTATTTAATACCTACTAATACTATAGTTTTAATTTATACTGTATAGTAAACTAAAGAGCTGTCCCTATGTAAATTATATTTACAAAATAAATCGATTAATTCTTAGATATTGCATCAACATTTTAATATAAAATCTTAATTTTCACTCAGTATATTTTTATTTGTAGCTGATAGAATTTAGTTTGAATAAAGCATTTATTATATTAAATAAATATGATTATGATACCGAAGAAGAGAATGTATTTTTTTCTAATTATTAGGACCGTCAAGGCACAGCAAAAATTTAACAATGTTTGGAGCAATTGCTCTTTTGAGGGTAACCAAAGTTTCCCACGGTTGAGCCGGAGAGTGAGACCCATTAAGATGGATCTTGAAACACCTACCAAATTGAAGCCATCTGTGGACTTAGTCAGAGGTAAAAAAAGTATAAATAGAATATAATAACTTTTTATTAACTACCAAAACATAATTGAATGTGTTGTTTCTAATGCAAAAATACTACAGTGTTATTAGTAAAAGTATTTGCTCTCCTTTAAGTTGATGGACCAAATGGACTGCGTTTCAACACTTCACTGGCAGCTGGAGAAGTGACGGGCTCACCAGCTACATCTCAAACTGACCGTCTACAACAATACATCAATCCCAGCAAAGCTGTGTTCACTATTGAACCTAATACTTCTAAAGTAAGTACTATTGTGAAAGTTGTATAATTATAATAAACAAAAACTGAAATACCATAAATATACCATTAGTATAATTTAATAATCATTTATAAAATACATATTCTTAATGTTCTTTAAAAGAATTTTTATAAGATTTTTTTTAATTCAATTTTTTAAAGTAGACAAGACAATACTATGAATGCCAGAATAATAAGAAAAGAAATAGAAGAAAGACATCTAATTAATGATACTACAACTATTTATATTAATTATCTATACTAATATTAGAAAGAGACAGGGTTTGTTTATTTGTTTGAATGCACTAATCTCAAGAAATAACAGATTATTATTATTATATAATATCAGAAAGAAAGAATCAGATTATTATAATATCAGAATTTGATTTTTTTTTACATTAGACGGCCTGTTTATTGAGAAAGGCTATAGTATATACTTTCATACATTATTGTATTGGGCAGACTTCCATACATTATTGTAAAACTGATATTTATATATGAAGTTGGAATGCGGGTGAACTAAACATACTGCTAGTATATTATAAAAACTCTGTTAAATATTTTTTGGCAAATCTTTTTGGTATAGACATTATTGATACAGAGGCTGAATCTATCGTTTTTAGATTTTTAGTCTGTTTGTCTGTCTGTTACCGCATCACTTAAATACCACTGGAGAGATATTGATGAAATTTGGTATGATGATAGCTGGTTATCCGGGTCAACATACAGGATACTTTTAACTGCGGCAAAATATCTCATTTCTGAGAAAAAAGACAAAAACTGCATTGTAAGAGTACACTAATATGTAAAACCCAAGAATTTGGTTTTTTGTCATCTGAACGCGGGTGGAGCCGCGGGATCTTAAAATATAATAATAACGAAATATTTGCACAGTTCCATTACACTTAGATAATTTTTAACATTATGTTTATATTTACAGATCCTCATAGTAAACAATAAAGCATGTTCCCTACTCGGCTATTCATCTGGAGAACTGTGTGGAATGCGCTTTTCAGATCTTTTAAGGAAGAGGAGCAGTAAAACTTTTAGTTTACATGAAGCCGAAGAAGCTGATATTTCTGAAGATGGCACCATTATTGTATTAAGTGGAAAGGTTTGTTAAAATGATTAGTTTTAATTGAATTAGATCAAGTTCAGATCAGGGAATATAATAATAGTAAAATAAAATATATAATTTAGACAATTTTGTTTATTCTGACACAAACTAAAATTATATGATTTGAGGTATATTTAAAGGTATTATTATTTCTTTTTATTAAAAATATAATCTATAGTCTTATTACCAAAAAAACATTATTTTTTTACCAGGTAGTGGAACTTCTATCCAAAGATGGTGGGACAGTGCAAGTGTCCCTCTGGATAAGGCAGTTGGACAATGACGGGCCATGCTTAGTTGTTGCTGAACCAGTTATATGCAAGAATGTTGTGGTAAGAACGAATAAAATTTTATTAAATTTATAGGGATTTAAGTTATTTAACTTTATATAAAACTTATATCCAATTTATTCTCCAAATTCACTATTTTCCAAATTCAGTTCCAATCCTTATTGAATTGATAATTTATATTTAAAAAATATTTGTTCATAGTCACGATTATGTATTGTATTCAACCCTTTTTAGAGTCGCTCTTTTCTTCCATTTTTGAAGTGCTGGGCATGGACCTCCCTACAATATGAGGGAGCCATAATTCAACCATGCTGGCTAAGTGCGGGTTGACTTCATATTTCTTTCGAAAACTTGCTACGTTCTCTCAAACATGCAAGTCACCTCACGATATTTTCTCTTATCATAAAACAAGCAGTGTCGAAAATGATACGTACATGAAAATATCCGAGGGATGAGACCTGGGATTTGAACCTGATTCACTTGAATTCCCAAGCAAGCGCGTTACCATTGAGCTACCATTGCCTTTAACCATTTAAAAATGCTTTCTATTATAATAAAAAGATGTCCCGAATATGCGTTTTAGCGTATTAAAAATAAAAAGCTAACATCACTGTGTAATCAAATCTAAGAATAGCATTTTACGTTTCATCTAATTGTTATGAAACATTAGTTTCGTTAGTATTAACATATACAACTTAAGGATTTATTAAAAATGTTCAATTAAAACAACTATTTTATATTCAATAAACATTTCAGTTAACAATAGATGCAGAATCCGGTATAATTTTATCCTGTGACGGCGACGACGCACCTATGTTGTTTCAAGCGGAGTGCCCAGAGAAATTAATTGGTCTGCCGGTGGCTTCCCTCATACCATCGATACAAATACCGGCTCATGATGCACCATTGGCCAAGAATATTTCTAAACAAAAAGCTACTGGTAATTTCCATTTTTAAATAAAATTCAAGTATTTGTATTTATTTTGTATTTGCATGGTACTAGTCTAAATATCTAATATAAACATGTCTGTCTGTCTGTTTGTGCCTTGAATAACTATCCCAGTGAAGTGTTTCCGCAGTATGAAATATAAAAAAACCAGCTTCATTATTACTTTTATGTATGAGATGATTAAAAAGAAAGCATATGAACAGACATACACACTGTATTATATAGAGAATAGAAATTTTACGAAACAAAGCAAGGGTAGATCACTAGTGCTATAATGTTATTGTTCTTAATTATTACAAAAATTATGAACCTAATGTAATGCAATTTTAGGGAGAACACTAGATGGTGGATCTTTTCCACTTTGCCTTTGGATATCTAAACCTAATAGTGTGGATTCAAAGACATGGTCTTCAATGAAGACTACCAAGGAAAAGCCTGTATTTATAGTCAACGTCAGAGTAAGTATCTACTTAATACAATTACAACTCTTTGTTTAATTAATTTTATAGTGAAAATATAAGTTTGTTTTTTATATTTAATTATAATATAGTAAATTAATGTAAAAAAACAATGGAAAAGTAATGTATAAAGTCAAATTTTGATTTAAATATTTGCTTCTAACTTCAAAATCTGAAATATTCAAAATGACTTCCACTTTAAAGTATTTTTTTTTCTAAAAGGCTTATAGAAGACCACTTTTGATTGAGTATTCACTAGCATTACACGCAGCTTCGCTCGTGTTTACACTTCCAATCGCTATCAAACTTCGCAGAAACACCTGCTGAGCTAAGCTGAAGGTTTCATCAAAATCGCTCCAGCCATTTTGGAGTTCATGGAGAACATCATCGATTTTTATTTACTTATTGAAAAAAATCACAAATTATACATCTGAGTAACCTTTGTTTATGAAGTTGGTTAAAAACTAATAACAATTCTTCAACACCAGGTAACACACAATGTTAGTGGCCTTTTAGTAGTTGATGAGAGCGGTGTCATAACAGCCTGCAACCAACACTTTGCTATGTTGACATTCGGCAAACCAAACTCTGAAGTGATAGGACACCACATTGAAGAAGTTATACAGAATTTCTGTAGAGAATCCGATATGGTGAAAATGGAGAACCGTAATAGGGATATGACGCTGTCCGTTAACAATGAGGATGAAGATTCAGGTATTTATTAAATTTAATTTTTCGAAATCATATCTTTTGTATTTAATGGCATGTTATAAGAATGACAAAGTTGATCTTATTGTACTCTTTAAGTATACATAGTTATTAGATAAATCCAAAGATATATAAAGTGTTTTAAGATAATTAATCGGACAATTAGAAGTAAGCAAAAATTTACAGATACCATTCCTTAGAGACTAAAAAAAAATCTTTGAAAACTATTTAAAATTTGACCGTAAACTATCAGTAATAAAAAATTACATTGATCCATTGCTTTTTTTTATTTCATTCCTTTGTTAAAAGACAAACCAACGAACACACTTTCGCATTAATAAAAATGATAATACAAGAAAATAATTGAATTCTAGCATCAGATACAGACGAAGACTCGTGCGGAGCGTTCAACGGCAGTCAAAAGTCGGCCTGTACGTCTCTGAACGTGCAGCCCTCTATGCTGTCTACCCGCGAGAAATCGTCCAGTGCGCTTTGCCTTGACAAGTCCTATAGCCTCGTGACCCACACGCCCACGCCCACACAGGACATGGTCTCCAGCCTGGACGTGTCCGCCCTACCAGATGTCACTTCAGCCATGTCCGGAATATCTATAGAGGATGAAAATTATTGTCAAAGCAGCATATCGAAATCTCGATCTGAAAATATATTAAGATCTGAGCAAAGTAATGTGAAAGCGACGCCGTCGAAACAAGTGGAGAAGTCCGATTCGATTTATTACACGTCACAGCACTCGCAAGAGGTAACGCCTACGGGCAGCTCGTCCCGAGTGAGATTGAATGATCCATCGCTGAGATTGTCGTTTGATTCCAGCAAATATAAGATGAAAGTTAATAATGTACAGAATAAGGAAGATAGATCAAGTATTTCGTTGGATTTTTGTGACTCAAATGAGACTAGTGCAGATTTCTTAACGCCGATCAATGAAATGCCTCCGCCTGGCTGTGAAATAGAGGATCTGCCCAAACATAACGGTAATGATGAGAGCATTGAGAGTTTAAGCAATGACAATGATTTGGAAACGCAAACCGAATCGGCTCCGAGGAAGAAATATGATGGTAAAAATGTTTTTATATCACTCTTTTCATATTGTTCTTACATAAACTTAGTTCTTATAAATGCTCAAAAGATTTTTTCTATAATATTTTTTCGTAAAGTACTTTATCATAGTACTTTAATGAATACATGTAACAATACAATGCTTCTGTTTCACGGCTTCTTTTAAATTACAGAACGGGTTTTGATACAGCTTTCACCAATAGAATTTATTATTACTAATATACTATAATATGAATGTGAAAGTGTATTGTTTGTTTGTCCTTCTTTCACGTCGAAACCAGAGTGACGTATTAGCGTGATTTTTTGTGTGGAGGTAGTTGGAGGGCTGGGGAGTGACATAAGCTACTTTTACCGCGAGAGATTATCTCATTCTCACAGGAAAATACGTTATAATATCATCATAAATAATGTTTTACATTCTGTACGTTTTAACTATTAATATGTAGTATATAATATATCCATATTTATAGTTAAAACGTACCTAGAAACGTACCTGAGCGAATCGAGGATAAGTAGTTATACTGTATTCGCCGAATGAACCAAGCACCGATATTTTGCGCTTCCACGTGATTAGTTGCAGATAAGATGCTTAGGCCGCGATTTCAATTCAAGTCATATTTAGTCCGTCGTTGCATTCCGTACCGTTCAGGCGTCTCTCGTGTAGTTACCTGATTTATTATCAATGTAGGAGATGACAGTCACTGTGAAACGTCGGAAAGTGAAAATTAATATGTATACAAATATTTAAAAATACAGTTATTTTCTCACTAAAGCATTAGCAACATGAACGAACCCTATGATTTCAAACCAGTTGCAAATGTTAATGGAGCTAGACAGCTTTCTGTCCTTACAGTTCGTATAGTAATGTGGGACAGAGAAAGCGCTTTGCATGGTTCACTCCGTGAATAGAGTATACTGTATAGTATAACATAAATTGTACCCTCCTACAGACGAGCCGCCGGAGACGCCGTGCGCGGTGCGGCGCGTGCGCGCGCACATCACGACGTCGACGCCGCAGCGCGCGCCGCCCGACGCGGACGCGCGCCGCGACGGCACCTACCGCGGCCTCGTGCTGCACAAGGACGGCACCACGCTTAGTTAGTACTGCTTATTTGTTACTTGTGATTGTTTAAGTTGAGTTTGTGTTTTGTTCATATGGAAACATAGGCTTGTTTTATATGGGAAAATGTACATGCAACAAAGAAAATTCAATTGGAATCCTTTCAAACATGCCTCGACTTTTGTTAAATAAGTTTTTCTTGTTAAGGCTTAAATTTAAATAGTATACATCAGTAAATTGTTTGAAATATAGGAAGTCGCTATTTAAATTTTAAAGTTTTAGGTTGAATAGTTAATTCTAAGTGTAGAGAGTTTAAGATGTTACATATGTAATATTTTTTGAATATATAATAACATGGTTTCCATTATATTCGAATACAGACGTGGTGTACACGGTGTCGAGCATGCAGCTGGCGCGCGGGCGCGTGCGCTGCGTGTGGCTGGGCGTGCGCGACGAGCCCGCGCACAAGCACACCACGCTCGCCTCCAGCCTCGCCTCCACAGAGGACAACTCGCTCGTTATGGTTGTATATACATTATACACCTGCTATGCTACTTCTTTTATAAATGCGAAGAGTCTGTGTGTATGTGTATGTATGTGTGTGCGTGTGTATGTGTGTTTTTGCGTATGAGTGTGTTTGTGTGCGTGAACGTGTGTATATATACTTGCGCTGAAACGAGTGGGCGGATTTGGATAACATTAAATATGTATTTATAGCTATGTAGATAAACTATGATCTGAAGTAGCAGATAATATAAGCGTTACGTATCTAGAGAAACACACTTTTAAGAACATTAAGACTATGTTCATAAATTGTATTATAAATAGTTATTCTAAACTCGAATGCTCAAGGCGAATACACTGTAAATGCAAAACATTACTGCTTGGTATATATGTTCAAATGTTTTTAAAATTGTCATGATACATTCTAACAAACCAATACGTTTCAAAGATAATATAAGGAACTCTTATTTAAACGCAAAAGTTATTAATTTGTAATAGACATTTTATTAAAGCCAAAGTGTCATTTTTTGTTAAGTATAATTTTATTATTTACAGTATGAAAAATATATTTTACATACATTAAAAGTATTGGAATGAAGTATTCTCTTAAACCCAGTAAATAATATTTTGTGTATAATATAAAATAATTGTATATTTAATTATAGGGTAACAAATCAGCGAGTAGCAGACCACAGTCTATGTCTCTGTTGAGTCAATGCGGAGAAGAACAGATAACTGGAGAATATAACAAGCATTACGTCACATTAAAACAAATAGGTAAAACTATTGCTACTACAGAATCTATTATAATTATTTTGTTATTACATTATACATTTTCAATTTTATATACAATTTATTGAAGTAATTAGTCTCTTACTCTTTTTATTATTTAATTTTGTTTTTTTTTTTATACTTTATGCGATATGCGTTTGATAAAAAGTATATTTCCTTTTTTGATCAACTTCAAAGAGGATACGTTATCTTCACCAATTGGGAAAATATGCATGGCATAGCATCAATCCTTTTCATCTTCATCCAGAATGCTCCCATATATAAAATACTAGCAGAACCCGCGGCCGCGGGAATTCTGGTCATAAATATTTTTTTGGATTATCTTATAACCTGTTTTCCCATGGGAATTAGATAATCTTCCGCGGCAAAAAGTAGCCTATGTCTAACTATCTCCACACAAAAAATCACACCTATCCGTCACTCCGTTTCGACGTGAAAGAAAGACAAACAAATAAACACACTTTCACATTTATAATATTAGTATAGTATGGATAGTGTGAATGTACGTTTATTTCAAAGAACTTTCACTTGGACAGAATAATAACAATTTTGAAGAGAATTTAAAGTCAGACTTTTTCAGCTTAATAATGCATATTTTAACGCGTATATAAGATGTTTATATTTTGGCGTGTCCAGGCAAAGGCGCGTACGGGTGCGTGAAGATGGCGTACCGTCGCTCGGACCGGCTGCTGTGCGTGGCCAAGTTCATCGTCAAGGAGAAGGTGGGCGCGCTGTTCTGGAGCGACGCGCCCGACGGCCGCCGCGTGCCGCTCGAGCTCAGCCTGCTCATGACACTCGATCATCCTAACATTGTTAGTGTGCTAGTGTTGCTCTGTATATTAGTATGGAATAGATAAACGATCCCTCGTTCTGTGAAAAACAAAAACAAATCTATCCCACTGGAACCCTACATTTTACCGGGATAAAAAGGCTCGGCTTTTATGTACTAATATAATATACATATATTATACATATAACCTTCCTTTTGAATCTAATCTCTCTATATATTGATGAAACTGCATTAAAATCCGTTGAGTAGTTTAAAGATCTAAGCTAACAAACAGCAGAAGCAACTTCATTTTATACTATGTACAGATGAGATTTATTTTTACCTCGGCGGTGTAGTGGTGAGCATATACGGGTGCACATCCGGAGATCCTGGGTTCGAGTCCCGGGTTGGCCAAGTTAGTTATTGAGTATTTCCAAAAACCGAATATCAAAATAAACGAGCAAAATATTTTTATTGAAAATATGGAATATTCGCGTAAATTTAAAAAAGTATTATATCAACTCTGCAGGTGAGCGTGATCGACGTGTTCGAGAACGAGAAATACTTCCAGATGGTGATGGAGAAGCACGGCGCCGGCATGGACCTGTTTGAGTTCATCGAGCGCCGCCCGCGCCTCGACGAGCCGCTGCTCAGCCATATATTTAGACAGGTACTATATATGATACAACATGCTATATATAATACTGTCCTCTCCCCTTTAGCGTAATTAGACTGAGTGGAGCGAGAAAGCTTGGAGTCAGCTGTGTAGTTGCGATTTGCATATCCACTGTGGCCTTATTAACCCGAGTGAAAGAGTTGGCGGTCACCTATGTGGTTGCGATATACATTCATAACCCCAGTAGTCTAGTTAGCCACCCGAGTGACAGCTGGAGGTCACTCAATCACACTGCGACTCGTCTCAAATTTGCTCAAATTTAAAGGTTTTTGTAGCCATTTGAAAAGTTAAACTGCACGTCCTAGCTCCATTGGATCAGCTCAACCTATCAAAAGTTACAAATCAATCAAATAGCAATAAATGTATATACATTTAAATAGCATATACATACATCTATAACAAAACAGATTTAATCAACCAAAAAGGCCACATCTAAGATTAGTATAGTCATTTTCGATTATACGGAAAATTTTACAAGTAGATTATAATAATTAATAATTAAAAACTATGTAATATTATAAACAAAACCTTTTAGATTGAGGAAAATCATTAAAATTTGCTCAATCAATTTAGTTTTTATTTGGTCTTACTTATATAAGATATAAAAATTAATTGCTTTTCAGATAGGTCATGCAGTGGAATATCTACACTCTCTCAACATCTTGCATCGCGACATAAAAGACGAGAATGTGATAATAGATAATAAATTCCACGTGAAACTTATCGATTTCGGTTCAGCCACGTTCATGAGTAAGGACACACTCTTCTCCACATTCTATGGCACCACAGAATACTGCAGTCCAGAGGTTCTAGCTGGAAATAAGTAAGCATTAACTGACTGCTAGTTATCTTATATCTACCATCGTTAAGGCGCTAAATACAATTCAATATAACCGTTGTATTCAGTATTCTTGACGTCCACTAGGATAGAAGGTGTTTACTGGAAAGATGCAAAATATTTTTATTAATTTTATAAAAATCTGTCTACTAAATAAAATATCAATAACAAAAAAATTAAAAAACATGTATTGATGTTGTCTTTTTAACCTTTATTATAGACTAGCATTGCCCGCGGCTGCGCCCGCGTTCAGATGACCAATAACCAAATTCTTAGGTTTTACAGATTAGTATACTCTTACATTGCACTTTTTCCATTTTTTCTCAGAAATGAGATATTTTCACGTTGTAAAAAGTACTATACCAACTTTCATCAAAATCCCTCCAGTGGTTTTTCTATGATGCGGTAACAAACAGACAGACAAAAATTCTAAAAACTATAGATTCGGAAAATATATTTTTATTGAGTTTATTGCTCTTGTATCCATAACAAATCCTAACATTATTGTATCTATTGACATTTATTTGAAGTTATTTTACATTGTAATGACATGATCTGAGTGAGTAGCTAATATTTTGAACGCCCTCAGATACGCCGGGCCCGAGCTGGAGATGTGGTCGATGGGTATAACGCTTTACGTGCTCACGTTCTTCGTGAACCCCTTCTCCGACATCGAGGACACCATACAGGGCCCGCTCACCTTCCCACAGGTGGTGTCTGATGGTGAGTTTAAAAACTTAGGTATGAAAGACGTGAATATTAGTGACTTTGTTGAAACTTATAGTAATTCAGTTTATATGTTACTTCAAAGTAACACATAGACTATAATCTATAAAGATATGTACTAGCAAAACCGGCGGCTACGCCCGCGTTCAATTTACAAAAAAAACTCTGGCTGTATGTTATAAAGCTATGTATTTATATAATATTAAATTATTTGAATATTGTTCATACAAAAATACTAAAATCGCGATTCAAAAAAGGGTCGGTGATGGTGGGAAAGTGAAAAATACTTTACGAACTATTCTCATACCTTCGGTCGAGCTATTTCGGAGAAGTGCGACCGAAAACAACACGAGATTATTATATATTAGGTAAAGGAAAATGCCAGTATAAAATAAATGTTTTATGTGTTACACAGACCTGGAGCACCTGCTGCGCTGGATGCTGTGCAAGGAGCCGGCGCAGCGCTGCACGGTGGCGCAGCTGATGGAGCACGCGTGGCTGCGCCAGCCCGTCGCGCTCGCCGGGTACGCCTTCCAGGACGTGGTGGACTGCGGTGAGACCTCGCTCACAACCTCACTCACTCACTCATTTCCTTATGAAAATTCAAATAACGAATTCAGATGAATTAGAACTGTCAATATGTAAAAACCAAGCTCCCAGTACCATTGGTTTTTGTTTTTGTTTTTTCTTTATAACTAAACGATTATATATAAAATTAAATAAATATAATTCCATACGTATATTTTTTGTGATTATAATGAGATTTTGAGCTTAGTAGTTTTTTATGCGTATTCATATTAAAGACACTATGAAAGTTACTCGACTTCATTCATATTGTTAAGAGCAAAGTCGGAAGTTACATTTGAATTTTAAAATAAAATTCATTAAATTTTAACTATGATGAAATAGTACCCATTGTTGTGATTTCAGTGAAATATATTCTAAAGTAACCTAAAATATCAAATAATAAATTATATACTAATTATACGAAATAAAAAAAATTAGATCGGCATGAGGCGAACCCGGAGATGTACTACAGCGGCAGTTTGGGCTCTCCTAGAAGCGCTTCGCCCGTGTCCCTCGCAGATCCTATAGCCAAAGGTATTGCTTACATACTTAAACGTATTTACAAATTTTCTGTTTTATTTGTGTTGCATAAAAAATACATATAGTTTTGAAGAAATTATTAATTTTAATTATTTTACGGCGTTACTCCACGACACTATCCATACTAATATATAAATGTGAAAGGGTATTTGTTTATCCTTCTTTCACACCAAACAGGCTGACCGATTGGCATGAGTTTTTGTATGGAGGTAATTGGAGGGTTGGAATATATCAGAATTCTTTGAAACTTGGTATTAATGCTCTTCAAAACAATTAATTAAATAAATACGTGTTTTAGCATTTTCCGAAATTCATTCGATAAGGGGGCAAAATAGGGGATGAAAGTTCGTATGAAACCTACCTTTTTAGAGTTTTTCATTGTAGTTTTAGCGCGAGCAAAACCGCAGGTTCTGCTAGTTGATAATAATGTTCAATAGCTCCTTAAACATAATGAAGATAATTTTTACGAAATTTTATAAGCGTCTAATTTTTCTTATGTTAATTTGACGGGAATTAAATATTTGACATTTTGAATAAAATTATCATATATTATTCCAGAACGTTCCAACCCATCGGAGGTGGTGGCCCGGTCGGGGGAGCGGCCCGCGCGCGACGACGTGAAGCGCGGCTCCGTGGCGCTGCACGCGCTGTCCGAGCGCGACCGCGACCGCGACGCCCACTCCGACAACTACAGCCTGCGCTCCTCCGCCGATGTCAGTCATACAATATGTGGATATGTGACATGTTTTAATTATCATATATATTATGTTGTCTGTTTTTTAATCTCAAGAGACATCAGACAACTGACTGAACTGACATTACGTCAGTTGCCAGTTTTAAGCAATTCTTAAATAGTGATGTGCCGCTATCGAAAATTAATAGTTTTTTTATAATAAGTTATTAGTGTGTAGGTAGGTACTTATTTGAAACGTTATAATACAAAATTAATGATGTTAATTAAATTTAATAATGTTGATTTTAATTATAGTTAGTATTTTAAAATTAATAAATATGATATTAAAATTGATAAATATGATTTAAAATTCACAATGTAAATTTTAATGATACGGTTTGGAATATAAAAAAATTTAAACAAATCGTTTAATAAAGATAAAAAGTTACGATTAAACAAACTTGTATCGTAGGTACAACACTGCACAAAAGAGCTGGCGACATTATTTGTAAATTTGACTGAGACTGAGATTAAAAAACAGACTATACATTTGCAACATTACGTTATATTTGTGAAGTAATTTGTGCTTGAATGATACAATTTAAAATCTATACAGATAAATAAAATTGAAGTGTCTGTTTGTAATGTCAAAATATGTAACAGCTTTTTACTAAATGCATATAGAATTATATACGGTCTTTATAAGAAAAACCCAATTTTTTAAATTTTTGTCTGTCTGGCTGTCTGTTTATTCCTCCTAATCTCCGAAACGGCTGGGCCGATTTTGACGGGACTTTCACTGGCAGGTACTTGATGTTATAAGGAGTAACTTAGGCTACTTTTATTTCAGTAAAAGAATTAGGGTTCCGCTCAAAAAAATGAACCTAGGGACGAACCCGTGTAAATATAATTGATCCTCAGATCCTCGACATATCGTCGAAGCCCGTTTCGGACGCGCTCACCGATATCAGCTCGGACGCGACCGGCCACGCCGCCTGCGACATCGACTACGACTGCGACCAGTACGAGTGCGACAGCTGGGACGAGTGCGAGCAGGACAGCTTCTCTTAAATCTATACCTATCTCCCTCTCTCTCTCTCTCACACACACACACACACTCACACACTAACACACGCTTAATGCTTATGTTTGTGTTTGTTCGTACTTTGACGTTGTCTTAGAGTGGTGTATTATGTATAATAATATTTTTTGTGTAACATCATTTTGTAGGTACGGCGAACTAAAAAGTTATTTACTAATAATTAATTATTAATATTCGAATATCAATTTGACATATAATTTTCTTTAAAAAGGTGAATTTTATACACATAATTAATCTGATTTCTCTACTTTTATATATCACTAAGTTGAGCTCACGTTTGATTCAATGGTATAGTAAAGAAATAAAAGGACTTCTCCAGGCTTTAATGTAGAGTATATCTGGGTGCCAAACACCACGAACTTCGAGATTTGAAACTGTAATGGATAAACAGACTCATTTTCATATATATAATTAATATGCAAGTTTGAATATATGCGGATTACAAGGTTTCAGTAGGTAGAGAAATTATCACTGAGCTTCACGCTTGATGATTGAATGGAATGTCCGCCATTTTGTAAATATTCTCGCATAATATGGTAGCATAGCGTAGACGAAAATAAATAATAGAACGTTTTTACTTATTACAAAATGAATATTTTTGAACGATTTGTGACGCCATTAGTCGCAACTTAACCCTAAAGGCTTATGAAATTTTGTTCCTATAATTCCGCCCTATAATCGAATTGGAATATTTTTTTTTCCGACCTCATTTTACTTCGCCACTAGTATACATATGTTTTTATATCGCAATCATTTCACCCTTAGCTATTAGACGCTTTATATATTGTAGTATCGATTGACCAATACATAGGGTTATTTAAATTTAAGTAGTCAATGATTTTTAAAATAATATTTTTTGAATTGATTGAATTTATTTGAATCTGAATATTAACTGATTGTTCAGTATTAAAATTTACAAAACTTCTCGTATTTAGATAGTATAATGATCTCAACTTGCATTTGCTAGGAATTGATGGAAACTTTGCACGTTAAAAGAATTTCTTAGATATATACATCTAATATCATCGAATGTACAGTCTATTACTCATGTTTCATATTTTTTAAGTTGCATCTGAATATTGTTAGAGTCAAACAAAATCCAAAGAAAAGAGGCAGTGATAGCCCAGTGGTAACGCGCTCGCTTGGGAAACCGAGTGAAGCGGGTTCCAATCCCGGGTTTCGCACATCTGATATTTTCATGTGCTAATCATTTCAACATGATTGCCACTTGGCTTACGGTGTAGCAAAACATCGTGAGGAAACCTGCATGTCTGGGAGAACCTAGCAAGTTTTCGAAAGACATGTGAAGTCCGCCAACCCGCACTTGGCCAGCGTGGTGGACTATGACCTGATCTCCCTCGTACTGAAGGCAGGCTCGTACCCAGCAGTGGGACGTTAAAATGGGTTGAATACAATTTAAATAAAAGTTAAATTACAGCAAAAATTGAGTACTAAAAAATATGAAAAGTGAGTTTTCGACTTTAGAACTACCAAATAGACAATATACCTTCATATGTACTTCATCCCTAATAATAAAACAGGATATTTATATACTTAAGGCGCTGCGAATATTCAATAATCTTATGATTAACGATTTTATTACTGAGACGGATCAATCTTTGTTTTAACATGCCTTCCCTTGTTTATATAAGATTTTTTAAAACAAGTAATGCTAAAAGTATTGAATATGCGCAGATATTAATGAAACATGTGTACTTGTCCTGTTTTAATTTCCTCCATTTCACGTAATGTGATAAATAATCAATAGCTTTACTATTAATGTTGAATTTTATATTAGCATTGTGTAATACTAGCAAAATTCTAAAAAAATTTCACCAATAAAAATAGTTGAAATTTTTTCCAAATTACTAAATATACTAGAAAAATCTGTATTCTTTTTACTATTACATTTTTCGATTAATCTAGGCAAAAAAAAAATGTCGCCATCTTTTGCATCGATTCTCAAGTATTTCTAATTCTAAACAATATATTCTTATGATAATCTAGGACATTCAGTATTAGGATAATACTTTAGTATTTTCTTACTTAATTATAGTATAAAATGTATGTCTGAAAGAACCAAAGCTCTATTGATTTGTAGAAGATGTACATTGTAAATATCATGGTGTTACATATCTATGTTGGGTTCAAATTTATATAGACGTTTGTTGATTAATTTGTGTCCACGGATTCATTTTCTTCATTTAATTTTAAATATAATAATAATAATAATCATAAAATCGAATAACTCCCGACGTGACTATGCAACTTTTATATAAATAACATCCATGTTGTATTTTCTTTGCATATATAAGACAGCAATTTTTTACAGAGGCGAAATGTATTTATAGTTTCGAAGACTTATCAAAGAATTTCCTGTATTTATCATCATTATCATTTGAACGTTGCAGTTTACAACTTTTACACTCGTGATTGCACTTTGTAAAAAAAAATATTTTGTGTATATGTGTGTTATGTATATTTTTGGTTTTCAAGTGGGCACAGTTAAGGTTTAGATGTAGAAGTATTTTAAGTTAACGATTATAGAATTAGACATATGAATGTGAAATGTATGGGACTTTAGTGACAGCCAAATCTGCTTTACTTATAAGATTGATTTTTAAAAGTATTAAGAATGTATCTTATCAAGAACTGAAGACTAGTATTGTTTGTTTTGTTTTTTAATTTAACGCAAATTTTTGTTTAATAGGATTCAAATAATTTCATCAAGATGGCGCGGCGCCATCTTGTTAACTTAGTTAAAATGTTTGAAAACGATTATATCATACGGTCTTCTTTTTTTGATGAAGTGAATGAAGCATAGAGTTATATTTTTGTAGGTGTTATTTTGATTTAATATTGTATTGTAGAAAGTATTTATTTATTGTCCGACGCGTCCGTTTTCTACTAGTGCCTTATGACGGACGGCGGGTTACGTTGCGGGGGTAGACATTATGACCATTCATCGTAATAAAAATAAATTTTAATTTATTTGTTTTATTTTTGGATCCTAATAAAAGAGTCATTTTAAATTGGGAATTGATGTTAAAAGAGGATTTGTTAATGACATCAAAGTAGTGTTGAAAACACAATTGCCACAATTGATGAAATTTTTAGTTAGTATTGTTTTAAATTGTTTTACCTGCCTTACCCTACCTTATCTGCCAAAAGCCTTCTAGCTGGCGCTTTAAGAAATAGATTCTATCTTCTCCGAATAAGCTTTTATTTTAGATACTATTACTCAATATCTACGGACTATATATAATCTAAAAATCAGATGTATTAACCAAGGTTTTATGTGATTCTTTTTATGAATGACGTGCGCAGAACTTAAAAATTATGGCATAAATCAATTCGTTATTGTTATATAGAGCAAGCAAAATTCTTAACTCAGCTTGCTCTATTTAGAAATAAAAAGAAACATAAAAAGCAGCGGAATTATATAGATATTCAATAAAATATCCTGACTTTATATAATATACGACTTACGAGTGAAACTTTTAAGTACGTAGGTACGTGACACATGTGATTATAAAAACTAAAAACTTATCTCTATTATAAATTGTTATCTTATGGAAAATAAGATAAAATAATTTTAATCTACATAAAAAAATCTGTGCACGTGTTTTTATAAAGGCTTGACCGATTTTGATGAATATTTTTGTGATAATATACCTGGATGGTTCTTTGTTAGTCAGTCATCAAAATTGTATTTCTTTTCTTTTTTATGACCAAACAAGTTCGATGGCAAAATACCGTCTTATGCGTCCGGCGATCCATCCGAGCGTGAAGCAAAGACTCACTTTGGAGGCGGCCTACCTCGGTGGGGGATGTACCATACGAGTTGCCTAGTACTAACCTAACCAAAAGCCAAATATTTCTTTTTAAGAAGTTTGAGAACAGAAGGATTACTTAGTATAAAATTATATTTTGAAGTACCTAATTCGAATCAAATTAAGTTTTTATTCGTTGTTCAGTTTTCCTATAATTAAATATACACAGCGTAAAACTATTTTACTTTCAATCATGTAACTAGCGACTTACCCTCGCTTCGCTCGGGAGCATCCCTCTAGGCAGTAGGTACGTTTTGAATAGATATAAATAGGTATTACGAGTGTACCTTTGAAGAAAAATTACCACTTCACAAAATTTGGTTAAAATCGGTTCAGTAGTTGTTTGCGTGAAACCGCACACACAAACAGACATACAGAAAAAACATTGTTTTGGGTTCTATATTCTGTAAACTATATTATGTTATAGTCATTATTATAAAAAAAATATTGCATGTACAGATTTTGCTAAGTACTGTTTTATTATATGTGGGTATATTTCAGCTTCTGACCCTTCCCAAAATTTAACTCTAGATCCGCACCTGACTACATATAACATAGGTCTCTGATAGAAGAGTTGACGTGGGAATCCCCTAGTTTATGTAGTCTGCTTCGGTAGGCTGACGAGGCGTCGTGGACCGTGATTAAATGCGTAAGCGATCCTCGTGAAGATGAGTTGCTCCCTAAGTGCGGTTTTCGGCTTACGCCCGGCTAAATTGCCAGATGTTAATTATCCCAACGATAGAACGATCTTAGAACTAACATCACTGTAGTCTGGGGCTTCACATATCTGCTTAAAATAAACTAGTCGATTAAATATTATTTGTTTTCATTAAACACCTCCAGGTAAATTTTTAAGTAATTAATTAAATTTCTAAGAAATCTATTGTTAACTGTAACGCCGGCGTGTCGGCGGTCAAGGAGGGATTAAGTGTCTTATAACAGGGTCTGAAATCAATAGTTTCAACTTTCAACAACATTTACTTTAGTTATCAGCTGATAACAACTGATAACTAAAGTATTAAACCTACTATTTTTTGTAGTTACATATTTTTACTTTATTTGTTAAATCGTATTTAATTCGTGGTGGATATAATTTTTTAAACTAGCAACAAATTTAGAAATGTCAAATTGCATGGCACTGCGTCGCTTTTTAGCTTATCATCGCAGAATTTCCGCGAATTTTGCAATATTTGAAGTGAAACATAGTAAACTATACACAAATTTTAGCAAGACTTCAAAATTCAGTTCAGCTAAAAGAAAATTGGTAAGAATTTATTGTGTCATTTTTCTAATAAGAATTTAGAAGTTGATATTAGGTATGTATAATAATTATTGTAACTGCTTCTGTACCATTTGCAGTTAATTTCTCTTATCAGTTTGACTCAATGACTTTTGTATAACAAAACATTTCGCATAAAACTGTGCTTATAAGTGGTATTCTGCTTAAATATTTAGTGCCAAAATCGTTTTAACATTTTTTGGTTATAATTTCAACTACCCTCGAGTATTTCAAAGACAATTACTATTTTCAACTTGTAAATTAAATATTGTTGGAAATTAAAAAATTATCAATTTATTTAATAATATTTCTATGTTATCAGACAAAGGATCATTGTAAACTATTATCTTACTGTTTAAACAAAGTGATACTTGGAGATTAATATTTAAGATATAACGATTTATAGGTTTTAACATTTTATTTAGTTTTTGAAAATTATTAGAAATATTTGAAATTAAAAATCGTCAGTGTAATTATATTTTATTAATATTTTTTCTGTTTCATATATTTTTATTATACAATACCAATATAATATATAACAATATGCATGAAACTAAATTATATGTTATTATAATTATTTCCACCACAAACTTAATTACCAACACATGTACTGAGAATACATGGATATATAATGGAGGAGTTTATTACAGCAATTTTCCTAGAATTTTTTTCGCAAGTATTGATGCTCAGGTATATGGATGGCTTATTATTTTCTTCTTAACTAACAAAATGTTGCAGTAGGAAAGGAACCGCACTTTGGAGGTAGCCTTAAATAAAATTAAGATTTTTTGTACTCAATATAATAGCATAAAACAGTTATTATTTTTTATTATCCCTCGGGAACTGTATATTTTTCCAGGATAAAAAGTCTGTTATTCCAGACTATGCTCTATCTCTGTGCCAAATTTCATCCAGATCCGTTCAGCTGTTCTGGCGTAAAAGAGTAACAAAGATCCATACATACTCAAGAACTTTCACATTTATAATATTTATACAGATATACAGATTAAATATTTTTGAATTTTTTTTTACATACAATGAAATTAAGTATCAACCAATAATATTCAATATTTATATAAAGTAATCTTATTACCCAATCCATATTTTTTATCAAAATGTAATAGATTACAATTACATATTATAGTTGTTGTAATATCTATTTCCATTCTTAAATTGAAATGGATTGAAACAGTTTGTAGGTCACTACAAACTGAGCCAAATGTGTCGTTTGGCTACTTGCTGTGCGAGCGGTTGCGGGTTCGAGTCCCGCTGGGGGCATTCATTTATGTGATGAGCACAAATGTTTGTACTTCAGTCATGGGTGTTTATACTTAGGTATGTAGTGTATTAACTATCTGGTATCCATAACACAAGCCTTGTAGCTTAACATGGAACTAGATGGTGCTGTGTGTTAATGTCCTAACATACTTATTATTTATTACTTTTACTAGTTGATAGTGCATTATTATGTTTTTTTTAAATACATAATATATAAGGTGAGCGCGAAAATATTATAGTGCACAGGTATGCACGCAAACACAACTGCACTGTCTTTGCCTTCACTTTCTAACTGCGTTGGGACAACAACTCAATATAACCGGTGAGAGATCGAGCGCAGGATCGACGGTTCACGGGGAACTAAACACCGCCAAATGTTCAACCATGGCCAGAATTGATTACTGATAATATCTTGGCAGTAAACTATCAATAACGAAACTTGACTGACCCAGGACTCGAACCCAGGACCGGATCTGCTGCCGTACATACTAACTTTTAGACCAACGAGGCAGTTGTAATATAGATGTACGTCAGGTCCTAGCATGTGCTTATAAAGTCCTGGGTTAATTTATTATCAGGGGCAGCCAAAAACCAATGTATATTGGTGTTTTTGTCAAGATAATTTTCAACAGCAGGTTAGGTTAAGATAATCGTCGCGATAAAGCAGTTTGATCTCTTCAGTTGGGTCGAATTGTCTTTCCGCCAGATCAGGAACTAAAGTGAGCTTAGCCTTCGTAACCAAAAATATATTTCCAATAAAAAATCGTAATATAAACTATAAAGCATTGATTCGCTTTTTTTTCATTACGTTCATTAATAATTCTGTAATGAACCTAACGACCAAATGATATTTAATTTAAAGTTAAACGTTCTTAATTACGTAATTAATAATATATTATTAAAACTTTTTTAATTAATGACATTTATTGATTTACCAATAATATTAAGCCAAAAATCGAGGGTTAGCTGTTATCCTAGTTTAGGAATATTGGTTTTTAAATGTAAACAGACTGACAGAATATTTTTTTAAAACGAAGATCTGTCAATATCGAGTTATTTAGACAATTCTTGTTCAAATCGCATATTTTATTCAAGTTATACAACGGGTTTAGAAAGAGCTTTTTTTTCCGAACACCTAATATAAGACGAGTGTAGAGAACGCGGCGGTTAGTCAACACGCAGTAGCAGTGGGTGCGGGAGTCACGATGCGTGCCTTCCATGTATTGTCAATCTTTGCATTGTTTCAGTGCCCAAGCGCAACCGTGTTCACTGCCCCGTGGAATATGACCTTCGAGTACCCAGAAGCGAGAAGAGATGAGACCGTGGTCGATGACTACCATGGAACCAAGGTATTTTAACATTTACTATTAATTTAAACCAACTATTATAAACACAATTTATAGAAGATTTTATTAACGCCGTCTTACTGTATTTTTTTTATTCTAATTTTATAAATTATCAACCTGTTTTGATGTTCTACTAGAGTTCATTCGGTTAATGAATGAGTCTTATAAACGTATATCCGGTAAACTCCTGGTACATAACATCAACTTAATGCGGAATTTATCATTATGTTTATGGTTAAATAAAATAAATTGTACTAACATTTGTAAAGAGATCTCTATCGTATTCTACTGCCGCTTCTTACCATACAGTACCGCGGTCACGGGTTCGGGTCCAACGCGGTATTTTAACCATAATATCACTTAATCGATTTCTGGTAAAAAAGAATAGGCATTATCACCGACCAAGACTTTATCTATAAATCTGCGAAAGAGGAATAAAGAATGATAAGGTTTTAACGCTTAAACCTCACTAGAGATTTGGAGGGCGTTAAAAGTTAGCTTTTAATGATGAGATGAATAAGTATGTTTTTTAATTTACCTCTTACAATTAACACCGTAGTTTATATATTGTGGCATAAAATTAATATGAACTATGTCCTTTACGAGATAATTTCTAATTCCTAATAATCATCATGTATCGTTCAATTAAACGCGTCAAGTCACGTACACGAGCATGCATTTCAACGTACTATAGTACAAGTTGCTTTTACTAAATAGTTTTATTTCTTGTTATATGTATACGTCAACAATGTGTGTGCATCATCAGTAATAATATAATTACCTTTTTTCAATAATTGCTCTAATTTTTTAAAGGTCTATCTATATCTCTACAGCCTTAAATATTGCTTGTAATAACAGAAAACTTTTTAAATTTAAAACCTAACAACGAAAAATTAATAGATGCTAATGCATACCAAAGCTCGCTTTTTTATAAGCACTTTGATCCAATGCTATATTTTGCTATAGAAAAAGAGACGTAAATATTAGAGATGTGCCGACTACGACTTAGGCCGACTAGCCGACTAGTTGGCTGTAAAGAGGCCGGCTTTGCCGACTAGTCGGCACTTCTCTAGTAAATATATAGATATATTGATATAGTTTAATTACCTAGTACCAACTCCGTTTCTTCAAAGCATGAGTAATGTCTTTTATTTATTTAAATTATAATGATTCGTAGCAAAATATATATATAAATACATTAAATAATTTTTTTGACATCAATCATTACAATTTTTATATATAGTCGGACAAAAACTTAATAGTTCAATGAATTAAAAAAGGTTTTATGGCCTTGGAGTGATTGTCTTGAAGATTCTTTTCAATCCAATTTAATATATAGGCACAATAACAATAATAGAATTTCCTACGTCTATGGTGAAGGTCCGCTTGGTTGCTAATAAAACTATTTGGACAACAATGAAATCACGAAGTCAATATATCTATCTACACAGCATTTTGATTAATATTCAATACGAGTCCAACCCGTTCATTGTATTCTTATTGTGTTTAGCTAAAGCTTCTCTCTAGCCTTGTACCGGTATTCATAAAAAGTAAAACTACAAATTAATATTATTATTTACGAAACAAGTCTGTATATTCTGTGCGTTGACCCCTAACGTAGAGCAAAAAATTGTCAAAAGAAATCATAAGATATGATTGTGTTTTTTTATAGTAAATAAATAAGTTGCACATTTGTTTAAAACACGTACGGCCCAGTAACCCTACTTGCTATGCCAGCGGTCTCGGGTTCGGTTCCCGCTTATTCATTTGAGCGATGAGCACGAATATTTGTACTCCAGTCATGGGTGTCTATATTTATAATATGTATTTAAAGTTATACATATATGTGTAGTGTATCAACTACCTGGTATCCATAACACCATTTATTTATTATTTTGTTTAAAAAAATACAGTCGAATTGAGAACCTCCTCCTTTTTGAAGTCTGTTGAAAAGACGAAGATTTGTTGTACTCAGCTGTATACGTAATCGTTTACTAAGCTAAATAATTACAACTCGTACCTTATGCAGGGCAAATCAACCTAGGATTGTCATAACTAAATAACAAAAAATCGTATAATTGGGCCCAGTTATGCAAAAGAGCCATGTGCGTAAAAGTACCAAGAGAGTTATAAGCATTTTTCTGTCAATAGTTGCACTTGGGTTATGTTTTGTTTTTCTGGTTATTTTAAAATTGAACAAGATTTATATAAGTATTGTTTATTTTTTTATAATAAAATGCTTATAACTCTGTTGGTACTTTTACGCACATGGCTGTTTTTTGAATAACTGGGTCCAATTTGTGTTTGTAATAGTAAATAAAATAATATATTCGTCCCTTTCTTTTTGAAATAGATAGCAGATCCTTACCGGTGGCTGGAAGACCCTGATTCAGAAGAGACTAAAGCTTTTATTGAAGCTGAAAACAAAATTACCCGTCCATTTCTCGACTCTTGTCCAGTGAAGACTGACATTAATAACCGCCTTACAGAATTATGGAACTACCCCAAATATTCAAGCCCGTTTAGAAGAGGAAATCGTTACTTCTTTTTTAAAAACACAGGACTTCAAAATCAAAAGTACGTTATTACAATTTTTGTACAATCATTTTGCAAAATTTAGTTACATGCATATATATCTTATTAGTTTAATTATAATGACGAATATTGTTTTTAATTTATTATTATTAGTAACGGCTAGTCTTTTTCGCTAGTGTTCTTTATATGCAAGAGAGCTTAGACCAGGAGCCAGTGGTGTTTCTAGACCCCAACACCCTCTCGGAGGACGGCACTGTGGCTCTCTCGGGCTACAGGTTCACTGAGGACGGCTTGACCTTCGCATACGGCCTCTCCGCCAGCGGGTCTGACTGGATTACGATACATTTGAAAGATGTTCTCACTGGTAAGATTTTGCCTAAATATTTACGTAATATAATGTTCAAATCGAAATATTTGCGATATAACATACTGCTTTTTAACATGATATATTTTCCTATGTATAGTCTATATAAATAAAAATGAAATGCAGATCGCGTTGTAAGCGCGTAACTTGAGAATGGCTGGACCGACTTGGCTAATTTCTTTTTTTAAATGTTTTTAAGATTCGGACTATACTCTAAGGGTTTCGAGGAAAAACATTCGAAGAGTAGAGGGAGAATGTGAAGGTCTATATGATTATTGTATCAACTCAATACTTTATTCCTTAAACAGGATAACGTCAGTCAGGTCAACTAGCCCATACAAATATATCAATATGAAAGTTTGTCTGTTTGTCCTTTTTTCATGTCGAAACGGATTGACGGGTGGGCATGATTTTTTGTGTGGAGGGCTGGCGAGACATAGGCTACTTTTTACCACGGGAAATTATCTCTTTCCCGCGGAAAAACACGTAATACAATCTAAAAAATATTTATAATCAGAATTACTTGAAACTTGGTATAAATGCACTTCAATAGAATTAATTAAATATTCATTTCTCGAAATTCACCCCATAAGGGGGTAAAATAGCGGATGAAAGTTTGTATGAAACCATTTTAGAGTTTTTTTTTGTAGTTTTAGTGCGAGCGAAACCGCGGGTTCTTCTAGTAACTCATAAGTATAAAACTTACTACAAATACATATAACTTATTTATTTTTATTCACGATGCCACTTCATCTTGGAAGATAAATTTAATAATATCCTATTACAAGCTTACAACCATTAAACCAGTATTGCAAAAACATTAATACACACAGCGTTCGTTAGTTTTTTGTGTTTATATCGAATCTAGCTGATATCTGTTAGAAGTCCGCCGCCTATATAAAGTTATATTTTTAATTAATAGTTTATATAACTAAAATAAGTAATGATTCTTTTTATTACAAAATTCCTATTTTTTTCTCTATTGTGGATTTAAATATCAATCTTTTAAAATGTAAAAAAAACTCATATATGACGTAATACGGAGGCTACCATATCCTTTGTAGAGAATTCAGCCTGGCATAATATTTTGCTTCTATTGCCTATTGTTTTTTGTATACGTAAGACCATGGGTGGTTAATTCGTTCATGCGTAAGACGTATGATTTTAAGCAATAATTATTATAATCAACTGCCACTGTTAATAAAGTATATTATATGTAATAAAAGTTTCGGTTCGATCTCACTCCAAATGTCCGAATCGAGATCCGGCTGCTAAATCTAATAATATAATATACTCATTTTTTTATATACAATAATAAAAGGGACAATATGTTTTGACCGGGTACCTATTAAAATGTGCCCGCTAGTATGTTTAATTAAATAAATAAAGTGATAGCTGCCGTTGCGCACTGGCCGCAACCTCCTCGTAGCCAGGTGTAAGCCAGTCATATTTTGTTACGTTTATACGTTCATGGCGTATATTCATCATTTATATATCAAATTAAAGCTAATTTTTTCTGTACCTGATAAACTATGCCTATGTAAAAGTGGCCGCAATGGAAAGAAAAGAAGGAAAGAATATAATTTTATATATCACTTTTCAAGATCTCTACGTATATTACTGTGAAGTGGAGTATACTTCATTTTAATAACAAATGCATCGTTTTTGTTCCAAAAAGTCTATTATTATTTATTTATACTGTATATGTATTGTACTGGTCACAAGTTCAATTTCTTTAGAAGTCAAAATTATTATTTTTAATGTCTTAGTTGAAAATAAAATTATTAATTCCTACGTTTCATCTTTCATATCTGCTGTCCAATCACATAGTTTATGAGAAAAGGTAATTTTTATCGTCTAATACAGACGGATTTTATGTTATTTATTATAAATGCAAATCTGTTGTATACACAAAATATAAACAAAAAAACCTTAAATACGCATAAATATTAATTTTCATTCGTAGGCAAAGATTACCCGGAGGTGTTAGAAAAGGTCAAGTTCGCGTCAATGGCGTGGTCGAAGGACAACAAAGGACTTTTCTATTCAGTATGTATTTATGCTTATGTTTTTGAATAATTATACGACTCTAAGTTCCCCAGAACTAATTGATACTACAGATATTTTTCACGGTTATATAAATTGTTATATAGATTCGGTTTTGTACAGGTCACGGTCTGATTAAGCCAAATGTGACGTTGACCGCTATCAAGAACGTTTTCTCGTAAATCGATTTTTAAAGGATGATATGATCAATAGCTATTTATTCAACGAAATTATTGAAATATAACTATTTTATAAAGCCAACAATAAGATTCGTTTTAGATACTATGTTTTATTTTTATTTTGTTAGTGTTTCTTTTTGAATTCTTTAAACGGTTCACGTTTTACGGTTTTTACGGTTGATAACAATGAATATAAATTGTGTCTTCATTTTTTTTTCTACATGAATATAATATTACCAAATTTTGTCTAAATGATTATGAATATATGGTTTTATATTTTTATTATATATTTTCTTTTAATAAAATAACAACAAATTATCGTCTATAAAAGAAACGCATGTATACTTTTTTATTAGAAAAATATAAGTTATGGGTAAAAAAAAACTTATGTTTGAACTAAATAGATGCCTTATGCTATAGGCTCCATACTATCACAAATAGTGAGAGCACGTAAGATTAAGGACCGTTTAATTTTTAATAATTATTATAACGAACCGGGCTCTTAAATTATATGAATAACTACCCAAAACAATTACTAAAAATATAAGCAAGTTATCAAAAGTAAACATTTCCAGCGGTATCCGGAGCAGACGGGCAAGACGGACGGCTCGGAGACGGAGGTGAACCGCGACCAGAAGCTGTGCTACCACCGCCTCGACACGCCGCAGGCGGACGATGTCGTCGTCGTAGAGTTCCCGGAGGAGCCCTTGTGGAGGATGTGAGTTATTATATTCCTTTTTTTTGAAGTGAAACTTCTTTAGAATTGTTGTGAAATGAAAATGCGACACTAAAAAGAGACAAACACATAAATATATAACACTAGCATTGCCCGCGGCTCCGCCCGCGTTCACATGCCCAAAAACCAAATTTTTAGGTTTTACATATACTCTTATATTGCGGTTTTTGTATTTTTTCTCAGATATGAGACATTTTGCCGCGGTAAAAAGTCCTATATGTTGACCCGGATAACCAGCTATCACCATACCAAATTTCATCAAAATCCCTCCAGTGGATTTTCTGTGATGCGGTAACATTTAGATTTTACAAACTATAGATTCGGCCTCTGTATGTCTATTTCAATAAGATTTTCCAAAAAATATTTAAGTACACATTCGGCTTAGTTACAATTTTATTATATGTATAGTTAAGCCGTTATCAGAATAACATAGAATACATTGCCATGTTGCCATGGTAACCGTTGTTATTGTCTGACAAGTATTTATTATTATATTCTTTTCGTATATGAGATTCTTTATATATTTATAATATGTTTGTAATATGCCCAATATGCCTTATTTAATTATTGATTTGTTTTAATTTAATTGCGATATTTGCCAGTTTTGACTTCAACCGCGCGTAAAGGTTACATGCACCCATTTTTTTATTATTTTACTTGTTATTTACCCTCGTTTTATTTAGGTGCGTGCCTAAGGTCTAGATGTGTACTGAATTTAATTTTCCAAATTAATCCAGCCGTTACAGCGTGAGAAGCTACAAACATACAAGTTTTTGCTAGTATAATATAGTGATAGTAAATTATCTCATTACCTAGCAATATCTATAAGTTTTTTTTTGCATCGTGATCTACGCGATATATTATGAGAAATTATTGCTATACAAAAAAAATCGTATCAATGCATTGGCCTATATAGGAAGGCGTAGAACGATGAATAAAAAATGTTTTTGGCACTTCTTTGTCTATTTGAGATTAATTTAAATGTTAGTTGTACGAAACTAAAATCTACATTGAAATCTGCCCATCTGATAACTGGCTTTGATTTACCTACCACTCGAGCGGGGTCACAGGTAATTATAAACCAGCATCTTATCCTCGGATCGCTCGGGTGCATCCCTAGGCACGTTTTAATTTTTTTTAATGTAAGAGTGGAACCCAATTTTTTTTCTGAAATAAAAGTAACTTAGGCTTAGTTACTCCTTATAACATCAGCTATCTGCCAGTGTAAGTCTCGTCAAAATCAGTTTAGGAAGTTAGGAAGTAGTTAGGAACAAACAGATAGAGAGACAAAAATGTAAAAACATATTATGTCTTTCTTTAAGTATAGTAATTTCATATTCATCTAGTAAAATTTTTTACTGTGACAATACAAAGAGACACTTCAATTTTATTTATCTGTAGATTTAAAAGGTTGTAGATATAAAAGATTTCAATCCATACATGTCAGCAAAAAATCGTTACACTTACAAAAATCTATTGGGGCAAGTAAAACAAAGATAACATATTTTAAATAACTATCGATTATCCACATAAAACACTTTAACCAATTAAATAAAGCATTTTAATGACGCAGAATGTGGAAAAAAGGCATATCAGATAATATATGTACATAATATGAATAAATGTTGAATTATTTCAATATTTTACTTATTTACTTTTAAATTATTAATTAGTTAATATATAATATACTCTTGCATATATAAAACATACATAATATGTTGTATGTTTGTAAACATTGAAATTAGTCTATACTATAGGTATACTTAGCATCTAGCGTGTTTAATATGGAAAGGTTATTTTATTTCCCTTATTTGTATACATTCTTAAAGCATTAAAGTAAGTTTGTTTACTCAGGGCTTATTAGAACTGTGATTTTATATGCGCTTAGCGGGAAAAATCCTTTTATTTATGCTAAAATAGTGATCAAAAGCTATAATTATGTGTAATTACAGCCATATTTGAAAAACTGGAAATGAAGATTCTTAGAGATATTTTTTACTTATTTATCGTCTTACAGAGATACCAATACACGAATGCTGGGACAAGAGAGACGAGCGTACGTTTATTGGAAATATAATAGAAATTTGATGTTATTAGCTTTAATAGATCATACTTTTTAATCTGTGTTCGGTAATTAATTACTCATGTAATTTACTGCCATTTTGTTTATATTCGATGGTTTTATCGCATATTTTATATTTATACTTCATGTTTTATACGAGTCGTAATTATTTTGTTTTTATTTTATTACGACCTTGACTTAACATATAAAGTATGAAAGTTTATTACTTGACATGTACTCATGCATGTAATTTCATTGAAAATTACCAATAAATATGTAATTTTTGCATAATACTTATATCTGGTTGTATTGCGTTGTTTTTATATAAATACATTAGTGAGATTATACAGGGTTCAAAAATAAATCGTACATCTTTATTATATAGATATATAGATTGAATTTAACTTTAAATAATGCCTACTTTTTCTTATATACGCCACATTATATTTTTGTGTGGCTTTTATATGCTTTCGTTTTGTATTTAATCTTTAATTTAATATTTAATTAGTAATTAGATTGTTAAAAAATATTCTATAAATTGTATTATAGCTAGAATAGCTATGGGTAGTTGTAAATATATTAAATAATACTCGTTCTCTTATCACGAAAGATGATTCTACACACAATTCTACTTGGAATATCCTTGAATTGTAACTGTTTATTTAATAAAAAGATTACCCTCACATCGGTTAGGTGTGTGTATGTTTCTTAGTTCTTTAGTCTGAAATGGATGGACAGATTTGGATATAATTCAGTACACGAATAGACTGAAATTATAATAATAGCCAATAATGGCGCCACTGTATATAACACTAGAGATTCTCGCGTAGCTCGGATGCGTCCCTAGTTGCCTTTAATAAAATAATATCTCATTTTTTTCTAATTTAATTAAAATTATTATGATTTCTGACAGTAAACACATGTTTATCGAAATTAAAAAAGCCTGCAGCATTCGGCGGTAACGTAGCTTCCTATTATTAAACGAATTTTCAGAATCTAATCAGTTGTTTCATAAAATACTTACATACAAACTTACAAACTTTATCTCTTTATTATATTATTATATTAGTGTAAATCATACGAACCCAAACGAATATAAGATAAGACATTAGTAGTCTCCCGTGACCATGGTTGCTGTAAAGCATTCGATACGCCCGTCGGGAACCAAATGTCAAAATAAATCCGCAAAAAATCCGAAAAGATAGTTTTAATTATATTGTCAAGTATTCGCGTAAATCTAAGAAAGTGTTCTGCCGTCATAAGAAAGAACACCGTTTCGTCAATGTTGATTTCGAGATATTTGAAGTTTTGTCTTACTCCTACGTAACGTCAAAATTATTACTAGTTTTGACGTAGTTACGATAAAATGCTTATGGTATCTCTGGATTCATAAGATTTAGAGGTTTGTGATTAAGACTATCAAGTAGCATTTTTTTTTTTGCTGAATCCGATTCTGCATATAAGTCATTTTTGACTAAATTGTTAGTTACGGCCTTCTTTTATGTGACAGCAGTATTAAGGTAGTAGTCAATATGAATGATATATATAAACTCGCGACTTACCCTCGTACGATTGGTACAATTTAATATTTTTGCGCGGAACCCTAATTCTTAGTTAGAGATTAGCCGAAACAAACAGACCGACAAAAATAAAAAAAATGTGTTTTTCTTTTAAGTATCATAATATATAATTTATATGCATTTAGTAACAAGCTGTTATTTAGATATTACAAACAGACACTTCGATTTTATTTATCTGTAAATTTGAAAATGTAATTTTGTCCCAGCGCGGGCGAGGTGTCGGACTGCGGGCGCTACCTGATCGTGACGCCGGTGAAGGACTGCCGCGACAACCTGCTGTTCTTCGCGGACCTCAGCAAGACGCCCGACATCTCCGGCAAGCTGCAGCTCACGCAGATCGTGCACGAGTTCGAGGCTGACTATGAGGTATTATATCTTATCCTGTAATGTTAAATAAGCAATTCTTGTATATTTATGTATCATCATGTATCTCGGAAATGGTTCGATTTGGATCATAGTTTGTTTTTAGATAAGGTTTTGATTTTTAAGTTTATCTATATAATATGTAGGTGTCGTTTTTTAAAAAATGGAATTTTTCACAAAAAAAATATATAAATAAAACGGGCATCTACGCCCAGGTACTAGTATATTAAATACTTTGATCAACAATATTACGTTAATACGAAGGAAATACGTAAATTCGCATGCATTCCGTCCATCTTAGCCACCCCGGACTACTCGCTTTCGTCATACTAAAATAAAAAGCTCGTTGTCCTTTTAAGACTTATCTTACATGCTAAGAGTAAAAAACAAAAAAAAATCGAAAACTTAGAGATTTTTCTAACCATACCTTATTGATATTTTAGAATTTTATGTCCATATTATGAAAATTTGTCAATTTTTGTAATGTTTAATTTCAGTATGTAACCAACAATGGCTCGGTGTGTATATTCAGAACGAATAAGAATGCGCCCAACTACAAACTCATCAAGATAGATCTCAACAACCCCACTGAAGAGAACTGGGAAACTCTTATACCGGTAAATATACATATAAAGTATTAGGAAATTATAACAATTATATGGAAAGCTTTATATAGTATTATTAAAGAAGATTTTCTTATTTTCAATTGAAATTAAAACATACATAAAATGTCTTTCAAAGACATAAATTCTCCTTCTTCTTCCTGCCTATTTCCTAATCAGTTGGGGTCGGCGCAGTACATCTTCTGTACTGCTGAAGGATTTGGCAAAAGTTACGACCGGCCGCCTGCCTGACGTCAACCCTCCTTGCGTTTCAAAGACATAAATTAAATAACATAAATCGTCGAGAAATTATAATTATTTTTAGTTTACAATTTTTATTTTTCATTTTCAAAGAAAGATATTATATGAATATTCAGTTGTTTACTGTTTATAAGTAATTATATAATTCGTAGGAACACCCCCGAGATGTGTTGGACTGGGCGGCGCCCGTGGACAACGACAAGCTGGTCCTTCACTACGTCAGAGATGTGAAGGTAATAAACAATAAAATATCACCCAAAATTTAATTTATTTAAAAATGTTTTTTAATTATTTTCTTAAATTAGTATTAATTAAAGCTATATTCAATTAAATTACGATAAATATATTAGATAGATTATAATATACGTAAATGAAAAATACGTATATTAGTAGGGAGTATAATCTAGAAAATTGGAGATAGAATAAATCATTATGTATTACAAGTTACCTAACAGCCAGTACTTTTATTTTGATAATTACATTACAATTATTCTAAAAGTATAATTATGATGGTTTCCAGAGCGTCCTCCAAGTGCACACGGACGCGGGCGAGCTGGTCCAGGAGTTCGACCTGGCGGTGGGCTCCATAGTGGGCTTCTCCGGCAAGAAGGAACAGCACGAGATATTCTACCACTTCATGTCCTTCCTCACGCCCGGCATCATATACCGCGTAGACTTCACCACCGGCAGCCCTTACACGCCTACTGTGAGTTGTCTCTGGATTGATTGACAAGTATTGTAAATACGCTAGTTTGTGTGTGTATGTGCGCGTGTGTGGATTCAAATTAGGAATGAAGATAGATTATATGCTGGAATTAAATATAGTTTGTTACTTTGCTTGTAAAGATATTAAAGCATTATTCTTTTTTGCACTTAAAAGTAAATAAATACCTAAAATTAAGATACAATTTTTATTTACAAAGGTGGACTTATCTGTAGAAGAGATCTCTTCCAGCCAAGCTATGGTAGTAGAAATAGTGTTATAAAGCAGGCTAAAATCGTGCAGATATTTGAATTGTATGATAATATGTCAACATTTATATTTATTATTATAATTTTTAAATGTGTCTTTATATTAATACATTCATGTTTCATGTTATAAACGGAAATAATATATGTAGTATATAATATTAATTTATGTTTTATGCAGGTGTTTAGAGAAGTAGAAGTGAAAGGATTCGACGCGTCGCAATACGAGGCTAAGCAGATATTCTACTCCAGCAAGGACGGCACCAAAGTTCCTATGTTTATTGTTTCTAAAAAGGTATTATAATTAATATATCACATTTTATAAGTTAAGCTTAATATACTGACCTATATAGTTATTAATTATGTATTACAATAAATTTATAATCTTTTAAGTATTTAATTTGTATAAAAAATTATGTAATATAAATTGGTTATTTTCCACGGGTATAGTCTATATACAGAAATATTGTCTATGCATTTGTTTGAGCTTTTTTTTGTCGGGATTATTAATGTAAACAGTTTATACTCATGCTTCTTATTTAAGATTTTTAAAGAAATTCAATTAAAAATTGATTTTAACATCGGAAATGGACTTACCTATTTTTATGTGATAAGTATAGATAAATCATTTTTAAAATTAAGGTTTACCATTCATGCTTAATTATTTTTAATGAACAGAATTTGCCTCGCGACGGCTCCAATCCGGCCCTAATCTACGGCTACGGCGGTTTCAACATCAACGTGCAGCCGAGCTTCAGCGTGACGCGGCTGGTGTTCATGCAGCACTTCAACGGCGTAGTGGCCATCCCGAACATACGCGGCGGCGGCGAGTACGGCGAGCGATGGCACAACGCCGGCCGTCTACTGAACAAACAGAACGTGTTCGACGACTTCCACGCGGCCGCTGAGTACCTGGTACGTGAGGGGTACACGCGCGCCGCGCTGCTCACCGCGCAGGGCGGCTCGAACGGCGGCCTGCTCGTCGCAGCGTGCATCAACCAGCGGCCCGCGCTCTACGGCGCCGCGATCGTGCAGGTCGGGTCAGTACCCCAGTATATATATACCTATGTACATGCACCTTTATATGCGCACGTACTTTTTATTACACGTTTATTATAATTTCTGATAGCAAACTCTTTATATAACTTTTATCAAAATAAAAATAGTTTTCAGAATCGGATCATTACTTGGAAAGATTAAATCTAACATACAAACTTACTAACTTTACCTCTTTCTTAGATTTACGCGAATATTTGCCATTTTAAATAAAACTATCTTTTCGGATTTTGTCGCGGATTTATTTGCATTTTTGTTTCCCGACGTTTCGAATGCTTTACAGCATCCATGATCACGGGAGAGACTGAGGTGTTACATGTCTTGGAGGTATAGTTGTTACATTTTGTTAATTGTGGGTAGGCTGTCTGTAATGTAAAGCATTCGAAACGTCGGGAAACAAAAATGCAAATAAATCCGCGACAAAATCCGAAAAGATAGTTTTAAAACTTTACCTCTTTTTATTACAATAGTATAGATATGTCCTTTGTTGTGTTTATACTTAGGTTTCATAGAAAAGAACTTTTATAATTACGCAATTTCCGTCTGTACGAAGAGTATTATATATAGTTGCATTATTGAAATTTGTGTTTCATGTAAACACAGGCTTACAAATAGTTGCATTAGTAATATTGTATGATTTACTGTATAGAGTGCTGGACATGCTGCGGTTCCAGAAGTTCACAATCGGACACGCGTGGGTGTCGGACTACGGCAGCTCCGACAACAAGACGCAGTTCGAGTACTTGCTCAAATACTCCCCCTTGCACAATATACAGCCACCTGATAACGGTATGGATACTTTGATTTGTTATTTCTTAAAATAGATTTGAATACATACGTCAAAAGTACGTGTGCATGATATTTGAAATGCAAAGTTAGAACCAAAATTCATATTTTGTTTTAAATCAAGTTTTACTATCGGTCTTTTACGTCCATATTTTTTGAATATATATCAATGGATTTCTATTAGACGTCTTTAGTGCGTGTTTCTAATAATTTTCCCTTTAAATTAATATAAGATTTTGAAACAAGTAGATGATAATATTTTGAATATTTTTTTTAAAAGAAACATTAGGAAAAAATGTCTGCGATTTCTTTTCTTATATGTTTCGTTTAATTAGGTCTACTATTACATATTTGCAAATTAAAATTATTTGAAAAACTGTGATAAACACTAGTGACGACTTAGAAATCGCCTTGTAAAGCTGAGATTTCATCTACAAAAAGTGAATAAATCCTTCATGGGCGTCCAATCGTATACGCATATATAATAAAACTCCACAAACCAATTTAGATTTATATCTAAACAATTTCTTTTTAACAATTTGAATATAAAATTGTGTTAGTGAGTAAAACATATTACTCTGTACAAAAATGGGTCACGTAGTATGGGTGGGTACATTCCCTAAGGACATAAGTACAAAATAATTTCATCCACTAAACACCCCAGGATGTGTTTATATACCCAGGGTAATTATTAAACCTAAAATTTCGTATCTCAGACTATATATATAAGGTGTGTATGTGTCGTCTGTGTCAGTGAGCCGCGCGGAGTACCCGGCCACGCTGGTGCTGACGGCGGACCACGACGACCGCGTGGTGCCGCTGCACTCGCTCAAGTTCATCGCGGCGCTGCAGCACGCCGTGCGCGCCGCGCCGCAGCGCCGCCCGCTGCTGGCGCGCGTCGACGCCAAGGCCGGCCACGGCGGCGGCAAGCCCACCGCCAAGATTGTACGTCTCTTATATGACATATTATGATTTGTCACTAACTTATTGTGGTAATTCTCATATATTATGTTTTGTTTTTAGATCGATGAGCACACAGATATATTGTGCTTCATGACACAAGCCCTTGGACTTAAGTTTGAGAAATGATGGAGTGCCATACAAGTGAAGAGTTTAAATAGTATTAATTGCATTAAATGAAGATTAATAGTATTATGTAAATATAAACAAAACACCCCACAGTCAGTGATTACCTCAGGTCTCTACCACGAGACTGGTGATATTGTTATGCATTGCTACTATTTTTTTATTGAATAAACTTTGTTATAATTTTTAAACATGCATTTTATTTATCAATAGTTAAATCATGAAGACTATAGACAAGAAGTCTTATGGCCAATTTCACCAACGTCACCTAAGATTAAGGGATCCCCTTAAGCATGGTTTGGGGGCTGTTAGGGGACAGTTTCTGTTTCACCGACAGTTAGGGGTCACCTAAATGTTAAAATGCCACCTAAATATAGGTACTAGAAATACGGGCCGATGGTAAAACGAAATTTAATTTAGGGGCAAGTTTAGGGGAACTTTTAAGCTAGGTATCTCATACGTAGGTGGTAGCTTATATGATGTTAGTGAAATCGGGCATTAATCTCCGTATGTAAAAGTGTCCCCAAAATTGTGAAAAAATAATAGTGAGCGCGTAGAAAGCGCTGCGGTCGCTATGTCCCAAGAGGGAGAGGTAAATTCACACTGATTTGTATATCGCCTTTATAACTAACTGCGCTTATAACATAGAACTAAATTCGCCTGGTAATTACGTAAATCACACGCGACTTGTGGCAGTCTCCGGAACAATAGCTCTAAAAAATTTTGTGGACGGATGTCTCTTATGAAACCATATTAGATTGGACTCCTTGTCTGTATTCTTCATGAGTTAAACCCTTTATATTGTAAAATTCATCATACATTCGAATAAAATATACAATTCATAAAAGTAAAAGCGCCATCTGTGAATCCATAATCTGCTCATATTTCAATAATCAGTAAAATTCCAAAAAATAATAATTTACGGCCGCATTATTTCGTTTCCCTTCACTTAATTTTTTTTTAAACAATCTCAGTGTCGGAGTTGTTTTTTTATCTATTGTTAATTTAACACATTACACAATAACTTATACACCATAAATTAACAAATCAATATTTGTAACGTCATCTATTGCCATTTGAACTATTTTTTTCTTTGTTCGTGATGTAGTAGGATTCCATGGTATAACGTACATTTTTCTTTACGTACAGTATCTTTTGTAACCAGAGTATATATTATATTTTTGAAAAGTTTTATTGATTTTCATATACATAGATCATAAAAAAGCGACGTAGCTCCATCTATTAACTCGATTCATTAATTATTATTTTTTGTACTTGAGAATCAAACTTGTGAACGAGAAAAATATTTCTCAAAAAAATGAGAGATTTTAAATATCATAAACATTCATGTTATAGCTATTTTAATAATTAGTATAATTATTAATTAGTATACCAGTTTATTAGTCAAGCCAGTAGCCACCCATCTATAAACTATAAAATATTAATAATAAAAGGGGATTAAATAATAACAATGATGTATACTTTAAGTTTTTATTTTTTTACTCTTACACAATGCTAACAGCACGAACTTCATTAGGGACTTACGCCACCCATATAATATAAAATATTAGTTACTTAGAACAAAATAAATAAAACACTTCTTAATGCCACTTTGGCGTATCTATCGAATAATAAAATTAATTTCTTTATGCGTTGTTACTTGTGCAACATTCAACATCAAGAAATTCTACCATTGGCCTCGATTTAAAACCGTTGTAACAAAAGACATTTTTTTTTCAATAAAACAAATGCATAGTTTCGATTTGACTTTCGAAGATCCCAAAATTCATTCTCAGTCTGCGACACAGTTACTGCTGAGTATGAAAGTTTAGTACAATTCGTACGTCAGACCCATTACAATGAAATGTACAATCGTTTGTGTACATACAACCGACCGGGCGGGGTCCCACGAGGCGCACTCGAATGTCAAAAACAAAATACAATCTAAAACCTCCGATCAATTGTATCTGATGCGTTACACGTGTACCTTACTTAAACATTAGCTCTAATTAAATAAAAGTTATATATTAGATACAAGTCAATAAAATTAACAAGCAACCTTACCTAAGACGATTTGGAGTACTACAACTAGATAAACATTTGCGAGACGGATCTTACATCTAAAATTACACATTTCATAGATTAGGGTCGAGATAGATGAACGTACGCGTGCCGGAGTTAATTTAAAAATCGAGGCCACAAGTGTAAGTGGTTCTAATCGCCGCATCCCTCGACTTAATGTATACTATGTATGTAGGTGCAAAGTGTGGGGCGGTGTGAGATGCGGCGATTACCGTACAGCTAACCTAGAGTCGCCATGGCCGCATGATCAACTCCTACCTACAGCTGGCAGCTGGTCGGCTTCCAGCCTCTTTTACTACATATTCGTTTCTACATCAGTGTCAACTATATTCGATCGCTATATAAAACGAGATAGCTGCATTTTTATAACAATATCATTAACCTAGTTAAATTCTACGACTTACTTTATATGTTGATTCAGATTCGACGCGTCGAGTTTCTACATACTTCGCAGTTACATATTATATAATATTTCAATAAATACGTTACGTCATATACAATAGAATTTGTGGTTTCTTTGTTAGTTCGACATTTAGAAGATCGCAGATCGCGCAAAGTATAACAAAAAATATACATATTTGTATTTCTAATATAATAGGAAAAGTTTAGAACAATAAAAAAAAAAGAAAAAGAACTAAGATTTGTTGCAAGACCCGAGATCAGAGGAACGCCGCTGTGAATATGTCATAGCTAGAGGGTGCGAAATAAACTTTGCTGTCTGATTTGAGGACGTCCCGAACTATTTATTTCGCGCCGTGAGATATTCACACTTGTATTGCAGGACCGAAAGGAAACATTAGTCTAGGGCTAGAAGGTCGGGCGCCGCTCACTCGATGCCGTTGCTTATCACGTTGGTCTTGGCGCCCGCGCCCGGCATGCTGCTTTGCATTCTGAAATATACGTACACACCTTAATAAATAAATAATAATGAACTCAGTATACCTAATCATATAAATTATAAGTAAACAATTATAGTCTTATATTTAAATGAAATACTTGCTAAATAATACTTTCTTAGATTTACGCGAATATTTGACATTTTAAATAAAACTATCTTTTCGGATTTTGTCGCGGATTTATTTGTATTTTTGTTTCCCGACGTTTCGAATGCTTTACAGCATCCATGGTCACGGGAGAGACTGAGGTGTTACATGTCTTAAAGATATAGTTGTTACAGACAGCCTACCCACAATTAACAAAATGAAAATTGCACCAATTACATTACAATATTTTAACTTTAAATATTTTTATAATTTTAATTATAATTGAATATGGAAAATTATTTATTTAATTTTTGCTATTATTTTTATAATTATTACAATTTTAAAAATATTAATTAGCAATCTATATTTAGTGTTGCCATTATTATATTCATAACCATAAGAAAAATATAAAATATAGTATTAATTATTTAAGCCACAATTGATCTATGTGTAATTTGAAAAAGTTAAGATTAATTAAAAAATAATAATTTTAATTTAAATTTGCTATTATTTAAAAACAAATTATTAAGCAACACATTACTACATACATTTACAAATGAAAAAGTGAAAAAATATTATTAATCAGAAATGCTATCATTTTGATCTACACAGTAAGAACTTACTACATCTACCTGTCTGTTATGTTTAGATTTATTATTAGATTTTATTATATTAATAACAGGATCCCATGACGATGGTATGAAAACCGATATCGCCCTAGAATGATTCGAGAAGCCATAGAAATTAAAAAACATCCTAATTTCAATAGGGAAGATGGCTGGGTACTACCATCGTCATGGGATCCTGTTATTAATATAATAAAATCTAATAATAAATCTAAACATAACAGACAGGTAGATGTAGTAAGTTCTTACTGTGTAGATCAAAATGATAGCATTTCTGATTAATAATATTTTTTCACTTTTTCATTTGTAAATGTATGTAGTAATGTGTTGCTTAATAATTTGTTTTTAAATAATAGCAAATTTAAATTAAAATTATTATTTTTTAATTAATCTTAACTTTTTCAAATTACACATAGATCAATTGTGACTTAAATAATTAATACTATATTTTATATTTTTCTTATGGTTATGAATATAATAATGGCAACACTAAATATAGATTGCTAATTAATATTTTTAAAATTGTAATAATTATAAAAATAATAGCAAAAATTAAATAAATAATTTTCCATATTCAATTATAATTAAAATTATAAAAATATTTAAAGTTAAAATATTGTAATGTAATTGGTGCAATTTTCATTTTGTTAATTGTGGGTAGGCTGTCTGTAACAACTATATCTTTAAGACATGTAACACCTCAGTCTCTCCCGTGACCATGGATGCTGTAAAGCATTCGAAACGTCGGGAAACAAAAATACAAATAAATCCGCGACAAAATCCGAAAAGATAGTTTTATTTAAAATACTTGCTAAATTTTTGTATAATGTTGTTTTTTGTCGTTAGCTCAAAAGTGAAAAAAAAATAAAAAAATGAAATAACCAAAAGGAGTAAGCAAGACAAATAATGTCATTAAATTTCTTTTTCCTCACATGTTAATAGTTTATTATTGCTCTTTTTTTTACTGCCTCGGTGGTGTAGTGGCTAGCATGTACGGCTGCACACCTGGAGGTCCTGGGTTCGAGTCCCGGGTCGGGCCCAGTTTAGTTATTGAGTCTTTCTGTATAGTAAGTCTCAGTAACAGCCCGGAGTTGGGAAGTTGGCGGTGTTTCACCCCCGTGCCTCGGAGAGCACGTAAAGCCGTCGGTCCTGCGCCTTAACTCTCACCGGTCGTGTCGAGTGGTCGTCCCACCGGAGTATGAGAGTGATAGGAATAGAGAGTGCACTTGTGTCTGCGCGTACACTTGAGCACTATAATATCTCCTGCGCAGTTGGCTCATCTCAATGAGATTGGCCGCCGTAGCCGGAATCGGCTAGGAGAACATCATCATTGCTCTTTTCCTTATCATTAACACAATGAATATCACATCAGAATACCGTTTCTTCTCAACTACTTCTACAGTCAATAAATAGCACTGACATTTTTAGTTTTAGTTTTTTTATATGTATATTCATTGCTACTTAGTAATTCAATTAAATTTTCTTGATAATAGCTTCAAATCGTGATAGTTTATACTTGATAATAATATTAAAGCTAACAACCTCCTGACAGATTTCGACTATTAACACTGGAGTTTAAAGTAATAAATAAAGAAAAATATAAAATAAATAAAGAATTTCGGAATCTCTGTGAGATCAGATGCAGGACCGACGACTCTACGAGCTCTATTCCAGCACAGGGACACACCGCTAATTTCCCATCTCTTGGCTATTACTTAAAGAAAAAATTAATAACTAAACTTGGTTCGACTTGGGACTAGAACCCGGGACATATCTCCGTAACTAGATCACAGTGGCTGGCAGCAAGTAGAAGAAGTGTACCCGTACCCGGTGGTGGGCGCGTCGAGGCCCATGAGCGCGAGGGCGCGCAGCGCGGCGCGCGCGCACTGCTCGTGCGAGTGCGCGGTGGACGCGCCGCCGCCGTGGCACATGACGGGCGGCTCCGTCGAAAGCGACACCAGCGACAGGTACTCGCCGTGGTTGCGCTGCGCACACACAACACACACGCACACATGTAGACACGTCATCAAATAATTCATACTTATGAAATGTGAAATTATGTTTTCGGATTTATTCTTCCTTAACTTTTCAATCAAGTAGGATAAGAATAAGATGAAAACCAATACTTTGAAAGTCTCATTTTCGTTATAATTCTTTTATATTGAACCCAAAACTATAATCGATTGTGTTCTATATTATCATTAAATAACTTTTCTTATTTAGTAAATCTTACTGTCTTTTTTTAAATCCAACTCTTGTAATATTTTATGAAATATACATATATATATTAGTTTTAAACTATAACTGAATATTAATATGGCCATATTTGTTAATTACATATTATTAACTATTTACAGCTGTTACCTTTAATTTTTCTAAAATTTGTAATTTGCCAAAAAAATATATTACACGGCTAATAAAAATGCACATACCTTAGGGAAATCAGAGAACTGCACGGTGAAGCCGAGCAGCTGTGACAGGTACATGAGCTGGTCCTTGGCGCCGGGCGAGCTGGCGCCCGCGCCCGCGCCGCCGGTCGCGCTCGCCTCGCTCACACCTGCAACACGAATACATTCAACAATGTATGACAAATCATCATATTTTTGAAGTAAAACTTCTTTACGCACGCTTGACTTGGAGGGTTAGCTGGTGAATCCGTGACGAAAAAATGTACGTACGTTTGTTGCCATAACCTTTGTTATTGTCTGACAAATGATAATATATAATATTATATTCTTTCCTCAAGTTATATTCTATAAATATATGATTGTAATATGTCTAATATGCGTTATTTTAGTATCTCACCTATCCTAATTATTTAAAACATAAATTGAATTTCATAAAGAGTACCGACAACCTACAAAAGTTTTACTTCTTGCACATGTACACATTCACAAACGCACTCTTTATTTTATTTTTTAATATATTCTATACTAGCGACTTACTCTCACTTGTTTTTAGCCGCATCCCTATGTACTTAACAGTGTGCATGTGTTGTAGGTATTTAGATCCTTTTTATATCATCTCACTGGTGCATGGGGCTCCCTTTAATACTATGGGGATTACCCCATAATCCATCCACCACATTGGCCAAAAAATCAGACGTGCGAAACCCGGGATTTGAACCCGCTTCCGTTGGTTTCCCAAGCAAACGCGTTACCACTGGGTACCACTGCTTTCTTTGTGTCTTCACAAGTGCCATGCACCTAACAGTAGCGTAGCGTTGTATATGAGTTAGTCAAGGTCTATCAGTATACAAAATCGACAAAGTCTGTTCAGTCGTTACATCGCAAATGATAAAAAACATACACAAAACCATTGGCATTCATAATAATAGTCTCATCTAATAATAATACAAAACTTAATATCAATTTCTTTTTTTTTTTGGTATAGATTTACGTATTTGCTATTCACATAACCTACGCTTTTAACTATCTTCCAAATCACAAAAAATTTGTGCGCTGCATGTTGCGAATGAAACAATTATTATTACGTAATATTTATAAATATCTATACTTTGCATAAAGTAAAGTAATTTTTAGACAATAATTTAAAAAAATATATGCTACCATTAGGTTGCGTTGGTTGTCCAGAGCGCTGGTGATAATCCATCATAAGCACGCCAGGAACCGGCTGGCGTACATCACTGTTGGCACCGCCTCCATTCGTTTCGTTTTCCTGAGAAAATATGTTTAACGAAATATAACAATATACCTATTTAATAATTCAATAAATTTATAATTATATGATTAAAATTGTATAACATTCTGTTTGGTCAGATGACAAATAGATTTATAGAGAATGATACAATTTTACCATTTGAAACTAAATTTTATAAGGCGCACCGGCGATATATAGAGATAAGGCGCAGGACCGACGGTTTCACGTGTTCTCCGAGGCACGGGGGTTAAACACCGCCAACTTCTCAACTCCGGGCTGTTACTGAGACTTACTATACAGAAAGACTCAATAATGAAACTTGGCCCGACCCGGGACTCGAACCCAGGACCTCCGGGTGTGCAGCCGTACATGCTAGCCACTACACCACCGAGGCAGTTGAGCAATGGCAATTACAGTTATAAACATAATATGTATGTACAAACTGCTATATTGGTTAAGATTATTTCTCTTTCGACTCGACATAGGACTTCTAGGTTTGATTTCCGAATACGACGTTGTGACCGAAAATCGAAGAACTTTATAAATATACTAAATACAAACCTTTCGTTTAACATCGCCATTGTTAGTTTTGTTAGCATCTGTTACCGGTGAAGTAGTACTGTCGACGTTGTTGGCGGCGACAGGCGATTGTTCACCGGCGTTTGCGCTCATTTCCATCGCCAATAGTACATCTGGAAACAAATTTTAATATACATTAAAAATTATTAGTTAAATCTATTAGTTCTTTCAAATTAACGATTTAAGTTACATCGTTAATATATTATGTGTAGCTTTTTTGATAAAAAAATGTATGCCTCTCTAAACCATTTAACAATAAACAGTTAAAAATTTACCACCAGCTTGATCCTTATATTATTATTTATAAACATATCAGTAAACAGTAGAAGAGATTTTTAGTGGATTGAATAGACTTTTTTAAATTATATAAGTACAGTATTAGGTTAATGGGTAGTTTTAATTATATGTGCATTGACTAGAACGGTAATGTTACCGATATGAAGGTTCCGCTGAGGTTTTAATAAGAAAGAGTCTCGTCCCGTTATTGATAAAGAAAAAGGCTCCATGACAAATGTCTTTAGCAAAAAAAACACTGACTGTGCGCAGCGCGCCGCTTGGCAGTCTTCTTGTTAGGGCCGAGGCCGGTGGCGCAGTGCGGCGGCGCGTCGCACTGCACGAGGAACTCGCGCCGCCGCGCCGCGCCGCGCTCCTCCAGCACGCGGTACTGCGGCGAGCGCGCGCGCGCCGCGTGCCGCGCCACCGCCAGCCGCGAGATAGGGTTGTCGGCGCCCGCCGCGCCGCCCGCGCCCGCGCCCGCCGCGCCCGGCGCGCCACCGCCCTCCGACACGACGCCACCTTCCTGTTTGTTACGTTAAACGTTACACTGTTATTATTGAGTTGCGTAATTTTACTGATTTTTATTGAAAAATCAGCAATCAGTTAATGGGATTGTACTTTGTAGTGAATATTCACAGATGGCGCCTTTACGTTTTATGAGTTGTTAAAGTCGATGAAATTTGTTTCATTAAATTCAGGACGAAATTTACAATATTTTAATTTACACACATTTATAAAATAATTTGATAGTTTGCGGATTTACGACATCTATTATTTATTTAAGCAAACAACACCTAAAAATGGCCCATATTAGCGCTGTCCAATTTCTTTGTATGAGTGGTACTGCCTCGGGGGTGTAGTGGCTAGCATATACGGCTGCACACCCAGAGGTCCTCCTGGGTTCGAGTACCAGGTCAGGCCAAGTTTAGTTATTGAGACTTTCTGTATAAAAAGCCTCACAAACAGCCCGGAGTTGGGAAGTTGGCGTGTAGAGTTGGGAAGAGCACGTAAAGCAGTCGGTCGTGCGTCTTAACTATCACCGGTTGTCTCGTGTCGTGCCACCGGATTATGAGGGTGACAGGAATAGAGTGCACGTTGTGTCTTCGCGTACACTTGTGCACTAAGTCAGGAGAACATTATCATTGTCATGTGTTCAATTCATCAAGCACCTTAATAAGATTCCTAGGCTTCTTCTTGGCGGGCGCGTGCCGGCGGCGGTCGGCGGGCGGGCGCGCGCGCAGCAGCGCGGGCGGCCAGCGACGCCGCATCTCGTCCAGCATGCGCTCGGCCGCGCGACGCTTGGACACCTTCTTGCCGTTGCCCTCCCCTTCAGTTTCCATCTCGCCGACCGTGCACGCTGTTATGAATACCTGTGGTTGCAAACAAATCCATCACTTCCCTGCCCCAATCACTTGGGGTCAGCGCAGTACATCTTCCTTACTGCTTATAGGTCTTGGCAAAAGTTTTACAACTGGCCACCTGCCTGACATCAACCTTCTTTGGTAATGCTATTGTTTATCGCGGAAGTAACAAATTATACTTTATTAAATACTACTAGAGGAATCGGTATATTATAAATATGTTTGTATGTGTGTTTATTCTTATTACTCTTTCACACTGAAATGGTTGCACGAATTTGATAAGATATTTGACTTGGTGGGGACGGGTACGATTATTAAGTTCGCTTTGTCTTTATGCACTGTACAAGTTGACGAATTTTATCATAAAATGTTTATAAAAAATAATTTAATTTTATCACCATATTTAACGAATTCAAATGACAAATTCAAACGATTTCAAATGAATCTTATTTAAGTTAAATATCGTGTTATAATAATAGTTTTATTATACGAAATGTTTTATAATAACTACAATACATTGATCATCTTAATAAGATCATCAGTTTAAACATCAGAGAATTTTACAATATCTATTGTCTACTGACTGACCCTCATGTGTGGCGGTCCACGTTCAGATTTCACAGTGAATAGAACTGACAAATTCCTTTTCAATGCCAACTCATGTACCAATGACACTGGAGATTTTACTTCTGAATTAAGTAGATCTGAGCCCGCGTCGCCTGGAAATAAATAATATGATTTCATATTTACTAAATAATCACTTAAATCTAACATATTAAAAGCTAATGGTTAGAATGATGTATTACTCTCGCTGCATGGAATCTTAAGAAGATGTTCTGAATAGAGAAATTGCATTATATGTAATTCTGGTAAATTGAGAGGATCCCACTTAAAAGATGTTTATGGTCAATAGTACATATGTCACAAAACACTTTTTTTATTTACACTAATAATATAAAAAAAAAGTAAAGTTCGTAGGTTTCTATTAAGGGTATAAATACCAATAGATACACATATGTAAATTTTAAATACATACATATTACAAATATAAACACCCATGACTGGAGTACAAACATTCATGCTCATCACACAAATGAATGCCCCCAGCGGGATTCGAACCTGCGATCGCTGGCACAGCATGTAGGATCACTGCAAACTGAGCCAAGTCATTAGAAAAGAGTAATAAAAAAAATGAAGCTACCACTGTCATTGTCCCCGTGCGAGAGCGGGCGCAGGTCGTGCAGCGCGCGCGCCGCCGCGTCGTGCCGCGCGCCCTGCGGCGTGGCGCCCTCGCCCACCCACGAGCGCCCGCCGACGCACACACGCACTCTGCAACACACACAATACGAACATTTCATTTAACATTTTCGTTACAAAATAAATATGACGTGATTTTTGTACTAGTTATAGTTCTTTAGGCACGTTTCGAAAAAAATATGAGAATAACATTTTTACGATACGCACACCGACAGCCTAAAAGCGACATGATGAAGTTAGCTGCATTCCTTTTACAAACAGAGAGTTGTGACAGTTGTGACAGTTTTTGTTCTGTCACGCTAAAGAAGTATAACTTAAGTATGTGCGTACATAAGTACACACACACGCATTTTTTTATATATATTTTCTGTCACCTATAGATTAGTAGGAGGACCTTATTACTATAGCAATCAAACATTGGTCACGCATGGTCGTTTTAATGCGATTAACCAATTAATAGAAAATATGTTACAAATCTCAATATAAATTATATTTACAAGTATATTCTAAATTCACGACATTATATTACAACCAAAGAGATACGAAGTATAGGAGTAAGACTTTACAAACTCGAAACCCGTCACTAGCCACTATGATAAAATATAAAAAAATATATACTCTTCATTAGTAATATATTATTGCAATATAAAATGGCATATTGATAGTTACCTGTAAAGCAATGCAGCGGGCTCGATGAGCCGAGGCGTGTGAGGCGTGTGGGGCGCGTGGGGCGCGGGCGCGTGCGGGTGCGGGTAGGGCGGCACGAAGGGCGCGGGCAGGCGGTAGGGCAGGCGCGGGCGCGGCCGCGGCACCGCCGGCACCGACGTGTACACCGCCGGCTGGCACAGCTTCATTGCCAGCGCGTTCAGCTCTACCGTCGGCATCACTGCGCCTGCCAAAGTGACGACTCACGTTATACACGACGTATTACACTAAAAATATTATACGGATTTTCATATTATTTTATCGACCGAAAGAGTGACGAGCGATTATCTAGGAAGGGTATGGATTATAATAAATTATAAACATTTTACAAAAAAAAAAGCTAGCTGCTAAAAATAATCTACTGGTAATATATACAAATAAATAAAAGTGAATAATAATGTCTGTTTGTAATGTCAAAATAACAACTTTTTACAAAATGCATAATAAGAAAGTATAAATTATAAGAAAAAAACATTTATATTTTATTCTATTTTTATATATTTTATATTCTATTTTTGTTCGTCTGTTTATGCCGGCGAATCTCCCGAAACGGCTACTTTTATTTAAGACAAAGAGTTAGGATTCCGCGCAAAATATTAAAATCTATAAAATTGTGAACAAAATCCGACGCACCCAAGCGAAGCGACCGTAAGTCGCTGGTATCATATATATTTATAATTTAAGTCGAAGAAAAATCATCCCATCTGAAACCTCCCGTAACATTATAAATGCGAAAGGCATTTATAACGAGTAACATAATGTTATTATTTGCCAGCTGCAATTTGTGCTAAACATACCAGCGTGTCGGTGGTGGTGCGAGTGGTGCGAGTGCGCGGGCGGCGCGCGCGGCGGCGGCGGCGGGTAGCGCGTGCCCGCGAGCGCCGCGCGCGCCGCCGCGTGCTGCGCGCGCTTTATTGATGACCCCTGTGTAGACAGTTCACTTTTTAATGCAGAAAGGTAATAAGTTTACTTTTATGTACTATAATATGTATATGTTGTTGGGACATTAGCACACAACCCCTTTTAGTTCCATGATAAGCTACGAGCCTTGTGTTATGGATACCAGATAGTTGATACACTACACATATATAACTTTAAATACATACATATTATAAATATAAACACCCATGACTGGAATACGATACTTTGACGTCACGCCAAGCGAGTGAAATGGCCGGCGTTTGAAGTATCAGAATCGGTATGATATTTAAGAAAAAACTAAATTTAAGTTTTTTGGAGCTGGATATGTTTTTTAAAATTAATGAATGATGTTAGCTATTGTATAAAAAGTTACAAAAATATCACGCATATTCCCTACTGCGAAAATATGTATGTATGGGAATATGTTTGTTATACCATTACGCCGAAACGGCTAGACGGATTTTGATGAGTATATAGACAGATTATGAAATGGAGTAGCATACAGGTTATTTTACTATTTATCACCTAGGACCAATCACTGGTATGTTATATTTTAAAAAATCGAAAGTACAAATACCAAGCGAAATGGTAACAGTAAAAGAATGTGTCATAGTTACCTCTGCAGTATATTCCTCAGTTTCACCCAGTCGGAGTGTTACCGTGAATACTTTCTTGTGAGCGGGTCCCGTTTCTGATGTGAGGCGATATTGATGCTTAATCTGAAAGGGAATACAAAAGTAAGAAATTTTATATGATGTTTATGCAAATATATGCAGATATAGTGTTATATCTGGTACTATATGTCGCGTTTTTTTCAATTCTCATTTGCGCCATCTATTATCCATTTTAGGACAAAAAATAGCCCCTTGAGTAGCCCGGATTAGAGATGTCCAAATATTTGTATGGGACGCACTATCTGTAAGAGTATAGTATTATATGTCTGTGGTCAGGTTTAATAAAATAATAAACTATGACCTGAAGTAACACATAGACACCGCCAGTACATAATAATACAAATATAAAAGGCAGTAAAAGGTACACCAGAGCATATCCAGGGTAGGAGACTATAGTCCATTCGCGTTAAGAAAACAGTGAGTCATCGAGTGCAACGGCAGGTAAAGGTGTATATATATGTATACAAAGTGGGAATGAAAATTCAATTCAAATTCAATATTTCAAAAGTTTAAGTTTTATTAATTTAATTATCTTACTTATCTCAAATCAAGATTTGAGATGATAATGAATTTATTTTGATTTGACATCTATTAATGAACATAATTATCTCAAATCAAAATAAAGTCATTAATAATATATTTAAGTCTTTTACTTTATAACTTTATGCAATCTAAGGCTAGGCCGGAGGTCGGCGATGACTCACTATTTCCTTAACGCGAATGAACTATAGTAACATCCAATACCTTATTGTACCTGGCCAACTCATTGACCAGGCACATAGGGGTCTTCTCTTTACTGTTGGCCGGCGCGGCGTTGCGGGCCGCCTCGCCCTCGCCCGCCGCGTGCTCGTCCTCGCCCGCCCCGCCGGCCGCGGCCGCGCCGCCCGCGCCGCCCGCGCCGCTCGTCGTCACGCTGGTTATACCTGTGTTGGTCTCCTCTTTGGTTTCCGCCGGTACTGGGTTGGTTGGCATCACTGGTGGTACTACTGGAATTTGTTACACTCTGTTAGTGTTTTAGGTATTTGTTTATGGTACATTAATTATAAATATAATAATGATTAAGGGCGCACCGAGACAATTACGAAATAATTGCGTTTGCTTGATCCCTTGCTGTATTGTTATTATTAAAACTTTGATTATGCAATTAATAAGTAAGATAAATTAAGGATTTATTCTATAAATCGTACACTTTAGAAACACGATCACTTGTAGTTTCCTCGATAGAAATATAATCCAAAATGATCTCCAAAAAACAAAATAAACCCTTAGTGCGGCGTAAATAATTCAAAGAAGTTCATCAGTTTTTAATAATAACAAAACTATACGTTTTCTATAACGTATACACTTTACATTTTCAAAATGTGTATTTCTTTTAATAATACGAATGAAATACCTAAATTCGCACGCGTTCCATCCAGCCTAGACCCCCCCCCTCCCCCTCCCCCGGCTGAACTCCTACTAAAATAAAAAGCTCGGTGCCCTCTTAAAGTACTAAATAGAATGATATTATATTAATTAATGTTCTTATTAATACATGATCCATAATTTCGTAGTTGCTTGTAAAATCAATATTGCTAAAGAAATGAAAATATATCTAAGTACCTACAATGTGCAATAAAAAATTCAGGTGATATAAAAGTGATTTATGAAATAGTTTACTGACCAAAGTCAGAGCTCAATTTTGTTTGCGCTGGCGTAATTGGAGAAGAGGGTTTGCACAGACCTAGTAGTAAAGTAAATCATTTTAGTAATAAACGAAATTTAAATCTATTTTTAATTTTTATTAAAACACATAAAAAAATGGACATCATTTGTTATTTCAATCTCCAATTTTATAAGTAGTATTCCTTCTTCCTTACAAAAATAATTTAACTATGTATATAATACATAAAATTATTTTTTTATAACAATGTCTCAAGTACAGATAAAAATAATTATGGGAATTCAAAATACATTGCAATTGAAGATAAAATCTGACCATTGTGATTTTGTTGTGTAGTCGGTGGCGGTAAAGGCGGTGGCTGCGCGTAGGGCGGCGGCATGACGCCGGGAGCGCCGCCGGGTCCGTAGCCGCCGCCTACATACGGTCTGCGTAGGCGAGTTTGTTGCTGTTGGTAAAAGTGATCATCTGTTATGATGCTTTAAATAAAACCTGTGTTTCCATGACCACGATGTTGTGATCAAATATCATCTCAAAACCCTTTTCATTTGACCCCCACGTTTGTTATATGAAGTCGAACATAAAACTCTAAGAGAGGTAAAACTGAAAGAAGAGATGATGCTCTTATTGCATATTGCATGGTTGTTATTAAACAAAACTTATACCTAAATGGTGTTATATTCAAATATTTAAAAAAAAAAATTATGCCAAAGTGACTTCTTTTGATTATGTTTTTGGGAGATCTTCACGATTGCAAAATACATAAAGCACCTTTAGAAAGTATTCTTTAGCACGTTTCTTGCTTTCGTCTAATATCAAAAACATGAATGAAGATAAAGCTCTGTGTACATAGGAATTTTAAACTCGGATCGTGCCAATTTTTAAATTAAACTAATAAATCGTATACGAGAAAAAAAATAAAGGGATATAGAAGTATATCAACTCACCGGCGGTACAGAGTGATGCTGTGTCGGATGGTGCATCGCTCTGATGGGATGCGGCGGGCGCTGCGCGGGCGCGTGATGCGGCACGGGCATGGTGCCCATGGCGCCCATTTGTCCGTGCCCGCCCATGCCGCCGCCGGCCTGAGATGGACCCAGTGGCACCCTGGGATCAATCAATTCTAACTGCACTGTATATCTTAATAATAGGACACCCTTGAACTGGCGACAGATCTGATATGACACATTGCTATTATTTATTGATTCCAACTATGTCTTAACTAAGATGAATTATGATTTTATCTGTGTTTTAAAAATTAGTGATATATTTAGAAGAAGCTATATGAGTTTACTACTTAAATTATAGAAACTTATTGTACGTTATAATATGTAATTTCGCTGTGCATACAAAATATTATATTATGTTTGTAATACCTAGTAAAATATTGGTAATACATTGTTAAGACAGATTGGTGGATAATTTTCAGTGTGCCATTATCTGGAATAACAAGGTTATTACAAATAAATAGGTACATACACAAAACCACTTTGAATCCAATATTTTCATATAACACTTAAATATATTATAAAATTAATATTATTATCACTGCACTGCACTTCCTACAAGGCCACGTGAGAAATTGGAAAGACTTTCTATGGGGTCGCTTAGTCAACCGCCTGCTGCGGTACTGTTATTTCAACTGCCCGGCCGTTCAAAGGGTATGATATATCGGCCCGGGTTAAAAAGTTCTTATATTCATTACAAGATAGCCTCGAATCAAAAGTGCCGTCATATGTTCTATTCATGACCAGTTTAAGTAACAAAGAGAGCCGCAAAGAACCCTCGACGTATCAACAAATTACACAAGATTTGCATTTCAATGTACACGTCTCTTTATAGACGAACGGGTAAAACACAGACTTTTCTTAAATAGTGTCAATGTTTGAGTCAACGATCAGCTGAAATCAAGTATTATTATTATAGGTCGAGGAAAGTTGTGGCGGCAATGGACAAAATCTACCTTCAATATAAAAAACCATGAAAGTGCATTCTTGCTGTTTTATAAACATGAAATTTAAACAAAAAAGCTAAAACGCATTATAATAATTATTATAAAGATCACTTTGAATTACTGATTTTATTTATAAAAAAGAAGACGTCAATATCTCATAAATTATTATCAGATTTTAAAATATGAATTTCAACAACTTTGGTAGTTTAAAGTTCCTTTACTTATGTTTTATTATGATTATGAGAAAAAATGTAGTAAAAAACGTGTCTCCTATAGTTGAGTAATAACGTAAGTCATATAATTGATTAATAACTTGTCATTATTTTTTTTATAGTAAATATAATATGAAATTTCACACACCCTGTGATGTCTCTTTTAGGTTATAAAAGAACAAGAAGGAATTTTGAATTATGCTATTTGAGCAAAGTTTACTAATGTTAGGGTACTTGAAGCGGATGGACTTATATGACAGTGTCATCGCGATTACTATAAATAGCCTAGGTCTCTTACAAGTGACACATTTGACGGTTACGGGATAGCTTGCACACCTCTATAGGCTATCAGATAGATTTGCTAGCTATCGATTTTATTGTTGTAAATTCACATAGTTAAAATAATGTGTTTTTTTATTTACGTTTTATTTCTGTTTCCTTCTGTTTTAAATCAGGAAAGTGAAATAAGATTACATCAATTGCTGTGCACATAAAAGTAAAGACAAAATGTATATCCTGGATATTTAATGAAAAAGACCATAAAATAAAATAATATTTACAGTTCATTATGAATAAATGGTTAGTAAATATTAATTACTAGCCTAGCGGCTCACCATCGCTTCGCTCGGGTTCGGTTCTATGAAAACACAAACATACCTATCCCACGGGAACCGTACATTTTCAGAGATGTAAAGTAGCCTATTTGTTATTCCAGACTATAATCTATCTCTGTGCCAAATTACATCCAGATACGTTCAGCCGTTCTGGCATAAGAGTAACAAACATCCATACTTACAAACTTTCACATTTATAATATTATTATACGGACTTAATCAACTTTGTTAATCTATAATTAATCTGAATATGTATAGGTATATAAAAGTGCGTTTAAATCTGACTGCGGCGAAATATAAAAGGAGGGTTGGCGGCGACTTAAATACGACGAGACCTGTGTTCGTTTGTTATTATGCATATCGGATGTTCCTAGAAGGTTCCTTCGTAATTACGGCTGAATCGATTTTGATGAATTATAACTTGATTAGATTCATCTGGATTACGCAAGTGACTTAGGGTAAAATTATAAAAAATATCACACATTCTTTTTCCAAGTGGAGCTTAAAAATAATGAGTAAAACTGTTTTCCTTACTATTGGCGATCACAAAAATACAAACAATTTGTATTTAAAATAATTATTTGAGATAAAAATTGTAAAGTAAAACTCCATTTGTCTAACCGACCGAACTTCCGTTTACCTGTCTTCTGGCTTAGTTTGTTTATATAGATATAGACTATTATTAGCTATTGTAGTATACTAATTATGCTTTGTTTAATTGATTTTGTGTAATATTGAAAAAACTTGCCTGTATATAAAGTGAATAAAAAAAGATAAAGGAACATAATAAAATAAAAAAAAGTATATATAAATTGAAAAAATAAAAACAACAGTTGGCGCAAACATATAGTAAAGGCACAGAAAGTATAATAGTGGCTCTAAGAAAAATCCAGCCTTTTGCAAACAAAAATGTGTGGCCATAAAGACATTCTCAATTTAAGGAGGAATTAGAGAATTCATTCAAGACACTTCTCCTTATGACTACCCTCTACTACTCACAATAAGTATGGATGAAAATGAAAATAAGATACAAACACATGTAAAATGCTGTAGTATAAATTACAACTCATTATTTTTGATATAAATTTTTTCAGTGTGATCCATCAGTGGCATGTGAAGATAAAATTATTTATGAATGCAGAAAAATGTGTTATGATGGCCCTATATAAACCTACAATTTGGTGCATAAACCTAAAGAAAAGTCAATAGAACTTTGAACTTTCTGAGAAATGATTGTGAAATCTGTACCTCTCAAAACCTACTTTTTATTCCAGAAAAATGTATGGTTCCCGTGGGATAGGTTTGTTTGATTTACTAGAGGCAAAACCAAGCAAAGCAAGGGTGAGCCAAAAGTAATAATATTATATTATAATATATAGGGTTAAACAAAATCCCTTGTTAGATAAAGCACTCCAATTGTAAATAATTTGAAACAGTCTTTGTATGTATGTAAATAATGAAAAAATTGCAGTTTTTTATTAATTTTCTTTAACCTGTCTACTGCAGTCAATACAAATATTTATCATATAAGATCCTGTGTTTACAATTTGCATTATCATAATCTTTAGTTTCTCACTCTTTGCCTCATAAGAGTAGACACAAACATATTATCAAAGCAATCAATGTTTATTCAGTGTTAATTATTATGATTGAAATAATATGAATAAACTGTTTAATCATAATTATTCTTATCAGCATTTATTTAAATATTTTACTACTAGCGGCTTACCCTTGCTTACAAATACATGATACATCCAAATTTATCCAGCCTTTTCAGTGTTAAGGAACAGTGTTAACAGATATACACATACACTCTTATGCATGTGCACACATACAAAAAATATTGAAACTATAAAACAATCATTTGTCAAATAAGATATAAAATGTACTCTCAAACCCAAACCTAGTATTCTGAATTTGTAAAAACAAACCAAATAAACCAAAATTATAAGAGTTCACAAGTATCTATTGCAATCCTCTCCTAATCATACTGACACAAAGAAGTTTGAAATTATAGAAGAGAAAATTGAAAATACATATCATGAAAAAAAAAGTACATTACGATAATACATCCCTCTTTTAGAAGGCGGATAGAAAGTGACATGTATAATATATATTGACAACAAGTATAATATGATAGCTTGTTTAAATCTGAATTACTGCCTTGTATTTAATATATCAAAGTTATAAAAAGTCATTATATGTATAAACTGCTTTCAGCGAACCATATTTCTTCAATACAGTTTTGTATAATAATGTTATTATTTGTCATCAATATAAACACAAAAAAAACTTGAAATTTATATACAATGTTACATTTGTTATGTTAAAAAGACCTACTTGGCCACACAATATATAGACTCTTCAAGATGCTGAAAGTTAAATTATTAAATTGTATTTTTTTTTCAATAAACTATTGTAGCAAAATCTGTTTATCACTGAGAGTAGTATACTTTAAGACAAGTATTATTATAGAAAAATAATGTAGGTATTTTGTTTTAGTTTTATTGAAATATCTACCATTTTGAATTCTATATTTTACTGTGTAAACTGCAAACTATTTAGTGTATAATTCACTTGCTCTAGATTCTATAATATGAGTGACAGTTATGGTAAGTTGCAAATTACCTACAGGAATGCAAAAATGTTTTACTACCTACTTAATCATAAAAATGATTGTAATACCTAGAAATTAAACAATTAAGCATTTAATAGGATAGCAAATAAATAGTAAAAACCGGACGTTACCTAGTTAGTGTTACGTGCCTGTTCTCCCGGTGCATCTGATGCGGCGGCATTTGGTGGTGCCCGGGCATGCCCTGGTGTCCCGGCATATGCTGAGGCGGATGTCCGGACATCGGCTGATGATGCATGTTCGGGTGATGCATCATCGTCACGATCGCAGCCTACATCACAAACAAATATTCACCAACCGCCGTCAAACAAACATCTTATTTTTGTAAAGCTCCAAATTCTATTATCACCTTTTTATTCTTACCGTAAATTTGTCTCACAAATTATTCAGTACTCCGGCTTCACGATCGTCATAAATCCGCTTAAAATCAACGTAAACGTTGTTTTATTTGGCAAACAGTAAAGAAAATCGTTTCGTTCAACATGCGGCCATGTTAAAATGTTGCCATACGCATCTTGTACAATGTATTTATTAATTTCTATCCAAAAAAATATTAATCATTGTTGAAATACCATTTATTTTTAATAGTATCATAGTCCAATATTATTCATTATTTTTTTAATTTTCCCTCATGTGTATCTTTATTTTTTATTTATATTATTTAATAGGGAAGTTTTCTCGAAAGGGGGGTGCCACACGTATCGCCTAATTACAATCGGTCTGAGGTTTATGTAATTTATGATATCCCTTTTGTACCTAGTTTTTTGCTTCTATTGTGTTCGAATCTTACCTGTAATGTATTGTACCTGAAAGGTAGACCAGCTGGTGAAAGAATTGAGAAGGAGACGTGCATCCTGCGGTGGTCCTGACTGACTGATGGATCAACCGCATAAACACAGCATAAACCGCTGGTCGTAGTGACTTGAAATTTGGAGGACGTATTCCTTAAATAATGTAGGCATCCGATAAGAAAGAATTTTTAGAAATTCATCCCTTAAGGATTAAAGATTGTATGAAACTCTGTCATTTTTAATCTGAAATACACAGAAAGTGTAGTTTAGATTTAAGATAAAAAATAATAAATATGTTTATTTGATTTTTTTTGAAATACATTCCATAAAGGGGTAAAAGGGCGTATTAAAGTTTACATGGACAAAGAATTATTTATGATCAGAATCATTTGAAACTTGGGATTAATTCTATTCCATACAATTAAATAAATACGTGTTTTAACATTTTTCAATCCCTTAAGGGCGTAAAATGGGGGATGAAGGTTTATATGAAACTCTGTAATTATTATATAAAAGTACAAAAAAAATCATCTGTAGACGATGTCCACATAGCCTTAAATATGAAGATTGTGATTTCGCCAATTTTATCTAATTGCTATAGCCCACAATTTCTTCAGTTGTTGTCTTTTGGGAACAAATGATATCCATTTTCTTTGTATTCTGGCACTGCACAATTTGTCATTTTAAATCTATGTAATTTTTTTAAATTTCATACAGAACAATAATGTGGCTTGAATATTTTTTTATGTTTATAAATATAATAATTACAACACTAAATAAGATGACTAATTAATAAAGTTTTTTTTTAAATGATATAATTATAATATTAACAGCTAAAATGAAATAAATAATATTCCATGCAATTATAAAACTTATTAAAATTAATAAAAATGTTTAAAATGAAAATTAAGTAATATTGTAAGGTAAAGTACTTTAAATGTGGTGGTACCAGGTGCCATTAAAATTTAAAGGTTTTATTTTTGACAAATACAAAGGATCTTAATTTATAATACTATGGATCTTAAGTTATACAAAATATTCGAGTAGTACAACGTGGTACAACACTAGCTCTTAATGAGGGAAAGTAAGAAGCGGGGGACGCGGAAGCACGTATTGTGTCGATCCACCCGCACGCCTCCCGCAACACCCTCTCGCACCTGTGTAATTTTGTTAAAATCAGCGTTTTCTGATTAAAATATTATGTACCGATGAGAAGAAATATCTTTGTTCGTTTTAGTTTGCTTTCGTGAATCATGACGAGACTGAAGAACTTTTGACCATTGTTTATTAAAGAATTTGCATTCACACACACATATACACACATTCACACACACACACTCACACATACATCATCATCATCTATTGTTTTTTAGTTTTTATAAAATAGTTTAAATATTGTACGGAGGCGGGCGTTGGTATCTGCAACGCAGTTTATACTTTTGCAGTATCATCGTAGCCATTGTTGTTTACTGTATACTTATAGGAATTTGATACTAAATAAATAAATTTCATTTCAAATTTCATTTTTACAGCTTGGAACTGCACATTTCACCATGATTACATTAAATTCAAATAAATACCGACGAGAGAAACAATCAGCGCGATTGACTTTTCGCGACTAATAGCGTCGCCCTTGCTATTTCAAGACTGTTCATACCCGTGCTTACAGTTCATACATGCTAGCGCGCGCTATATAGCTTATGTATACTATAAGATGAGCCTTACAATATACTGAGGACTATAGTGATCGCGACATCTGGCAGGGGAAAAAGACAAAATTCTTCACCATTTAAGCGTTCCCTAGCGTTTTATTGAAAGAATACTATGTAAAACGTTTATATAAAAATACTAACTTACACATGAATAACTTTCGGTAATTGAAATTTCCTCTTTGACTTTAAATCTTTAAAAAATATATCGGATAATATATCGAGTGTAAGCCCTGTAAATAATTTATATTTAAAATATACTAAAAATTATTGGCCACTAAAACCCGCTGAATATTTTAAAGCGCTTCAATCTATAGATATTGAGGATCTCAACCCCATTTTTATCCATCAATTAGACTGTATAATAAAAAAGTTAATAATACAATGTGTACCTCGTTGAGTAATGTACACTGTTAGCCTATGTGGGTGTTGCAAGATGTAAACAGCCCGTGTCCCGTATTAATAGATTGGTACGGGCACGAAGGCAAATTCGACAAAAACGAAATCCATTTCTCATTCTCATTTATTTATAATTCCATTGATTGAAAGTTAGTTTTCCAATGCTTGAAAAATTTATATATAAACGTAGAAAGAAAAGAGAACACTTAATACAAATAAAAAGTTTATTCATTCTTATAAAATACAAGTTACAATTCAGATTGACAAATATAAAGAAACACAATAGACATAAAGTGGAAATAATCTTCATCATTGTTTATTTGAACATCCGTTAAGTTAGAATACACAGGTTCAATTTCTTGCAAGGAGCTGTCTAGACTTTCATCGCTATCCGTAGTAGTCTCTGCCCAAGAGACACGCTTTGAGCTTCGAGAACTATCTTTCTTTTTATCTGACGTGGGCGTCGAATGAGATACGGGTGAAGGAGGTTCTTTAGTAGGCGTTTGTGCGCATTTATCTAAGTAGTGTTTACGAAGGATGTATTCACGCATGGAGTCGTGAGTCGAACGTTTGGGAGGAGGCGGGGGAGGTAGGTCCCTATCATTATTATCTACGAGACACGGATTCTTTTCTTGTCTAGCTTCTTCAATTCTTCTGGTTTCTTCTTCATTGGCAGCGAGAGGCCACGCGCCTAGTTTGTTGCGAACGAGGTGTGGCCGATTGTGCGCGGCGCATAGGATACGTTTGCGAACAAAGTCGTGGAACACGGTGAGCTCTGAGGCGAGCTCGCGTCGAACTAATTGTTTGTGGCGCCCGGGCACGTTCGGGTCGCGCACTGCAAGTAGTGCCTGAAATAAGAATAAAATAAGTTTTACAATTATATATATGAACTACATATAATAAAATTCTAACTAAGCCGAATCTGTACGTTAAATATTTTTTGGAAAATCTTATTAAAATAGACGTTATTAACGATACAAAGGCCGAAACTATAGTTTTTAGAATTTTTGTCTGTCCGTCTGTCTGTGGCCGCATCAAAGAAAAACCACTGGAGAGATTTTGATGAAATTTGGTATAATGATAGCTGGTTAAAATACATTTATCATCCCACTGATATTACACGATATAAATATATTAGCATACCTGCGATGCGAGCAAGGTAACGGTAGCCTCGAGGGCGCCGGCGACGAGGCGCTCGCTGGGCGCGGGCAGCGCGCTGGCGGCGGACGAGATGCTGCCGGCGGACTCGCTGCGGGCGGCGCGCGCGCGGGCCTCGCCCGGACTGCTGGCGCCGCACGCGCACGCGCGCCGCCGCCCGCGCGGCGACCGCGCGCCGCTGCACTCCTCCGAGTGATACGCCTGGGAACGATACACATAAATACTCAATAACCACACTCGACACGACCCGCGACTCAATCTCATAACTACCAGATCTGCAACTGTGATGTCTTCTCGACCGATTTTAGTTACTGCGGCCAAATACGGCACAAATATAAATGAAATAAACTCTTTTCAATTAAACTTATTACAAGTGCTTTTGAACGCGCAGACACAAGTGCACTCTCTATTCCTTCCACTCTTGAGTGATTAGGCGCAAAACCGACAGCTTTACGTGCTTTTCCTTGGCACGAGAATGTAACAGTACCAACTTTCCAACTTCAGGCTATAACTTAAAATGTCATAACAGAAAAACACAAGAAAGATAATATAAATAATTATTATTTGCAACAATTCAATACTCACATGGTTCAACGACTTAGTCAGCAAACAAATTGCAGAGAGTATTGTGCCAAAGGTTAGTTGCGGGAACTGTTCATATGTAATCTTCGGGGCGCCAAAGTGTAGCTCGACGATGGGCTGCCAGCGCTCGAGGTCGAGCACGGGCTCCGCGAGCAGAGACAGCAGGTCTGGACTGAACGACAACAGGCAGAGTGTTGCCATGTGGAGTATTTCAAGGATCCTGTTAAAAACAGTTATTTTTTAATACATATACTATATATTTTTTACAATATATATATTGTCTATTTTGTATATGTTTAATTTTTTTAATGAATAATGGATAATTCCGTAACTGGCGTAAATATGTTCATAATATACATATATGTTATACTTTCTTAGATTTACGCGAATATTTGACATTTTAAATAAAACTATCTTTTCGGATTTTGTCGCGGATTTATTTGCATTTTTGTTTCCCGACGTTTCGAATGCTTTACAGCAATCATGGTCACGGGAGAGAGAGGTGTTAGATGTCTCTAAGGTATTATATAGTTGTTACAGACAGCCTACCCACAATTAACAAAATGAATTCAAAAAAATCAAAAAATTGAAAAATGGCACTAAAGTACCTTTACACTATTTTAACTTTTAACTTTAAACATTTTTATATAATTTTAATTAGCTTTATAATTGAATATAGAATATTATTTATTTAATTTGAGCTGTTATTATTATAATTATTACAATTTTAAAAATATTAATTATTAATCCACATTTTTAGTGTTGCCATTATTATATTTATAACCATAAAGAAAAAATCATAATATATTAATTATTTAAGCCACAATAGATCTATGTGTAATTTGAAAAAGTTAAGATTAATTAAAAATAATAATTTTAATTTAAATTTGCTATTATTTAAAAAACAAATTATTAAGCAACACATTACTACATACATTTGCAAATGAAAAAGTGAAAAAATATTATTAATCAGAAATGCTATCATTTTGATCTACACAGTAAGAACTTACTACATCTACCTGTCTGTTATGTTTAGATTTATTATTAGATTTTATTATATTAATAACAGGATCCCATGACGATGGTAGTACCCAGCCATCTTCCCTATTGAAATTAGGATATTTTTTTATTATTATATATGGCTTCTCGAATCATTCTAGGGCGATATCGTTATCGAAACGTCGGGAAACAAAAATGCAAATAAATCCGCGACAAAATCCGAAAAGATAGTTTTATTTAACATATATGTTAATTTTACAGGCAAATTCAAACCATCGCAAATTTATAAGTTATGTTAAAACAAGTTATTTGATAAAATTTCATTTTTATATTATTTATGGACAATAATATAATATGACATTTTAAACAAATAGTAAAACCAACATTTAGACATTTTAATATATTCACGCCTGCCGCAGGAAAAGTGAGAGTTGAATAGCGACGGCTCACAATAAACCATATACCTATCTAAAGATTTCCTTGCAAGAGATACAGAATTGACATAAGGTTCAAATCAATTATATGTCAAATTCCTATCGCTACTAAGGATAGGTTCTTGAGAATGGGAACCCCGTGTTTAATTGAGGTCGCATGTCCCACACATATATGGGGTCGCATCAGGAACAAATAAATATTAGTTTATATGTATTAAGTTAATAGATGGCTTTATACATATTGATTTGATATTAAATATTGAAAAAATTAATAAAAGATAATAAATAGATTTCAAAAATATTAATAATTATATATCTGTACTAGTATAGTATAAGGTGACCGTACCTGTGCAGCATGGTGGGCGCGGGCGCGGGCGCGGCGGCGGGCGGCTCGTCGGGCTGCGGCGTGAGGTCGGGCGAGCGCCGCGCGCGCAGCGTCGCCATCACGCACTGGTGCAGGCACGCGCTCGTGCTGCGCTGTGGACATGTGCACACATTAAGTAACACTAATGACATACACTTGCGTCGTTAGCGCTTTCCTTTGTAAACGGTTGCCTGTCACTGCTTATCACATATTATGTAATATGTATTAATACGAGTCATAATCTAAAGAAGCGAAGAAGTAACAAACTTACACACACACAAAAACTTTCGCATTTATTCAATAGATTAAATATTGAAGGAATCAAGTCGACATACTTATTTAAAGTTAGTGCAAATAGCGGTGTGACTTTTACTAAAGAAATATCTTTAATAAAGAAATTTTATTTATGTCGATGTAAGTTGTTTCAGTTAAAAAAATATCTATATCCGGTTCTACCCACTGAATCATATATAACTTTATCCTTACTAACATTATAAATAAAATAAGAAAATATGTTTGCTGTTTTGTCTTAGTTTTACGTAATAACGCAAAGATGGTTTACGTAACGAAGAATGATATGTGACGTGTCATCTATGTCAATTTGTTCTCGTATTAGTGTTGATAAAATCATTTTCTTAATATAACGTATGAAATATCATAAATAAATAGAAAAAAAAGGTACCATTATTCCAATAAGCGAGTTGATGTTCTGCATTCGCCATCGACATTCGAATTTCACGAGCTGGACTATAAGATTGAGCGTCGAAGCGCACAAGTTTAACGCGTCCATATTGTACACTTGCCGCGGCAACAACACCGCTTCAATAAGATGCTCTAAATGAACTCCTACAAACGTAATCGCGTCGCCAGCGAAGAACTGCCCATGTTTCATTACCATCATTGATATAAAGTCTAAACTGTATGCATAGACTTTCCACCACTCCTGAGGTTTCCAAACTAATTGCCCATTGCTATTTCCATTCGAATCATTCTCTAATTTCGGGGGCAATAATTGCATCCAGAGGAACTGGTCTACGTCGCTCATTAGCAGGTCCTTTGAGAACGGTCCTCTTGAATATGCGGTTAAACATCTTAAAGCAGCTAAAGAAGTTTGGTAGTGGCGTCTGTTCTGCAGGCAAAGCTGAAGACAGCAAAGTAGTTTGTTTATAAACTTAGTCGACTGGAACCATTGCGAGAGTCCGGAGAACATATCATCATATAGATCTAAACACTGTTCGAGCATAGCTAACGATAGAACTATGGGAGGTATTTCCTCTTGTCGGTCATTGGGTTTTACGCCATTTTTCTTATCGTCCCGTACGTCGTCGAATAGCTTTTCCAGCTCTAAACTGTTTATATTTGTCACAGATCGTATGATACTTTGAGCGGTGACACTATTCGCTTTGATTTCATAATCCAAGCTACTTATGGCGACGGTGCCTATGGACAGGATAGCGCGTACAGCTCTCGGATGAAGACATTCATACACAATGGCTGTGTTAGTTAGTAAAGTATCAACTTGCTTGGCGCTTGTTTTGCGATTTTCAAAGCAATCGTCTTTCCAGTTTGCCAACATAATGACGTATAGTTCTGCTAAAATAACGACCAGTCTTTCGTCCTTTAGGTCGTCTAATTCGTTTAGTAAAGCGCTCATACAGGGCGCTACCATTTTAGCTTTATGGGCAATATTAAGACTAATTGGTAGGCATTTGCAGAAGATTGTTGTAAAATCTTTCCATGTAGTGAGCAAGCCAAGCCATACCGGTACTTTATCTATCAATTCCTCATCATCATTTCTGCCTTTAAACGAGAATATGTAATCTATCCACGTGTCCAAATGCTTTTTGTTAGTATCGAAAAATTGGTCCAGCATTTCTTTCAAGTTAGCTTCAAGCTTTCCTCTAGACACAAAAAGTTCTATTCCAAGTACGTTAAATATTTGCCCGTAGGTACGTAGTCCGGGTTGAATTTCGCTAAATAGGGGACTTGTCATGTGTTCCCAAAACTTAGGATGTTCTCGAAGCTTCTTGACTAGAATCTGCATGTTGTTCTTCCACAACGCGTGGAATAGTGCCATGATACAACCAAGCAATGGGCTGTACAGTAGCTTTGCATCCTGGGAAAAATTATATTTAAATATTTTCTTAAAATTAAGGACGAAAAGAATCAATATAGTCTGGGAAACAGATATTAAAAAAAAAGATGGAAACACAATAAAAAGTCCATTGTTTAAAATATTAGCAACAATCGTATTTCGTGCCATTTACTCCATACTTTAACTTTAAATATCTTGACTTGTTTATCAACTAGCATTGCCCGCAGCTCCGCTCGCGTTCAGATGACCAAGAACCAAATTCTTAGGTTTTATGTATTAGTATACTCTTACATTGCAGTTTTTGTATATTTTCTCAGAAATGAGATATTTTCCCGCGGTAAAAAGTCTCCTACATGTTGATCCGGATAACCAGCTATCTACTACTATACCAAATTTCATCAAAATCCCTCCAGTGATTTTTCTGTAATGTGGTAACAGTCAAGACAGACAGACAAAAATTCTAAAAACTGTAGATTCGGCATCTGTATCGATAATAATGTTTATTTCAATAAGATTTTCTAAAAAATATTTAATGTACAGATTCGGCTTAGTTACAATTTTATTATATGTATAGATATGTATAGATATTGAGAGGCTGAAATTTAGACAGATATAAGATGTTTTAAGAAACATAATGCAATCTCAATGTTTCTATGCGAATAATATTTTTGATTATCAAGAAAAAACTCAGTAGAACTAAGGCAGCTTGCTTATAATATATCATTTCCATTATAATAATACTTACAGCTTTAACAGTTCCAAGATAATCAGCCATATATCCAAGAATACCGTCAAAACTATCCTCAGGTTCAGTCTTGTCCTTATTTTTATCATCTTCTTTATTTTTCTCATCATCCGCTTCCTTCGGTTTCTCATGTGTCATCATGAAGAAGGCCTCCGTGAGTCCTGGCTGTTTGCCGATACAAGTGGTAACAAATTCCAAGATGGCCAATTTTAGTTCAAGCATTTCGAATTTGTCGCGCAGTCGGTCGAGGAACATCACCCGCACTTGATATGCAGTCATGTCTAATGATGCAAATAGAGACATTTGAAACCCCTATAAAAATGCATGATTTTTTTAATACTTAGTAAAACAGTACACTGTACAACTGAAACAATAATCAATCAAAAATGATACAGGTTTTTAATAGAAATTTACCACAATTCATTATTTTTAATGAATTTAAATTATAATTCCAGTAATCTATGAAAACCACTTTACTAACACTAAAGTCACATTTAGGATCTAGTATTACGTGAAAGCAGGTTAAGTTTCTCTTTTTTTTATTCATGTCGATTTTGCCTATCTCTCGTTTCGGTACTGATTTTTATTAGTTATTAAAAAAAAAAACTTACATCAGCAAATCTCTTGAGCAATCGACAGCTTAAAACCGACAAGCTTTTATTGAAGGCATGATTTATATAACTGGTCACTTTGGGCACTACTTTTAATTCGTCTTTTTGTTTATTTTGCGCGAATATGAGTTGTTCTAGCGGCGTGACGTCATTCGCGTCACCCACAAGGGACTTTTGCCGTAGAGTGAACATGACGATAGCGAGGCAGCGCTGTAGAGTGAACGTGTACTCGTACGTGGGTCCGGACACCCAGTTTGTGTCTTCTTGGATAAGTCTTTCTAAACGGTTGTTACCTGTATCAAAGAATAATAGCAAAATATGTATTGAAAGTTGGCCTTTTGTAATATTTACTCATAGGTAGCAAAAAATATTTAGGCTAAATATTTTTTGGAAATGTTTTGTTCAAGACATAACATAGTAAAAAAAACATTCATAAGCTTTTATATGAACGGTATTGATATAGCTTTCATGAGCGACTTTTTACTCACCGATCGAAATAATCTTTAATAGTTCCAAAGCATTTTCTGAATAAGTCAGACTATAAAGGCAAGTTTTTTTTAACATTTCAGCAGACGGTTTGGTGCTAGTTTGTTGTAGCACCAATGTAAGGAACTTGGCACATCTTTGTAGTAGCTGTCTTCTCTCAGTAGCATTTCTGTACCGCCAGCCGCATATGTTGGGGAACACCTCGCGTACTATCAGTACTAAACCGGGGTGAATTATTTCTTTTATAATTCGGTCATCGTCTGACGCCTTTAAAATTTAAAATATATATTTTATAATGAGTATAAATGTATTTTGTTAAAATTGTTAATTAATTTTTGTTGTATTTTAATTTTATATTCAATATTTTTCATTTGTATGCCAATTTTGATATCTTAATCAAATAAAAAAATAAAATAAATGATAAATTATATAATTTAATTAATATTCGGAAGATATGAATAAAATACAATTAATACATTTTATTCAATCGATTTGACTTTTGTAACATACATGCATTCATATCACAGCATTCTCACACAAAAAAAAGCCAAAAACCACGATAAACAGACAATAACAAAAAAAAGGCAAAGACAGTTCCCCCACCTCGTGGAAAGCACACAGCAAGTCCAAGTACGCGTTTAGGAAGCCGTAGGTGCCGGTGGGCTGCTCGCGCGCCACCAGGTACGCGCCCACCGCCGCCACGTCCAGCGCCGCGCCGCCCGCGTACTGCGCCGCCGACAGCTGCGAGTTCACGATGCGCGGGAGCAGACCCGTGTTTATTAGCCTGGGGAGTGTATTGTACTATTACTAGTAGTAGCTCACCCTCACTTCGCTCGGGTTCGACCCTAGCTTGCTTCCCAATACAAATTTTCATCCCCATTTTTACCACCTTAAGGGATGAAGGGATATATGTTGTATAATATATAATCTGTATAGTATCTTATGTCCTTCTCAGGGTCTCAAACTATCTTCTTACCAAATTTCATCTAAATCGGTTCAGTAGATCCAGCGATTACCCCCTACCACATCACAAACTCACAAACATTACCTCTATAATATTACTATAGATTGTTACATGAATCAATAATGTTCTTCTGACCGATTACGGCCACGTCGGCCAATCACGCTGAGACTTACTAGATGGCACATATTATGGTGTACGAATGAACGCGCAAACACAACGTGCAGTCTCTATTCCCTTTTCTCTTAAACTCTGATGGTAAGATACTTCCATACGACCGGTCAGTTAAGGTGAAGGATCGAACGCTTTATTTGCTCTCCGAAGCACGGGGGTTAACACCGCCAGCTTCTCAACTCCGAGCTACTACTGAGGATATCTTAGCAGAAAACTCAGTAATTAAGCTTGGCCCGACCCGGGACTCGAACCTTGGACCTCAGTAGACCACCAACACTATGAAATAATATCTGCTTTATACTAGCGACTAACTGTAGCTTCGCTCAGGTGCGTCTTTGGGTGCCTTTTAGATTTATAATATTATCAGCCTGGGCGTACTTAAATGTTTATTTTGGTCTTCAGAGACCTTAATGGATATTAAAGTTTTTGTTTATGGTAAAAACATTTAAAATTATAAATATTAGGTTTAATAAAACAAATGATAAAAAAAAGTGTAACAAATTGTGTTTTTATTGGTGGGAAAAAATATTCAAGAGAAGTAAATTAAAAAAAAATTGGTAAAGCTTAAAACTAAATACAGACGATTCAGTACAGTAGTTTTTACGTGATGGCGTAAAAAAGAAATAATCGCTTCCATTATATAATATACATATCTATATTAGATTAAGGAATAATAAATTGTAAACATGCAACAACGTGTTAGACAAATACGAGTAAGTAAATTAAAAAAATGACTCACCTTACATGAACTTCTTTTGGAAATATCGGTACTAGAACAGTGCACACATTTAAGCATTCAACTAATAACTGCAATGGCGGCGCGTCGGACCTCATGAAGCGAACCAAAACATCAAAAACGCCTTCACTCGGCGCCACTAAAGTTTTCGGTATCTCCTTATTAATTGCCAACGCTTTTAACACACTTTTCAATAGTTTAGTACCTTCATATACTTTTTCTAATGTTATATTTATATTTTGGTGGCTTTGCTTTCGATCTAGAACTTTCTCGATTTCATTGTTGAATATGGTCCAGTACGAGTATGGAGTACGGAAATGAATCATTGTGCCCTCTTTTCTTTCTAAGACGGTTGCTTTTGAACCCATTTCGATGCGGTAGGAAGGATCGCCTAGAGGGTAGTACTCGCGCCCTATAATCGCATCGTCTGCTTGCAGCGACATTATAGGCACTGCATTTGGGTTGTATATTTCCGTGTAAACTGGTAGACTTTTAAGCTCCGCTAAAAGCTGTAATGAAAAGATTTTATTAGTAAATTCATTATATTAAAGTATTATATGAAATTATAATTTTTACTACTTTATAACCTGCCCTCGTTTTCCTTATACCCTAAATTTACCACATAATTAATAGATTAAATTCTATTCAATTCTCTTGTATTAGCTTCACACCTGCCAGTTGAACACAGATTACAGAGTAGGAACAAGTAGAATGGAGAAGACACGAAGGAAATTGTTTGATTAAATTTCTCATAGAATTAGCATTTGGTATGCCATAGCTACAGTTTCCGTGACACTTGACCATGGATACAGTGACCCAAAATAACTAAGTCGCAAATGAAGAATAAGTTGTTCAATATTTCGCTTCGTATTTGAGATACCTAAACTAATAGAACTATTTAGTACACAATAAAAAAAATAAAAAAAATTCTACTTACATTTCTAACACTATCTTTACCAGCTTCAGCTAGCGCAGCTGATAATATTGAGAGAGCACTGAAATTGTATGGGAAATACTCCAAAGCAGTATTCCATAGGGAAACCACGCCATAATCTATCTCCCGTTGATGCAAAGACCAGAACTTCTCGGCAATGTCTGGTGTTTTGATTAAGTCCGCACAAAGTGTCATTATACCAGGTTGATGACTCAAAGTGTCGTCGCCATCGAACTTATCGCACAGGTCGTTTAATAAACGGAATATCCGTTGTCGAATAATAAAAGAACACTTTGAATTATCCTAAAAAATTATGTCATAATAAAAATTTGTTTTGTTACATTTTTAAGTTACAATATTCAAGTTTAATTTCTTAAAACAGCTTTTGATTCCAAATAAAGTTAAATCCATTTTTTAAACATTCAACCCAGTTGATCGCTTTTTCCTTTTTGAAGTCAGTCAAAAATTAATAGTCAAGCAAAATATTTACTTTATTTTTATAAATAATTGCTGTATTTTTAAAAGTATGTATCTAATGTCTAAATATTTTATATAACTTACAGAGAGGACAGGACTATTTAACATTTGTTGGATAAACATAAAAACTCTCATCCTTAAGGCTGTTGCTCCATAGTGCTGATATTGACTTTCAAATAATTTGGCATGTGATGTACTCTGGAATAATTCAAATACATAAGAAGTCTATTTTATACATAAAATCACACTCTCAGAACATAATGAAAATTTATGTTATAATATTAAACCTGCAGTGTTATCATCATCCATGTAATAAGCATCAAACTTTGATCTACATCGGGTTCAAGTTTAGTAAGTTCGCTCTCTACTACCTCCTTGGTTTTATCTATCCAACAGGACACATCTTTTCTACAAAAACAAAAAATGTGTAAAAAATAATAATTATGTATTTTAAAAAATTACTAATGAAAAATCAATAAGCTGTAAATTGTAATCTTATTCATTATATTTGAACATTGTAAATATAATTAAATAAATGATTGATGCTTCGCCTGTATTCAAACTTCTGATGATTACCAAACTACACAGGATCACCCACTTATCTTAAGATTGCCTGAGATTTTCACTAAAATCCCTCCAGCCATTTTGCAGTCCATACATTCACACATCAATTTTTAAATAGATTTATTATGAAGTAAAATTGTGGATATTGTTTTATACTTACATTTTTTCTCTATCTACAACTATTGTAAAAAGACTTAATTCCATATACATAATTTTTGCACATGCTTCTCTGTGCCTTTCTTCTAAAAAATCATTGTAGCCTTGGTTTTTACTAAAATTGTGTTTTCTAAATAATTTAAATAAGGTAATGAATTCAGAATCTGTCAAAGTATATTCATTAGCTATTAATGTCAGGATCTGTAGAATTGTTAGTTGTTCTCTTAGATTTGATTCAGCCCACTCTTGTCTAACAGAATCATTACCAAAATCACTTTGAATTCTTCTAGGTGGAGGAGAAGCTAGTAACAGTTTTTCAAATTGAGTTAAAAGAGAACTTTTTAAGTTATTTATTCCAATAGTACTAATAACTTTATCAAAAGGTTCATGATATTTATGATTTTTGTCACTTTTATTCTGTATTATGTACTGTAAAAGTTTAAGGAGGAATAATCTCTCAGCAAAATAAAAGTTCCAAGTGTTAGGGAGAAGGAATAGTGGTCTTGTATCAACAAAAGCAATATTTTTCAGAGCATTTTCTGGAGTACCATATGATATGTCACATAAATAATGTTTTAAGACATCCCATATTTGAAAACAATCCACATCCTAAAATAAAACAAGACATTATTAGGTATAAGTAAAAATTATTTGCATGGATAATGAAGACATAAATGACTTAAACTTACAATATAGTGTTGTAAAGTTTGAATTATATTCAACAATTTAGTATGCTCTGAATATTTAGTTTGCAATTGTGAGAATAATTCAGTTTTGGAAGGTTTGTAACTAGCTAATCCTTCCCTTAAGGCTTGTACGACACTGTTATCTAAAACATTTTCCAATTCTTCCTTTGTAAGGCTTTGTGAGGATATCCAACGCCATAACCGCTTCCAATAACTAAAGTGTAAACAATTAAACTTTAAGTAAACCGCAGGCACAAGAATATAATAAATCACGTATATCAAATAAAATGCTTACGGAGTAGCGGTGGTCATTGCTAGTACCTATTTAGACGATTTACTTCTAGGTAAGTTATTAATAATACTTAATATCCATTAAAATTTACAAAACCTTAAATTATTAGGTTAGAAATTTAGACTGCAAACATGAAGCTATCTTTTTAGTTTCAAAATCAAATGTTAACTGTCAATTTATTTTGAGTTTTGACTGACAGTAAGTATAAGTCCGAAAACACTATATGATATATAAGAAACTTAATATTGATATTTTTCTTTGACTAAAGAAAAACAAACTCTCCTTGACGATTTAATTGAATTTTTTGGTTTTTTTATTTACGTGTTAATCATGATTATTTAGATTAACACAAAGATGATCTTGATAGTGACGTTACGGGCGACGTCATTTGACATTTATCAATCAAATATCAAGTTTCTCGTTCCACAATCCACATGTCCGTTTACATCGTCCCGCTCCCGCCGCTTTAATCAATTTTTATTTGGTAAGTGGTAAGTGTTGTAGTTGCATAAATTGCATTTTATTAAAGATAACGATTGTGCACGTAAATACCATGTACAGCCCCAATCAAGTACTAGATTACTTAACTATTTAGGCTAAGAGGTGAAGATAATGTACACTATATCAACTTGTTATTTGAAACTCCAGGAAAATGGCCCCAGCAGCTCCTGAAGTTAGGCCTGTACCGGCTGATGACTCGATCGGGGCAGGTATTAGAGCAATTTTATTGGGACCTCCGGGTTCTGGAAAGGGAACTCAAGTAAGTTTTTCTTTTTCTACCTGTTTGACCTTTAAAAAAATTCATACAATTATATATGTTTTTTATATAAAATTACTTATTAATAATTTATTTTGTTCGTATTACGTAATAACAATTACTATCTAAGTTAATCATTTGCACCAAAGATTTTTTTTTATTTAGGCACCCCGTCTGAAAGAGAAATACTGTGTATGCCATTTATCAACGGGAGATATGCTCCGGGCCGAAGTAGATTCTGGCTCTGAGTTGGGCCGACGTCTAAAGAAGGTGATGGATGAAGGCAAACTTGTTTCGGATGAAATGGTAGTGCATATGATTGACAAGAATTTAGATCAGCCTGCATGTAAAAATGGCTTTTTGCTAGATGGATTCCCAAGGACGGTGCCCCAAGCACAAAAGGTATATTTTTATTTGTAATAATTTCAGTTTATCCTTATTGAAAATATATTTCATCTTTACTAAACAAAAATACCTATTATAGTTACACAATATCTGATAAATGATAACTTATATATTTATACATGCCTCTGTTTAAGGCATTGCCTGCAGATGTATTTCTATTACCACAAATAAGTATTTTTTGATAAGATAAAGTCAATCGCCTAGAACATGATGTAATAAGTTGTTTTGGATTCATGTGAATGATTGATATATATATTTTTTGAATTATTTTAATCAATGTATAACAAATGATGATTAATATATATATTCTACTCTTAATATATAACATTAAAACCCACCATCACTTAGATATGAGAAATATTTTATGATAAGCTTTGATTGCTTTCAATTTTATTAGATCACTAATTATCTATAATTCAAAGTTTTTATATAAATTTTCAAACTAAAGTTTAAAAAATAATAATAATTTGTGTTTGAATGTAAAAAGTATATTAGACTGTTTGTAACTTATCTATACAGATAAATAAAATTGAAGTCTGTAATGTCAAAATAACAGCGTTTTACTAAATGCATATGAAATTATATATGGTACTTATAATAAAAACACAGTTTTTAAAATTTTTGTATGTGTGCCTGTCTGTCTGTTTGTTCCGGATAATCTCTGAAACGCCTGGACTGATTTTGACGGGACATTCACTGGGAGTTAGGTGATGTTATAGGGAGTAACACAGGCTACTTTTATTTTAGAAAAATAATTAGGGTTCTGCTCTAAAAAATTACAAAATCATTCAATCCCTTTCAGAACTAAGACATAATGCATATATATGAACTCTAGTTATTACATATTATATTTATGTATGCACAAGAAAGTCTTCTGACTTTAATATCTATACATATAATACAATTCTAACTGAGTTGAATCTGTACATTAAATATTTTTTGGAAAATCTTATTGAAATAGTCATTATTATTGATACAGATGCCGAATCTATAGTTTTTAGAATTTTTGTCTGTCTGTTTGTGACTGTATCACGCGTTAACCACTGGACACCTTTTGATGAAATTTGGTATGATGATAGCTGGTTATCCGGGTCAAACATATAGGATATTTTTTATTGTGGGAAAATATCTCATTTCTGAAAAATCTATACTAAACGTGAAAATGTAACATAGGGACAAAACCGAGTGGAGCAAGGGTGAATCGCTAGTCATCTATATGATAAGTAGGCACACAAGAATTATTAGTTCAGTGTTATTTTTAAGTATGATAAATTAACTTGTTTTAATTTTCAGTTGGATGAATTGCTGGAAAAAAGAAAATCAGCCCTTGATGCTGTTATAGAGTTTAGCATTGATGATAGCCTACTAGTGCGTAGAATTACTGGACGGCTTATCCATCCTTCCAGTGGTCGCAGCTACCATGAAGAATTCAATCCTCCAAAAAAAAATATGATTGATGATATTACTGGTGAACCTTTAATAAAGAGGTCAGATGATAATGTTGAAGCACTTAAAAAGCGGTTAACTACATATCACCAACAGACTGTACCACTTATTGATTATTATATGAGGAAAGGCCTACATTATAGAGTTGATGCAGCATTACATGCTGAAACTGTCTTCAGTAAAATTGATAATATTTTTAAGAATCGGATTTTTGCTAGGGAAAGATCTTCATTGTAATTTTAGCCACTTACAGTGTTCGTTGTACAAATATTAATTTACTATGTGATGTGGTTACTTTCATACTTTATATTTTAGGGACACTTGTAGTTGTGAGGTTCAGTCAAGTCTATTTTTGAGGTCGTTTTCTTGTATAAATATATGAAATACAATCATGATTTAATTTCCATTTTTATTTATAGCCCTAAATATGTCCTGTTCAATTTTCTGTTCGATAAAAGTTATTGCCAAAATTATATATAAATGAGATGCTGTGTATATAAATTCCTTACAAAATTTTATAAGGTTTTGATGAATTTTTCAAATTACATATCTCAAGATTATATTTATACTAGTCCCTAGGTACGCTTTAACGGTTAGTATGGAATAGATAGACTTGGGTAGTATGATGACATATAGATTATTCTTAGCCTGCCTCAATAAACAGGCTATCTAATGCAAAAAGATTTTTTCATATTGGATTAGAAGTGCCTGAGATTAGCGCGTTCAAACAAACAAACTCTGCCTCGTTATAATATTAGTATAGATTATAAATGTAAAAGGTGTTCAAGATGTTTGGATGGTTATTATTTATAAAATCACCATTGAATGGACTTATATGGAACTTTAAGGATACTTTTTGTCTAATATATATTAATAATGAAATATCGTGGGATAATAATTAAACTTTAATGTTATTTAACAAAACAGTGTTTTTATTAATAGAAATTGTTGTTGGCAAAGTACTTGAAAAAAATACAATAATGGTTACTATTATAAATACGAAAGTAACTTTCGTCTGTCTATCTGTTACCTTTTGATGCTTAATCCGCTGAATCGATTTAGATGTGGTATGAAGGTAGTCGGAGACCCTGGGAATGACAGGATAGTTTTTATTCTGGAAATCATCCTTTAAAGGGGTGAAAAGAGGGTGGATGTTTGTATAGGGATTCTATCATTTCTTAAATAAGGGATATCAAACTCATCATACCTATGTATATATACTCTTATCTATTCTATACTAAATGCCAATACGTATCGAACCCGAGCAAAGCGAGGGTGAGTTGCTAGTAAATGTCATAAAATAAAACTAACTTTAAATCCAAATCTTTAATAATTAATTTTGACTATAAGAAGTACATAGAGTTAATATATATTTCAGCTACGTCATACATGTTATATGTAAATTTTTGTTCGAAGTAGGTAAGCTCAGAAAAGGCAAAACACATTCAATTTCTTTCTTTAACTTCTCGAAACTTCCTAGTTATTTAACAAAATTACGTCAAATAAAACGTTCCTATAAAATTTAATTGTTGAATATTTTTTAGAATTTCGTTAACATCTAATATTAGCTAATAAATAATTAAAGTAAAGACGGTTATATTACATTATTGAACTCTCATAACGTTTAATTAAAATTTGTCATTCGAAAAAGATCCGGCTTGAGGGACCATTATGATCATTTATTTCAGTTCCCTTAAATATAACTTTAAATTTTCGCGTCCCATAATTGTATAATAAAGACGATAAGGAACTAAAACGAATGAAGTCGTAGGTGGCAAAATACCTTATTCCGGACGTTTAGGCTGACGTGCAACAGCCGTGGTCACGGGCAGGTATTTTGCCACTAAAGAATTCACACGTTTAAGTCCCGTAGTGTCTATTATACTGTTCCATTAATTGTTAATTATATATTAATAATTGGTTCATTAACAAAACTATAAGTGACTACATACATTAATAAGAAAAAACTACGTTTTAAGTTTTAAATATCATAAATTCCATAATACAAGTATGGGTATATCTAGATTGTAAAGGTAGAATACATGTAGAGGTACATTGTGGTTATATTAGGTATATATATATATATATATATTAGGTATATATATATATATATATATATATATATATATATTCCTTAATATATATATATATATATATATATATTCCTTAATATATATATATATATATATATATATATATATATATATATATATATATATATATATTTAGGAGGAATATTTAAAAATTTGTACATAATGTAATTGGGAATTCTAAACATTTTTTATATATTTTTATAACAATAAAAAGAATATCCGGATTATTATATTTTATGTTTAGAAAGATGTAATAGTTTTGTTAAAGCTAACAACTAAATACATTATATTTATATCATCACTACTTATTTCACAGCCGCTTAATAATAATTTGCACTTTAATTAGAACAACCTACGTTAAAATATACATGTGTAATGCGATGATTAAGAAAAGGTAAATAATATTAAAATAAAATCAATTTTTATTACACAATTACCTAGTTTATGCTTTCAAAGTAACTATGGCTTACGACACGACAACTGCTTTATAAGTAAGACTTAAAAAAATCAATCGACCGTGTAAATTATGAAAAAAATGACGTTATTATCTTTATTTATATGTAAATCTTTCTTTGAAGGGCACGGAATGGATCGACACGAGCGATAGCCTTCTCTTGATACGTTATCTGCGTGTGCCATCCTGCTTCCATGGCCTAATAATCTTTATAATAATTATTTTTCATCTCCATTTTAAGTATTAATATTTTCAAAATGTTAATAACTAGATGTTTTTTTTTATTTTAAAATCCCAACTGATACATCATTTGGTGTAATTATTTTCAGTGTTACAATCAAGTTATAGGGGAGGTAGATCAGGTATCTTAATGATTTTTTTTTTTTCACCATTAGTAATACGTCTGATAATTGCTTCTTTGTTTAGTGTTTAAAAGTACCTACCTATAAAAAAGCTGCTGTGTAATTTTATGTGGTATACAATAGTAGGTATTATTAAAAATGTTCAATATGTTATATGGTTCACACGCAATTGACACAGTCCACAGTAGCACAATCCCCTTCTTCAATGAAGCTAATTATTCATTAAACTATTGCATACATTTTCGTACAGAGCAAAAATTTCTTTCAAATTATTTACATATTTTCGCGTTAGCTCCACCGCTGTAATGTAGTAGGGGAGAACTTATTGTTATGAATTTGTATGTATGAATGACTAAGTGAAATGCTACACCCCTATTATTAATTTTCGCATTCCTATTACGAATACTTAATACTTTCTTAGATTTACGCGAATATTTCACATATTAAATAAAACTATCTTTTTGGATTTTTTGGCAAATTTATTTTGATTTTTGGTTCCCAACGTATCGAATGCTGTACAGCAATCATGGTTACGGGAGAAATGGTCGAGAAAATCCGAAAAGATAGTTTTATTTACAAATACTTAGTTAAAATGATATAATGACAATTATTAACTACACATATTTAAAACTTAAGTAAATATTTGTACTATCTAATTAAATATATTATGCATGAAATGGTTTGGGTGAGTAATAAATAAAACAACATAAAAAATGGACAAATGTGTGTAATTCGTGGTCAAATTTATGAGTCATGTCATGTACATAAGTCGAACTTATTAAGTGTAAAAATAGTTTTTATATTGAGACGTTTCGGACAGGTACATGAGATTGAATCGATTTAAACAAGATATAATATGATTTTTAACAAATTCGAAATCTCGATATGCAATGAGATGATATTTAGTTATTATATAACGTTAAAGGACGATGACAATAACATACAAGGGTTACACAATATCGCGACTAGTATGTATTTAATACTAAAGATACGAACGAAGCACACGCAGGCACCAGCATTTCGCTATACAAAGATTACGATTTGTTAATTATTAATACGCTTTTATTCGATATAGACAACGCGATATCAGAACTAAATGAGACATGAATCGAATTGATGCCATACATGGTGGAGAGCACCATTCAAATTCCGTTTAGCACAACTCAAGTTACAGGGGGAATTATTTTACAATAAATATACCACAACACACGGACGTAGACTATAAAAGGTATGAGGTGAGCGATTTTTAAGTTCTTATTGAGTCAATTCCGTTTTTTACCAAATTTAAATTTATCAATATTAATATTTAGTAATCGTACAAATTATCAGATTTTTTCATACTATCTATATCGATACCAAAAAACGATTTTTTTTTAAAGAAAATTTATTCGTAATCGCCCACCTAAGGGTGAGAACACAAATTGTCATGGATTCAAAAAGTGATGAGAAAAGCACACCTACCGTCAGAATAAATAACTATAATTAAAAATATAAAAAGGATATTTACAAAGGAGACACAGACACGGCTGCTCAACAACGTCCTACGCTAAACATAGCTTTGGATTATCGTAATAACGATCTATATCTAACACTAATTTACAATAAAGCTTTTTAGAACAACATTTACATACATTAACAATATTATTGTTCGACATTAACAGTAACGAGTGGGGTGACGACGCTCATTTCAATCTTGCTAGAATCATGTAAAAATGGTAAATGTAATTACTAATTACATAAACACAGAAATATTTAAAATTTTGAAACAATCACAATATACAACAGAAATATTAACACAACCAATTAAAAAGTACTCCAAGTACAGCCCTACAGTGTCGAAACGTAACCGAACAATAAGTATCGATATATCAATTGCACATCATAAAACAACACTAACACGCGGCAATCAAACTCTAAATGCATTTCTAGAGCATTCAAACAACGACAATTAAAACCTCAACTACTCTTATGTAGGGTAGTTCTAAATGTTGGGTTTCCTAGACACCATTAACATTACTTCAATTCGAAGCTATAAATTTTCAAGTTTTTTATATTGAATGTTGTACAAATGGGTCCGCATTATTACAAGCGAGCGATTAGACCTCAGTGGTCGTGCAGACGGTCGTGCGAGCGACTCGACGAGCGCGAGGTCTTGCGTTGATCCAAATATGCTGCCGGCGCCCAACCTTCTCCTTGTCCACCTGAAATGACAAAATCTTTATTCATTATAAAATTAGAATCGCTTATTATAAAATTAGTATACTTGTTTATTGAAAATTATACCCATCACCAACATGGAAAGAAAATAATTTAGTCCTTAAATCAGCTTCTTTATGGATTATCTTAAACGCTCCGCTTTTTATTTTGAATAAATATTCTATCACTAAAATAACCAAATGTTATCGGCTACCAAATAATTGATAATAATAAAAAAAACTTTTTAGACATGGCAATCATTGACGACACGATTGGCTCAGTTTGTAGTAACCCTACTTGCTGTGCCAGCGGTCGCGGGTTCGAGTCCCGCTGGGCGCATTCATTTGTGTAATGAGCACGAATGTTTGTACTCCAGTCATGGATGTTTATGTTTATAATATGTATTTAAAAGATATATATGTGTAGTGTATCAATTATCTGGTATCCATAACATAAGCCTCATAGCTTACTATGGAACTAGATGGTGCAGTGTGTTAATGTCCCAACATATTTATTATTCATTTTTGTGTATTGGCAAAATATCTTAAATATCTTTCAAAATATCTTCTATATCTATACAAGATCAATATATCTTCAACGTACCTGCCAGACGCACGTACCACCAGCCGGCACAGCCCACCTTGAGCAGGTCGGCGTGCTGTCCCTCGCGCAGGGACACCTCGCTCGCGCCCACCGCCGTGTAGTCCGACAGCGCCACCAACGCACACCCCACCGCCTGACACCACAAACGTTGCTTGTCTTATTTATTAGTTATTATATCCGCGTTTTTATATGAGGAAGAAATGAAAATTGCTAGTAAATAGAGTTTATTGGATATATTACTTGAAATAAAGTAGGTCGCTTTTAGTCGACTTTGTTTAATGTGAAATTGATCTTTGTATTATAGTTTCGTTTGGATTGTATTTTATTATATTGGTGTATTGCTTGCAGATTTATTGTCTGTGTGTAAATATTACATATCAATAGTCTATTTCTATGATATAACCTACACTTATCTAGATAACAAAAATCTATCATTAAGAAATAATAATGAAGACAAACCACTATTTTTTATCGTGAAGCACTATTAAAATTAATGTATAGTGCTAGTAAAAATTCATTTCATGTCAAACATCCATTAAAACAGATATGTTCCACTAAACAGACTATTTAAAACCTGTAACATCAAAACATGCACACATTCAGTCCCTAACAGAAAGCATAAAGAGTATCCACACCGATTTTAAAGATCAATAACTTGAGCACATGCGTGTTATTGCACATTAAACCTTTGCCTCGATTCAATTGTAATTATCCTTAAGCATGCAACATATCAGTTAGTAGAACAACCATTCAGATTGGATGCTTTCACATCTTAACATTTTGATCGTAACAATTTTTACAATTGGACAATTATATATTATATTTTGTTTTGGTCTTCGTTTTGATTCGAACGTGCACTATTGTAGAAACTATTTGAAAAAACGTGTTGTTACAATCAAAATGAAGTATTAGATACAATTTGTTAGTGAATGGCAGTCGTTGAAGCCATGCATTTGCATGGGAATAGATAGGTATACGATAATTACAATATTGAACTTAAATTTTATAAAGAAAACTTATTACTTAAATATAGAGTCTAAAAAAGGAATACATATTAATGTACAATGTTGTGTAGTTCATTTGTATAAGCGTTACAGAGTCGTGAACAGTATTTGAAAATATGAAAGTAGATATGTTAAATATAACAGGTATCATGTAAACATAATATCAATATTATCTTATAATGATGCTATAAATTTAACACATACAGCTGATGAATAAATATATGTTTTACTTACATATACTAAATACATAGTGTATATTATATAACTTAAGATATAGAAGGAATTACAACTAGGTACGTTTTATTTATAATTTATAGAAGATATTGTCTATTGTTTGCTATTTCGTGTAGAAAAAGATTTGCAAGATGTAATTTAGAAGACAGCTCGTCGAAAGCTAAGTAAGAGAATGATGAAAGCTCTGGCCGTGCTGAGCAGTGTTGAAGCAAACTAATGTCTTCTTTCCTGGATCTTCCTTGACTAATTAAGAGGTTATGCAATAAGAAATCCATAACTTACATACATACTTACATACATACATACATACATAACGCAACGTGTATCCAAAACGAAAGTGTGCTGATTGTATGTATCAGTAGAAATAATATATAATCAATGAAAAAACAGAAATAAGAATAACACTCAATAGACTTACATATAATAACACGTAAACAAAGCGAAGCGCATAATATAATTAAACGAAATCGAAAAGCACACGACAATGAATGACAAAACAAACAAAACATGACTTACACCACAGTTAATGTTCAGCGAATAGAGCTGATATATCCACGTTACGTCGTTGTCTTTGGTTATTTAAACTTTGGATATATAGTCAGTCTCTTTCATTTATTTACAAAGTTTCTATCGGCCTAGCCGTAGTTTATCAGTATTGTGATGATACGTAAAAGGTGGAGGTGGCTTGCGTGGAGCCCGATACTGAAAAGAACTGTACCATTCTGTGTATGGTACCGTTGAGACCCACGGCCTCCGTCACCTGTTGAACAACACAACTTAGAGCATGGCGGCCATTTTGATGATTCACATCACAAGATGGCGTCAGTAACTGCCAAAGCACTAAGAGAAAGTACCTTGTGAACTTATGACTGTCTGTTACTATCTTAAGTGAATTGTGCTATTTGAAAGCCTACCTTTAATGAAGATAGTGATAAATCAACATTTTAATTAAATTTTCGTTTTGAAGCGATGATAGGTGACTTGCAAAATCAATATGCGGTGACGGCGTGAACTAAGAATCTGGGCGTTGGCGTTTTTTTCTTTCACAATATCTTTAACATGTAGGGAATTCGTAGTACCGTTATCTAAATAAATATGGCTAGAAGTCTAAAACTAATCAGAACATATACTACGAATTCTCTAGTAGATAAATTACTGTCATTAAGGAAAGGGAGCAGCTTTTAATAAGGGTTTATTATATTTGATAGACGGACATTATTCCGGGAAGCGTTAGGTGCGTTCTGGTTGCTAGCCATATCATGCGCTACCCGGTGACTATTTGCCCGCATTCCTTTAGAAATTTATTTAAACTTACATCGAGAGTGGATTTCATTTCACTCACAACTGTAAACCCAAAATTAGTTTGCATTAAAAATTTATACCCATATTAAGATAAGCCCAACACAACTAAAAGTTTTACTGTTAGTTTTAACATTGTATTTAAAACAAGAAATCTTATAAACGAACAATGGCAAAACATTTTAATTTCTACTACGTACATTCCTTAGAAACCCACGTGTATCATATAATAAAATTGTTTATATTCATTTACTCTTAAAACCATTTTAATGACGAACGAAATATACACAAAAAATTTAAGAAAAATTCTTTATATTTGCTAGCGTTCTTGCAAAACGTCATTAAATTCGTTTTTTATTGTAATTGAATATAGAAAACATTATAGGTACGGCCCCAAAAGCAAGATCCAAGAGGACGTCACAAAAATTAAAAAATTAAAACAAACAACTATTCATCTAAAATTTGCAAATTCTTTACACGGCAAAATTTAATTCCAATGTCATTCAAAAGTTAACTGAACGTATAATAATACGAGGAACGACTGTACGTATAAAAACCTTTTTTATTAGTGTAGAAGCTTTACTCCCATTTAAAGTCAATTTTGAAACAATATATGTGTAATATACAAAACAGTTTTTATATTCTATACAATGTTGTTCCATACAACGGGTTATAGTTTAATTACGCAGGATATTTTTGACCGAAGGAAATAGAATTTAGTTAAACTTTTCATTCCGATTATTGTTTGTACGTTAAAATAAGTATAATTAATTAGTCTTTAAAATTTACAATGTCTTTCATTTTCTTATTCCACGCAACACATAGCAAGATCATGGCGCGTAATAGGAAATAAAAATATATGAAATATCAATAAATCCGCCCAGCCGTTTTAATATAAAACATGCGCAAGCAAACTAGAAAAAACAAAAGAATTTACTGTTCACTTGGCTCTATTGCACCCACTGGATCACTTTTTCACAAATTATTTTACATACAACATCATCTGATCACTAATTATAGGTAAGTTCTTTATTAGTGATCGATGTACAACATTAAATCTGTTATTGTCCTAATGGATAATTGTACCAACTTATTATATGTACTTATAGACGTAGCTTAAACAATATTTTAGTCTCTTCTCTTAACATCGAGATAAGTCAGAAAAGGACAAATAAAACGTTTATCTTTTAAGTGAAGCAACGTGTATAAGTAACGCACTTTTCTCTACATGCGGTTCCCGTCTAAATGTAATCCATGATGGCTTTATGATCGGCTCGGCATTTAGATTTGAATTACTATTGTTATTATTATCAATAATATAGGCAAGAATATGATTATTACTGAACTATCACTGAACCCTTTACACGGAAACCGTGTATTTGTAAAGACGGCGTAAGAACACGATCACGGTCGCAGTGTGGTAACAGCCGTTGGCTACGACCGTTATCGTGGCCGTGGGGTCTTAGGGCCAATGGATACGACGTTTTATAAACGTGCCAACTACACACGTATCATGAACGAGCGTCGTTTGCGCGTACTCCGTGCTAATAAACTTAAAAGGGCTTATGCATGATTTTATTCTATGCAGATAAACTTGAAAAACGCAAAACTTGAAAAACATTTTATAATGTAATCGTGTGCATAGGCCTTTAGGGTATAATGTTAGATTATTATCAGATGTGTTACATCTTATATAATATCCTACATAGGTGTACTAACCGGCGCGTGTTCGGGGTCATCGTCGTCGTCGTCGGAGGGGTCGGTGGACCAGCAGGGCTCGTCGTGCGCGTCGCAGGAGGCCGCGCGCGCCGCCGCGCCGCCGCGCGCCCCCGGCACCGCGCCCGGGCCCAGGTCCCACGAGCTCGTTTGTATTAGTGTCCTGGTGGGTCCGGCGGACATGTTAACTTTTGACAACACGTTTGGCTCGGTTTGTATTGACCCTACTTGCTGTGCCAGCGGTCGCAGGTTCGAGTCCCGCTGGGGGCATTCATTTCTGTGATTTCTGATATTTATAATATGTATGTATTTAAAGTTAAATATGTGTAGTGTATCAACCGTCTGGTATCCATAACACAAGCCTTGTAGCTTACCATGGAACTTGACAGTGCTGTGTTCAAAAAAAGCCATCTTTGTAATATCTACGTAACTGTTTACGGCGTAGTTAGAACGGTCAATTTATCTATCTAATACACATATTGTAGACTGAATTCAAAACAAGAAGGTGGTAAATTCGGTTGTGTGTTTTTGTGTATATGTTACGGTGACATATCGGTAAAATAATTATAATCAATTTGAGTAGTCACCCTTTCGTATTTAAAATATGTATTATGAAAGTTCTCAGAAGGGTCCTAGGAGTTTTACCAACTTAATTCACCTACATTTGTGTTTTCGCAGTGTTCTTAAATTATATCAAAAACCTTCCTAAATAATCTCTTCTTAATGGTCAATAGTTTTTGAGATTTGTTTGAACAAACAAACTCAACACAGCCTCAGATTTGAATTATAAATATGTAATAATTTTATGTATGAGTCAAAACTTGGTTAATAAGTGTACAAACACACACCGGTGATGCTGCGCGCCGTACTGCCGCACGCGCTCGCCCTTCAGCTCGTTGAGCTGGTCGAGCAGCACGCGCTTGATGCGCTCCACCCACGCGCGCTTCACGTCCGCGCTGGGCGCCGTGATCGTGTGCACCTCCGCGCGCCCCTGCCGCCACACCTCGAACTTGCGCGCGTCGCCCTTCACAGACTCTGTCAGGCCGACTTGTGACATCTACGACAGAGATCGTGTTTAGAAGGTTCTATCATCTAGCGTTGCCAGTAGAAAGTTGGGTGCATATATTAAGGCTTTAGAGTTATCATAATTAATTTTATATAATACAGCTTCAGTTTTAAAATTGCAATTTTAAACTTTCCCGGAAAATAAGGAAATTGGCGGGAAACTTTAGTTTTCTTCAAATGTTTAAAAAAATAAATTCATGGAAATGGGGACAACGTCTTTCGGGTGAGCTAGTTTAATTAAGAAATTATTTTATTTCTCTTTCATTAACAAAAATATATTACTCACTTGGAGATCATGTTTAAAATGATAGGTAGCCTTATTGTGGCTATTCTTCGCAGCGGGCTTACAGAAGAGCATGGCCTTCTCGTAGAGGAAAATATGTCGACGCCTCGGTCGTATCCTTAGCCGAAGGTCGCGTTTATTTTCTGACACCACAAGGAATGAACTTTGCAGTAATAATTCGCCTTGTTGACTGAGGTCCACCTGTGAAAGGTACAATAAATTACAGGTAAATAAAACTAAATTAAAATAACATTTTAAATCATATAAAGAATACAAACAAATTACGCAATCCTATATAAATACTATATAGTTACGTTAGTCTCCTTATTTGGTTAATCTCTTCAAAATTTGCCTATATGTTTTATCTATACTATTATTATAAAGAGGTAAAGTTTGTGAGTTTGTGACGTTGTAGGGGATAATCTCTAGATGTACTGAACCGATTTAGATGAAATTTGGTAAGAAGATAGTTCGAGATCCTGGGAAGGACATAGGATATTTTTTATCTAGGAAATAATCCCTTAAGGGGGTGAAAGTTTGTATGGGGAATCAGCTAGGGGCGAACCCGAGCGAAGGAAGGGTGAGTCGCTAGTATACATACTTAGTAATAAAACAATATTCACGTTTAAGTATGACGCAATTCGCAAAAGTGTACAATTAAGAATAGGGTTTCCCGATTTTGTCTTTTCGCTTGTATATTAAAACTTTATTATACATTATTTATTAAAAAAACAAATAAATCGATATAATATAACAGATCCAATCATTCAGTCAATTATCCAACTAGGAAATTAAATTCAATACAAGCCATATTGTAATTAACAAGTACGTCATAACACCTACAAATGAACGTTCAAATGAGATATTGTACAGATTAGAATCTTATAAAGATTTTAACTTGTAGACAAGTCGCCACAAGACGAATTAGATCCCGTTCTAGCAAATCATAAACGTAATTTATCAAACACTTTGCACGTACACGTACCAGCAATGCATTCCAGCGATTAGAGTAATTCAGCGTCTAACTGATTATCTGTTATGGCGGTGTACGGAAAAACCTGACAAATTGCTTATGGCCTATTCGATATGAAATATTTTTCAATTATAGAAAAATGACCTTAGTCATATACTATAAAAGGAACAGATATTGGAAGAACTTGAAATATCGGGTTAAAATATTATAATAGCTTCACTCAAGGATACTGTACAAAGACAAGTGAAATAAAGAAAGAAGCAGCCCTTCAAGTAGCGATGGACTCCGCTTCGTTCGGGTGCGTTTCTAGGTGCCTAACAATAGTCATTTGTTTACTCGAGATCTGTGTACTAAACATCGAAATCCGTCCGGGCGTTGCTGCGTTAGGTAGTCTTAAACATACACACACTAACGTTTAATGTTTTAAAATATTGGAGTATAGGATAGCATCTTGGCCTGATCCACCTCGCATTGACGGGATGCCTATCTCCAGTATCTATGTCCAGTGGGACGGTAAAAGTGAAGAATTAATAATGTTACTGCACATAGCGAATGACGCAGTTGCATACTATATACGAAAGGGTGTGGATGGTAGCTTTCCGGTTATGTATGCAGAATGTTTGTCGCGAATAGTTAATTCAAAATATCCCGATTTGACCAAGGTTCACGGAAAACTTATATTCATAGCAATAAATTAAATTTTAAAACGTCATCACTCATGTGATGTGTATAAACCAGGAAAATAAATTGTATAATCCCATTATTCATAGGATTAAATATATTTTTTTAATTTAATTTTCTTGTCGATGGCTTGTAGGTATGCCAATGAAAAATAAAATTTATATATTTTTTTATTATTATTATTATTTGCCTATTAGATGGAAACAAAACTTTTATTTAAAACATACAAAGTAACGTAATAAAGCAAATAAAATGTAAACAAAACTTACAGGTACACCGGTAATGGCTATCTGGTGCATAGAGTCGTTCACGCACTTGAGCACTACCAGCATGCAGTCCAAAGCCCGCTGCAGCCCCGAGCTCATCGATCCACACTCGCTGTAACGTAGGAGATCCTGCAAAATGCCTTCATGGTTATATTTATTATTGACCGCCTTCCAAAAAGGAGGAGGTTCTCAATTAGTCGGAACCTTTTTTTATGTTTGTTAACCGATTACTCGAAGACACCTGAACCGATTTGGATTTTTTTTGTTTCAAAGGGTTATACTTCCTAGGTGGTTCCATAAAAATTTTATCGAAATCGGTCGAGTGGTTTTTAAAAAAATCAAAAATTAATTATTTTTTTAAATAAATTGTATCGAATATGTTATTAAAAAACTTTCTTCTTACAAATTACCTGCTTATACACTTTAAAATATATTATACTTTAAAAAGAAACACTTCTCTTTTCACATTGCTTTTGTATTAAGGATGTCCATTTAAAAATATATTTTATTTGTCTTTATATACTATTTATTATATGTGGGATAAACAAAGAATATAGAATACCTTTTATTCATTTTGTGCCATCCATAAATATAACAATTTCTTCCAATTACATATAAAAAACAAACGTTGAGAAATTTCTCATACAAAACATAAATTTATGTAAAATTATTTCCATTACTGATTTAATTATTCTTTAAGACTGATTTCATGCATATTTGAATTTATTTTGTAACCACCAAAGAGCCGACATCTTAATTTTATGTAAGATAGGACCTGCCTCATCAATCTAGTATTTTATGAGATCTGTTCCTCCAGTTAAAATGAAACTACGTTTTTAAACTGATCATTAAAAACAAAAGACAAATTAATTTACATTCAATGGTCATAAGCAATCGCAAATATCTAAAAATATTATTTCATACACGCATTCAATCATCATCTAACACAAAAATAAAAAATAATCATTACGGAACATCCTAGAAGAATCTTAACAGAATTCAATCTTTTAACGTCCCACTGATGGGTACTGGCCTCTCTTCAATATCTTAATAGAAATTCTCACATACCTTAAGCAACAGTTGGTATTTAGTGATTCTCTGCACAGGTTTAAGAAGGTACGCAGCTAGAGGCAGCTTGTGCCCGAGGCGCTGTTGACACGCCTGCAGGAACAGGTGCGTGTCCACCAACGTCTCGCGCAACCGCTCCGACCGCGGGATGTTCTGGCAGTAGTAGCTGTATAGGCGGAAGAAGGTTTCTCTCTGCAATTCAATAATAATAGTAATCGTTAGAATGTATTAATATTACACTAAGTACACGATTAGTTAGTTATAAGCACATCTTTTTTAACTTCCCTTGTACAAACTGTTATCAGATGTTCAAAAATCGATTTAAAATTTATAATAAAATATAGAATAGAGCAAGTTTTTATTAAATAAGAATTAATATTTAATTATACAGCATAAAATAAAAAGTATAGGTAATGTATTTATTTTCTAGTATTAACGTTACCTTTTCAACAAAACATAGTGCGACAAGTTCTGTGGCTGAAATCGATTTCTCCAAGTCTTTGAGGAACACTTCCTGGTGGAATGTGAAAAGCTCATGTAAATTTCCAAAAAGCACATCCGCTTGTCCAACTAAAGCTGCAGGCAGAACGTGCTGGTTTTCGGGTTTTTCTATCTCCTCTTTGTAACCCTGTAAGCATTTTTAATTATTAGTGTACCATACTAAAGTTATTTTTTTTATAATAAAAAAATTACAAATCAAGAAAAGGTTATGTCACAGTAGCTTTAGTCTATTTAAAACAAGCTGTGACTTTATTCGATAGAAAGACATTTTATTGCTTTGGTTTACTAAAAAAATACCGAATTGACCATAGATGAATAGTGACTGATAGTGTCACACCACTGCTGCAACCGTTTATCGTAATCTTCGTAAATAGCTTCTAAACATTCACTTTCAGTAGGGGTTAAAGTGTCTTTTCGAAATATTTTCTTGAATTTTTGTAAAGTAGAGGTCCAATTGCCTGAAGTTTGATTTCTTCTATAACGCTGGAGAATTTCTTGATCTGTGTTGTGATATCTTGTATAGTTCTGAGTCGTATACGGATATTTATAGGATTTGTAGCTGCAGTACTTGGATAATTTTGATCTCTTTCTACATGATAAAGTAGAATGTAAACTCCGTACGTAACTATCTGCATTACTTTTTCTGCAAATTGAACTTTTTTTAGAATAAGTATTAGTAGAGTAATGTTCCTTAATACTCTTGTTCCATTCCTTCATTATCTTCTTGTAATCTTTTAATAAATAAGCTAAAGTGTCCTCTGGATCACTACTGTTGTTCATTGTCTTTCTAAGTTCAGTGCAACTATTAGAAAGCAACTGAGAATCTTTGGTTATTGTTGTATCTGTCGAATATTCAGGTGTTAAAATTTGAACATCTGTATCACGACAACCGTATAGAGGGTTTTTAACAAGTTCCGGTATGTCAACAGTAGTCGGGACCGTTGTTACTGATTCGGCGGTGTAATCTTCGGAAACTGTGATTATATCGGAATCAGGTAAATAAATAATTTTCTCATCAGACTTTTGTATGTTTTCATAACCCGGCAACGATTTACCGTAGAAGAAATTTCCAGTAAATGGTTCTATTTGAACAGGTTTGATGTGTCGCGGATTATATTTAACACGACTATTATTACCGACATCACTCACAGACTTCTTGCACTTTTTATTTTTCGATAGTCTTTCAGTTTCAAACAGATTAATCTGGTTATTATAATCGCTGAAAAGGGTAGATTCGGATGCGGATCGTGTCAATCGTTTGCTTTTGGTTGTCGAATTATTCTTTCTATAATACCACGAATATGATGTACCGACACTGATATTCGCTGAGGACTTATGGAGGTCATATTTCCCATATTTCATGTTGCAGAGCGCCGTGAGGTGCAACACGCGACCGAGAATCTGTACTGGCGAACACTTGGTAAATGTGTAAAATGCATTATGTTCCGCTCGGTGACTTCGCGCACTCGCTTGCGTGCTGCGTATCGAATGCATCAGATGAATATGCCTTGTGAGATGTCAGATGGTCCGTAACTAACACTGAATGTTGTTACATATGTAAACCATGCGTTACTTCTAATGTATTGGCATATTTAATTTTCAGAGCGCGTAACTTATGGGAGATATCGTTCGGCGGTAAAGTTAATGGACTGGAACGTATTTGTGAGTATAAACAAACGTATGTATATATCACCAAACCCTAAAATGATTGTGTCAAAACGGAAAGGCTTACTATAAAATATAAACAATGATTGTATACCTATTAAATTAAATGAATTACAATCAATAGTTTCTAAAGAACTCCTTTTTAAGTTTTCTAGTAACATATAATATGTTATCCATATATACTATATGTATATGTGAATTTGCTTAAGGACTAAAGATCTGTTATGTTTACTTACAGTAATTATAGAACCAAGTTCTTGAACGTAAGCCCTTTCAGTCTGCAAAAGCTCGGCCAGTACATGGCCACGTCGTGACCGTCGCGCCTCAGCGTCTTCTCCACCGGAGCTTTCAGACCCTCCTGACGTTTCCATCTGTGAAACAATGTCATTTTTAGCAAACGATGTCGTTTTCTAAGAAAATAAGAATATCCTAAGTTTTTTAGCTTTTAAGCTATTGGCTAGACTAACAAAAATATTAAGTAAAAATATCTCGAAAAACTTTAAAATTTAGGTATGTATTCTCCAGAAACAGTAAGTTAAAAGAAATTGATTAATAATAAAAAAAAGTATTTATTTTTATTGACTTAACATGCAATTAATGTATCTAATTAAATTTAAAGTAAGCAATTTGATTTTGAATCTTAATTATGACATTGCTGACAGATGGCTCATCCGGCGGATACATTAGTGGCTGACAGATTTGATGTCAAGTGACTGCTTACGCTATGCATAACAAATGAAACCTCAAAATATTTTTCTTGTTAATTCGTCTATAAAATTCTCACAAAATAAATTATGTATTATCATAAATTTTATTGCATTTTTTATTTTTTATAGATTTGTAAAGTCATGTCAGTTAGAGAAATGAAACATACTTAAATTTTATGTTTTATCACTTTTTAATGATTTAATGCTACAATTATTACTTTTTTATGTATTGTATGTACTAGGTATGTAGTAAAATGAAGAATCAAAGTTTTAAATATGCCTTATATTTGAAACTTAGATACTTACAACTTTTTTAATTATAACCTTCATATATTATCAATTAATACTGTGAAGTTTAAAGCACTTATTTTAATAAGCGGCTTCATATAAAAATTTATGCGTTTAACGAGATTTAACCATAATTTCCGTTATTTAACCGTTGGGACGCCCGTGTTTTTGTGTAACTTTCACGCACGATATGTAATTATGTTTTTATAAACCAAACATGGACTGTAAGGTGAATTACTTATTTAAGTTTGTACTCAAGTCAAAATACTGCAAGATTTTTACTTTGAAACAGTTACTATAAACATGAGATATTTAATTATATTTCACTGATCGTTTTGCTTCCTGGCTTGAGCGCAAATACATATATTACGGCTACTTACAATTTTGTTCGGCTCTGAAAAATCCTTGACAATTTTGTAACCCGTTTTCAATACTACATTTATGGTCTCCATATCTGAACACCATAGGAACTATTCACAAAACGCACAAAAAATTTATATGACACACTCACAATCATACAATCAACATAGATTCGGACATAGCTTCTCATTTACTATTTCAAGTAATAACAGAATGCAGCGGATGAATGCAGAGCACATGCCGTGTGCCTTTGGTAGTGTAAGAATAAGGAACTGATGGCCTGGGTTATAAGGGGCGCGGGAATACGGTGGGACTACAAAAAAAGTTGTTGCCTCCGCTTTACAGATATGCCATCGTCATGAAGGATACTCTATCTGTAAGTTATAATAATACTTAATCGTCTTTCACTAAAACAGATGTTGTTAAAATTTAGTTTTTTCAATATGTTACCAAAATATTGCAATTTTTATATTATATTTGCAATTTAAACTCTACTTTTGTTAATAATATTTGTTTTTAAGCTAAAACTATCCATATTAATATTATAAATGTGAAAATGTGTTTATTTGTTTTTCCTTCTTTTATATCGAAACAGAATGACGGTTTGGCGTGATTATTTGTGTGGAGATAGTTGGAGGGCTCTCTCCGAGTGACATAGGCTACTTTTTACTGCGGCAGATTATTTAATTCCCATGAGAAAATACGTTATAATACAACCTGCAACAACTCAACATACCTGTATATATATATATATATATATATATATATATATATATATATATATAGTCTATCATCTATTCCATACCAAGCGTTAAAACATATCCATATAGGAACGAACCGCGAAGCGAGGGTGAGTCTCCAGTAACATGAGAATAAAATAATTCAGCTAAATATTTTTCCTCTTTATCCAAACGAAGTAGAGTATTATTCCAGACGTGTTCTTTGCATCTGTTACAAAGGGCAAACGTGCTGCATACAGCGTTATACACTAAGCACGTCGTATTTATCGATACTTGTGTGCGTGTCTGTACACGTGTTAGTGGAGCACACCTGCCGAGAGTTCCGTAGTCGTAGGGGACAGAAACTCTTCATATTGTGTTATTTACTTCTATACTACGAACTTAAAAGCTGTCTAAATCAAAGCTTATTGTTATTTTTTTGCCTTTCAAACATCTGCGAAGCTTTTTGTTTCGTGCGGATGTTTATAAGAAAAAGCACGTGCTACGTATTTGAATTTGAAAGAATTCAAAATATTGGACTGTGAGAACGAAATTATTTGACCTGACATAGTATTTTTATTATTTATTTAGTATATTTTACTTGAAGAATTTTAATGTTTAATCAAGAAAACCTCGTTTAATAACTAAATTTAAATTATTATATATATTTTGTTTATATAATATAAATTATAATACATATATTAAACCCTGACCCCTCAGACGTGCGCACTTGAACTGATTGACCATATTATATCCAATTGCCGCACGTCGCGTCGGCTGCGTTCGCGCAATCGTAAATTCGTAAATTATTAAGCAAGGTACTGTAATATATTTTATTAATACATGTCAAAATCATCTTATTGATTTAATTAGTAATATATTATTTATTTCAAACATGTCTCTTATGAAATAGATCTACCCATTTATGTGTAATTAGTGCCTTATTGTTAATAGTAGAGTTTACTCTGTGATGATAGGATTTAGATTAGGATAAGCTTATACAGACTCTATTTATTTGGAAAATGATAAAACGGTAATAATTCTAATAATGATAATAATTATTTACGAAACTTTAATAACATATACAGACAGAGTATTGCTGGAATCGAACTGGGAACTTAATAGCGCTGGTTTAACCGGGAGTTACAAAAACAGGAGAACAGTTGTGAAACTGATTTTGCAACTGGCACAGGCTCCCGTTAAGGACCGCTACATTAAGTAATCAAAGCTATATTTTGCTCACATAGGCTACTAGGCTCTTTGAATGTGAAAGGGATATTATTTGTATTTATAAATATTTTATAAATACAAATATGATATGCAACTGCCATACTCCAAAGTCAAGGAAATAATTGCACTTTAACAGAAAAAAATGAATTTGTCAAAGTAAAATTCGGTAAAAAAAAATTAAAAGCTTTTCCATTTATTAAAACCACAAAATATATATTTTTGATTTGTTAAAAATATTTTTTTTTTATATAAAAACTATTTTAAATAACAATTAATTTATTAAGTAGCATCAAAAAGCAAACTTATTTAAAACTAGCATTGCCCGCGGCTCCGCCTGCGTTCAGATGACCAAAAACCAAATTCTTAGGTTTTACATATTAGTATACTGACTATACTCTAACATTGCAGTTTTTGTATTTTTTCTCAAAAACGAGATAGTTTCGCGCGGTAAAAAGTACCCTATATGTTAACCCGGATAACCAGCTATCACCATTCCAAATTTCATCAAAATCCATCAGTTTTTCTGTGATGCGATAACAGACACAAACAGACAGACAAAAATTATAAAAACTATATATTCGGCATCTGTATCGATAATAATGTCTATTTGAATAAGATTTTACAAAAAATATCTAATGTACAGATACGACTTAGTTATTATTTTATTATAATATGTACCTATAGATTGTTATTTTGTAATTTCTAAAATAAATTAGTGATGTCTAAAAGGATTTCGTTGCACTTGCATTCCGATTGCTGTAAATATTCTAAACGAGTCCATTTTGTGGCCTAGTAGTTACCATTACGGATAGCATAGTTTGAATCTGTCACTCAGGCTTATTTATTGGAAAACTATTAGAAGTATGTGGAGACTGATGGATCATGATGTCAAATCGGATAGCACTATTGCTCCTATTTCTGCGATTATACTTGAGCGTACCATAATTCTAATAAATTGATATATGTATTATGTATATTTAAGAAAGAAATAAATATATATCGATCACGACCATATGTTGTCCATTCTCAATAATTACTTAGTGTGAATTATGAAAATGAAATAATAAACAATTGTAAAATAAATGTACAAACTATAAAAACACGAGTATATAATTTACAACTTTAAGAATATGTTTAGTTTATTAATGTTAAATTAACATTTGGATTAACTTAACATTGAATTTCTTGGTGTCTAAAAAGTATATGGAAGTTGTTCAAAGGCTTGAAGGATTTGAACTAAACACACAAACTATGAACGAATTAGCCACAATTCGTTCATGAAACAGACATAACGTCAAGTTAAATAAAGCTTTGTATAAAAAATCACTTGTTCATCGTTTCTAGTCTAATAATATATTTTATTTTGAAGAGGTATACCATATACCACTCTTTATTTTTTTTAAATATGAACACTAAACAACGCATATGGTGTCGATCCTGGAGAGAATCGGAGGACCGAATATGAAATGAATCTTTTTTTTTATCCAAGGAAAATAACGTAAAGAACACAATATGTAAATGAATAATTAAGTACATTTAATTAAGTTAAAATAATACAAAGCTGAGAACATTTTAATGATAACATTGAACGAAAGTGCATTAAAATTTTGAATGAGTAATGTTTTTAGAAGCGTCGTTTATTTTTAATTGTTACTTTTTGATGAAACGAACGTAATTCGATGAACGTTCCATTAACGGTAATGTAATGTTTTATATCACATTTCTTACTGGCATAGAGAAAAACTTTTATTTTTATATCTTTCAATATATCGACTACAAAAGGAATAAAGGTAGTGAAACCAAAATAGCTTGATGGTAATAAAAACAAGTAACAACTATTTATTTTCTAATAATTTTTATTTTATTTTGACATATTATAATGTCCTACTTATCAACATTTTAGTCACGGTAATCTCAATAGGGCTTAATATGTACGATGTAAGATATAACATAGCACAAGTGCATGTGCTAACACAGGTGCACTCTTTATTCCATCCCTCTTATAGCTAACTTATAGACCGGCGACCGGAGAGATCACGATGTTTAAAATAGGTTCCCCGAGACATGGAATCAATGTAAATTTTACAATATATTATTCATGTCAATAATCAGACAAATCACACAAAAAACAATGCGCGATTCCAGCTAAGAATTCATGACAAGCAAAGCTGGAAAATATCATAAAAATAATTTCAACAAATTAATAAATTCTATACATCACGTCGCGCGCGTCTCTTTAAAATTTACCTTATATCTATACTATATAACTTATTTTGTATTTGCGTAAGTATTTCACAATTTCAATGCCTCTCGCCGTTATAATATTTAATAATGTAATATTTTAATGATGTATGTACTTTATATATGTAGTGCCAGATGGTAATACAATATTGCTACGAGGTAGTTACGAGCTGTTTTTAAAGGCGTTTTTTTTAATTTATGAGTCCGACAACAAGACTTTAAGCCTCCGTTGATATGCTGGTTACATTTTAATTTAAAACGCCCGAGCTCATGTGCTTATATATTGAGAGTTAAATTGATTGGAATTTAAAATGTTCCGACACTCAAAAGTTCTATTTGGAATTCTATTTGGAATTAATGCATTCGGGTTTTTATATATAAATCATATTGTATATCATATAAAAATATACTTAATAGGAAACTTATTTGAATAGAAATATGAAACTAGCTGAAAGGTATATACTCGTAGACACTCCATAATTAACACGGTAGTTGGAAGAAAAACCGTAATCCACAAAAAAAATATCATGTATATTGTTGCAATAACAAAATATGTGTCCAAAATAGTCACATTATAATATTTACAAATATGTTATTCATTACACAACGTTTGCTCTATAAATAGGTTAGTTACAAGCAGTTTGTGTTATCACAAGGACGCAGGTTACATAGCTTACTCACAGATTTAGATTTCAGTCGCCACGACAATTCCTCCATAACTTGAAGCCACTTTACGTTGAAGTGGTGCATGCAAATCGCATGACGTTTGTACATTGCGTACTGAGGCAAATATGGTTTGCCCATTTTATTTAATATATGTGGTCTTAAAATAACACTCTCACTGTCTGACTCTTCAGAAGATTCAAGAAGAGAAGAAGACGACATCACTACTAAGTCATCACTGATATTTGTAGATAAATTAAGCATAATTCACTTGAGTTCAGATTTTATAATCAATCAGCAGTTATGTCTCTGTATCTAAGGAATAAATGTTCGTTCTTTTATCGTTATAAATACATAATATAGTTTGCATTAAAGCGTTAAAGGGACGTTTTATAAAAATGTAGAATTCATAACGAGTCCAAAATGCAGTTTTCGGCAGCATTTGATTAGATGTAACAAATCTGGCTAGTGGTCATAATTAAAATTCATGTGTTAAGCAAACGAAGAGGGCACAGCGTTACGTAATTGTAAGGAAGAGGGTCAACCGTGAGACGCTTATGATACAGGAAATAACTTTAATAGCTTTGTTCTTGTTTATCTAACAAAATCTTGTCAAAGTCGATCATCCTATTTTTTAAGATTATCATATAGACAATTATTTAGTATTTCAAATGAGAAAGAGGATAGAGTTTAAAATGAAATATGACAAGAAGCATGTTTATATGTGATTTCTCAAATCATCCATATTATATTAATTTTAATTTTTAAGTTTTGAGCTTGCTTCAATCAATAACAATAGACTTTTTACATAAAAGAGCGCACTATATTTTTTTAAATATATATATCAGAAATTAAAAATAGATACTTCTTTAGGTATATTTAAATTAATGTATTGATAAAATTGATATATTTAAAAATACTGAGAACGACTTAACTAGACCTCTTCTACCTAGTTAGCGTTAATTATAATTAACGTTTATATAATAAAATAAATTTAAGATATATTACTAAGATTTTAATTTCTTAAGATTTAATTGCTTTGACCTGGATGATCGCAGAGACCGTACCGTTTTGCGACGAAACTTGTAAACCCCTATCAGAATAACCGGTATGCGCTCGCGCACGCCAGGAAGTAGGACAGTAGAAACTTAGAGCCCACGTGTATATGACCTTCACTAAATAAATTTCCATATCAACTGGTAATTCGAAGCACCGATCTATTCATTTTTTACTTAGTCATGATAGTTTAATTAAGACAAAAAAATTGAAAAATTGGTAGTAGTACGCAGTGTTAGATACGCAAAACACGCAAATTTTAGAAAAAATAGAATGTTGAAAAAGTGTTGTAATAACCGAATTTAGAACTCTTAAGTATCATTCGTAAAAATAGTTGGAGGACGCAATAAATAGACGTTAGATATGTACATGAGACGATAAGTTAACATTTAAGTTAAACACACGTCACGAGTCACGACTAAACCGCATTGGGCTCTTAACTCATAAATGCTATCTAATAGTAAACACATTACGTTTACTAATTACCATAGTAGCTTCTTTGTGGAATCATTGCGTCACATATACTTGTGATGCAATTTGACCTCTCTGTGTTGTAAGGAGTCAGGTGGGATAGAAAAAAATATCCTTATAATAAATATGAAATTGATGGATGATGGAGGATGAAGGTGAAAGATGTTAGAAATATACAAAATAAATCTATTTTAACATATGAGGCGAAATGAGTGTAAAATAGATCCAGCGAGTGATGAACCTACAGGTTCTGTAAAAGTGGTGTTGATATGAATTAAGAGCTAACTGCGACCCGCCATTCGTGACAACTTTGAAGCACTTTCTCTAACCGGTAGTCTCATAGACGAGCGTGGAAGTAGCTAGAATTTACGTAAGAATTTGTTAACCATTGGGTGTTTCTTTTTTTTTGTTTTCATAACTGCTCATATGAAACTAAGTGAATATTATATGTAGATTAATATTATAACATAAAAATTGTTTATAAAATAATTCATAATAAGAAGAAACTTAATTAAAAGACGTGATTTACTTGGAATTAATGAATTGCTTGCTTTAAAAATATTTAGCTATTTAGCCAACTCTCTTAATCTTTAAGACTATGGATAGCCATTTCAAAAGATCATATAACAAATAATACAAAGAAGTGATGTTCTCGGAATGATGGTTACAATGAGATCCAATTCCTATGAGGAGCGATAACATCGGCTTTTCGCCTCCCACGGTCTTATTATTTCGTTTTATGAAATATAACGTAATAGTGGTTATTTGAACTGTTTCCTATTTCTAACCTCTAATAAGCTAATATTGATATAATAGTACAAGAGGCGTTATCAATATTAAAAAAAATCTATACAATTTAATATACGTAAGTTTTTTTTAGATATTTATGGATATTTTTATTCATTATTTCTGTAAAAAATACGATAATAAGTCAGTTAAACAAATCCTAAATATAAGCTGGAAAGCCACGTGCGAAGTACATGTGGTCAGAAAAGGTTAGAGTTGCACATTCAATATTTTTAAATATTTGTTTTTATTGAACGTTTGTCATGCAATAGAAGTCAAATTGTATATGATTTTTTACTTTTTTCTATTCTATTTATTTAATTATGTATACTGTGCTAGACGGATCGTTATGATATTTTTGAAATATTATAAAAAATATATATTATTTTTGAAAAATTTTTTCATTTATTTATTTAGCTTATCTAATTTTCTTTTGGATTGGTCGCAAAATTAACAAAGATATAGTCAAATATTCCGGTTTCGCGTGATCCTAAGCAACGTGGTGGTTACGTATGTTTACTGTTTGCAGAAGCAGAACTGAAGCAGTGGCTAGTTGTTTAAAGAGATTACGTCTGCATATTCTTTCTTAATTGTTACGAGACGTTTTAGTTTTCAAAAGTATTAATAGGTAATTAGTTCATTGGAAAAATTTAACATATTATATTTCAAAACTTTAACTCTTACAAAATAGACACTTTCACCGGTTGAAACAAAGAAATAGAAACGCTTAACTGACACGTTTTATTATTTAGTGTTTGCCCTCACTTCGATTATGAGTGGTTTTAACGTACTTAAAATAAGTCCAATATTATTTTAAAGTGGCACTGTAGGTATCCTACACGAGTTCCTTGTAATTTTAAAAAATAAATAAAGGCGAAATCAAAATTTTATTATTTATTACTGCATTAGTATAAAACTGTATCTTAGTTTGGTATATAAAAAAATAATTAGTAGACATTGTCTGTAACGACTATACCTATCGAGACATCAAAAATTTTTATATGTTAAATTATATATGTTAGTTTTTAAGGTGTATTTGTTATGGGCCTCTGTTTACATATTTAAGATCTTTTTGTATATGATGGTGTGAATATTGCCAGAAATAAATGATTAAATTAAAATAAAAAAATTAATCAAAAAAATCTTACGTCTCTCCCAGGCATGTCGCTAGTCAAGATAAGTTGATTTACTTGTATAACACAACAATCGAATATATTATCTATTGTAGCTAAGAGGTTAAAGAAGTGTCCATTGGAGCATGTCTTTCACATAGTGACATGACGTAAACAATGGGACTAAAAGCTTGTGGTAATGCGGTTCACTACGGAGGAGACGCCGTTACCTATTGTGTAGAGTAAGGAAAATATTTTCCTTGGTAAAGATAGGAAAACCGTAGAATGTATACAGAGGGGTTTTAAATTAATTTTTCAATTTTTTCTCAACGAAAAATGTCTCATAGTCATATCTTATTCAAATATACTACGAATATTATAAATGCGAAAGTTTTTGAGGATGTAATGTATGGATATCTGGATGTATAGATTTATTTATTTATTTATTCATGCAAAAACTACTGAATGGATTTTAATGAAATTTTACAATAATATAGCTCATACATCAGAATAACACATAGGCTACTTTTTGTACTGTAAAAATATACAGTTCCCGTGGGATAGATTTGTTTCTGTTTTTCTGTAGGCGAACCCGAGCGAAGCAAGGGTGAGCCGCTAGTCTTCTAAACATTAATAAAAACACTGTTTTCAAGATTTTGGTTACGTGCAAAATAATACTTTTTAGAATTTAGGTCTTTCTTCTTTTTTTAGGCGTGAAACCTAATGATTTTTCATGGGAAAATTCTTACATTAATTTAATATAATTAGGAAATTGTATCTATCTACTATACTAAATAGTAAATATTAATTAAGTTTAACGGCAATCAGTTGAGAAAATCTTAGGTTACAGTTATAGCTTCTCGTAATGTATAGGTCAGTCAAAATTGAGTGTAGCATGCAAATAATTCTGGGATACCTACATTTTTAACTGTCATCGTTATGAGTCACCTAACACAAAGTTTATGATTCATCAGATCCCCGACAGTTACAATATTGACCTTGCGTCGTGAATAAATAAATACAGGAAGAGGGTTTAGATACGAGCGTGATCGATGAAAATAAGGACCCTTGATTGTCTACAAGAAATTCTAAAGTGCTGCTTGCATATTACATACATTTTATCGTCATATGTTAGTATTGTTATTTAGAAAAACTTAAATAGAAGGTGCGACTAAAAAGAACGAGATGAAAATATTATACTGTAGTCAAAATACTCTCATAAAAATATAGCCGTAAGAAGAGAGGGACTTTATATGCGTCAGCATTCTTCATAACTTTGCTCACGTCGCTCTACTTAGAGGCTTTATTATTTTCCTAGTGTCATGTCTATTTCAGCCATATGTATTCTCTATTTCAGTTACGAAAGTAAAAATAAACTTTAGTCATAATAAAATATTTAGAAAAATGTGTATTTGAACTCGTTAACTAATAGAATATTATAAACTTTTAAAAATTCATTAGGAATTCACATCACATTTGAATATTAGTCTTTATTGAACTTTCTCTTGGCTTAATAAAGGTTGCTAGTTAGAAACAAGTATTTAATATTTATCGGTCGAAATTAATGGGTTGTCAACAAACGTGATAAAATTCAACTAAAGAAATAGCAATTATCTAGCTTAGTATAATTTTATGGTGTGAATGAAAACTCTTTATTCATATGACGATATTGTCAATGCAGAGTCGTGAGAAAGGATATACATATCTAAGCTACATTAAGAAAATTCTAAATTTAAAAGTGTGTATGAAAAAATCCTATTTCTTGTATGTAGAAACAATGAAAAAGATTGAAAATTAATAAATAAAGTTCACTGTTAATTGTGAGAAATATATTTAGAG